CGTATGGGAGGTCCTCCAGTGACGGAGAGCAATCTTGTTGATGATGTTGATGGCGTACAGGATCCCAATGAGCTCGGCGGCGTGAACCGACCATCGCTCCATAGGTCCAACCTGAACTTGCATGCTGTCGGTTGTTTCCAGCGATTCATCGAGCACGGTAGCTGCGGCACCTAGGTGACCTTCTCGTCCCGAGGCGTCCGAGTACACCACGATGTCCGCGGTTGACCGTGCAGCCTCGGCTCTTTCTAGCGCGGTCTCTCTGTCCGATTCAATCTCGATTTCTGAGAAGGCTTCTATTCGCCACGGTGGTAGCGGGGTTGGGTCAATCATTTCGATTTCCTTTAGTCTCTCCAGGTTCATTGTTTTTAAGGCTTCTGATAGTGGGAACCGGGCGAATGATCCACGATTGTTGCGTCTTCTCTGGGCCCGACGTAGGGCGCTCCATATAGGGTGTTTTTGTGGTAGGGTATGCAGTCTAGTGATGGTATTTTGTGCGCGGTAGCGCAGACGGAGATGAGTTGGCAGTACATGTGCTTCTACGTCGAGTGTGGTTGTTGCCACTGTTCGAAAGGCTGATAGGACCCGGATGAGAGCCGCTCGTTGCACGGTGCGGAGGTGACGTAGATGGGTCTTATCTCGAAGTGGATCATGCCAGACGGTTGAGGCGTAGTCGACAACCGGTGTGACGCACGCTTCGTAGAGCTGTCGCATCTGCTCTGGGCGGAGCTGTCGCAATCCGCCAAGCGCGATGTTGACCTTAGTGGCTCGTTTAACGGCTTGCTGTACGTGTTCCTTCCACCGAAGCTCATGATCGAAGATTACCCCTAAGAGCTTGGCCGTTGTAGATGGCTTGATGACATTGCCATTCATGATAAGCTGGCCCTGGCTCTGTTCTTTTCTTTTTCGGGTAATGTGAATGAGTTCGGTCTTTTCTGCAGCGAAGCAGGACCCAGTTCTCTGAGCCCAGGCTTCAATCCGGGGTATGTCTTCGGACTGGATTTTGGCCAGATTCTCTGCGGCACTCCAGCCAACTCGCCAGCGGAAGTAGTCATCGATGAAGGCAGATGCCCCACCGTGAAAATCGACCGGCTGGTCGACTAGATCGCAGTTGAAGAATGCAAAGAGGATAGGTGACAGCGGAGAGCCTTGTGCGAGCCCGGCATTTTCTAGCGGTACCACCTCGGTTTGGTAATCGTCGAACCCAATGCTAGCCTGGCGCCCGCTCATGAAGCTCGTGATCCACCTTCGGGCCACCGAGGGGATACCCTTGGACTGGAGGCGAATATCCAGGCTTGTCTTATTAACCCCATTAAAGGCTCCCTTCAGGTCAAAGGCCACCAGTGTGACGACCTTCTGCCTGTACCATGCCCGGTCGATTGCGTTAGCAAGCATCAGGAGGGCTTGCTCGGTTGTTCGTCCCGGGCGCCCTCCGAACTGGGTATCCGGTAGAAGCCCGTAATGCTCCGCGAAGAAGGACAGCCGCCGGGCCATCACTGCTTCCAGCAATTTTCCGAGTGTGTTAAGTAGCGAGATTGGGCGGTACGCTCCCGGTAGCGAGTAGTCTGGTTTCCCGGGCTTCCGCAGGACTACGATTCGCGCGCTTCTCCATCGCTGTGGGTGGTATCCTAGTTCGATCGACGCCGTGAAAATCCGAGTGATGATGTTTCCGAGGTATTTCCAGAGACGTTTCCAGATCAACGTGGGTAGACCGTCCTCGCCTGGCGCTGTTGTGCCTTTGGCAGCCTTGAGCGATCGGTAGACTTCAACCTCGGAGATTGGATGCCATCGGATCTCGGTTGGGGCGTGAGTGGGTGCTTCCTCTTGCGCAGGCGCCATCGAAGGGAAGAACGATCCCATGAACGCCTGAGCTTTCTCCGCGTTGTCAACTAGCTCCCTGTCGCCAACCTTGAGGGCGGGAATGCATCCCCAGGAGTCTCGTGGTTTCATGTACGTCGCTGCCTTCCACAGTTTCCCTTCACCTGCTTCGTCTAGGAACTGCTTCCAATGTGATGTCTTAGCCTTCTCAATGGTTCGAGTCCATGCCCGCCGTGACTGGCGCATGTCCTCGAACATGGCCATGGTGCGGGAGTCGGCTCGTCCGACTTCAGCGCAGCTCTCTTGCCACTTGCGTCGTAGGCGGTTCACATCATTCTGTTGGGCTTTAAGGTCGGCAGTGAACCACCGCTTGGAGTACGGGGACGGTCTCAGATCGGGCGTGTGCTTGTCAACTGCCCTTGCGGTCGTTCTTGTAAGTCTATCTACGACCGTGTCTAGCGCCTTGGTTGAGTCTAGCTCTCCGGGTCGCTCGAAGAGATCCTGGATTTCCTTTCCAATCTTCTCCCAGTCCGCTCGGTCGTACGCTTTTCTCGGTTTAGTGGTGAGGTTGCGCCGCGCTTGGAGGTACCATTCTGAATAAGTGCCTCGGTGGTCCGAGCCATAGTTGTCGTGGTAGAGATGGCATTTGATGAGTAGATCTGGTCTGTTTGTCACTGTCTGGTCGATCGTAGAATTTCTTCCCGGGTGGCTCAACGACCAGAAGGTCGCAGTTCCCCGAGGGAGACAGCTCTGGAGGCCATGATCATGAAAGAAATTGGTCAGTTCGCCGGCGTCCTCGATGAATCGAGGTTGAATGTGGTTGCTCCCCCACGCTGGGTGGTGGCGATTGAAGTCCCCGGCCAAAATAAGGCTAAAGGTTCTGCCATCGTCTCGTATGACGTCTTGAATCGTGTCGTGGATTGCCGATAAGGTAGCCTCCGCCGATGCCCCATCAGGCGTGTGCATCGGTACGGGCGGAATGTAGACTGAGAAGATCAGGATCTGGGAGTCGGCCGTCCAGATCTTGACCGCCGTCAGATCCGGGTGATTGCACCTCACTTGTCGGTGAGAGGAGGTTGAGAGTTTGCGATTGACATAGATAAGGCTACGGAATCGAACCGAATCGCTCTCTACTGTAGGTTGGTATAGTCGCCACGCGCTGTGGTTCACGTGTGTTCGGTAGGCAGTAATCGACGGTTCCTGGATTAGGAGCACGTCCAGTTTCTGGCTTTGATGGTCGTTGATGAGAGCTTCCATGCCCGCCTTCGACTTCATGGTGTTTAGTTGTAGAATTCGGAGGTTGTTCTCTAACATTGCGATGGGGGTGCCGTGGCTGGCGTCGGGCACAGCAAGTCTCCAGTCGGATGTTCCCCGCTGCATTCCAGGCAGCGCGCTCTGATTCCCGGAGGACATCTTTCTCGCTCATGTTGGCCGCCACAGTGGCCGCATCGAGGCGTCTCTTTGCACGACCACGCTAGATGGCCGAATCCTTGGCATCGGAAGCACCGTTTCTTTTTGATCTCACACTTTTCCACTCTTCCAATGTACCGTTGATCGATCAACAGGCCATTGTTCAGCATCCACTCTGCTGCCTCTAATGAATCAAACCAGATTCCCATCGAGGCGAACGTTCCCAACTCTTTGTCTCTTTTCTTCAGCCAGGCAATGTCCTCAATTCGGAAGCCGTGGTCTGTGAGGTCGTTCTCGTTTGCGATCTTTTCAATGGCTTCGGTTTTCCTGTTTTCGAGGTCCAACCCAAAGGTCGGGATATGGTGGACAGCTACTCCGAAACGTGGTTTCACCAATCTAGTGTCGTTGCCCAGCTCGGTCAGCCACTCAGTGTTGTTGCGGGCCATTTCGGCCGACGTCTGGTTTTTGAATCGGATCACATATCCGGTCTTGGTAGTACCAATCCCTGCAACCTATGCGTCCTGGGTAGATGGCGTCTTCAACAGTGCCGTCCTGATGTGGGTATTCGCAGCCGGGGTGGGGAGGTAGCGACCGAACGCGTCTCCGTTATTCTCTGCGCCCAGCGCTTCAGTGACAGATCGCTGAGTGCTGATTCGGACGCAATTCTTGTCTTTGTCAGTTTGTCGCCGGGTCTCCCGGGGTTGCGAGTTGTCTGTGGCGGCTGCAACGGCCGCCAATGATCGTGTCGGGGATGGTGTGTTCAGCCCGTCTACCTGCGACCGTAGCGCTAGGATCTCCTCCTGTAGCTTCTCATTCTGAGTTTGAAGCTCGTTCTGGTTATCTTTCACTTCTCTCAGTTCGCTCCGGGTGGCGTGAATGAGCGTGGTTTGTTCTTCAATGGTGTGTTGCAGGCGTACAATGATCTGCCAAATCTCTCTGGTTGTCACTCGTCCAGTGCCGGTTCCGGTATTGGTGAGCTCCACGGGTTCCGGGGCCGCGTGGGTCTGCTCGCTTTCCACTCGTGTATGTCTCCTGGTGCGGACCGTGGTCGTTGGTGTACGGTTTTCCGGTGCGTCGATCCCTGTGCCTCTTCGCGTGGTTGTGGTGGCAAGGGGCGCGGGAGCCCCCATGGGTGGGTCCGCCATCCGTCTGGTGTTAGTTCCCGCTCGGCACACAACACAATAATGTTATATCGCAGTGCTCAAGAAACAGTCCCAAAAAACAGTCCCCAAGTCAGTGAGTCGTACACTATATGGAGCACGGTATTAATTCCCGCTTTTCTTCTCGATTCAGACTTGAGCGAAGTTCCTCAAAGTACAGTGCCTACCGACAGCATTTGTCGGAATCAGTGGTCTCCGTAATAACAGGTCATCCAATAGAAAAATAGAATAACGGTTCTTCTCGTTTTCTACCACTTCCCCTACACAATTTATGGGGAAACTTTGTCGAACTGAGGGGTGGTATTTTACCACTAAGAACAGGGATATTCATCAAGTACCCATTCTGTCTCTGTCTCTGTATGGTAAACGGGGTACGCTCGGCATACCAGCGTCGTAACACGCTAGGAACGACTCCTGAGATCTGTGAACGCTTCAACAGCAAGATCCAGATAGAACAACATCAATGCATCTCAATGGGACACCTCAATACTAGCACATACCAGTATCTGTCAATCCGACAGCAGCACTGGTCTTTATGCCGCGGTAATGGGCGGTAACGGTATGCTAGCCGACGGCTGGCCAGGTATTGAACAAGGGGTTGACTCTTTTGAAGCCATGTTTCAGAATAACAAGGCCATCATGTCTGCCAGTTGCTCCCAATGGGGCTTACCCAATAACTCGGAAGATGAGATCAATATTATCAAAGATGCCATCCATCAAGTGGAGACATCGAGTGGCGTCGACGCACACTTCATCTTGTCGATAGTCATGCAAGAAAGCAAGAGATGCGTTCGTGTTCAGACCACTGACAGCGGTGTGATCAATCCTGGAATGATGCAAAGCCATGAGGGCTCTGGTTCCTGCAACAAGGATGGAAGCATCCAGAACCCTTGTCCCCAAAGCGAGATTCATCAAATGATCATGGCTGGCGTCGAGGGGTTCCCGGCCGGGCCTGGCCTGAAGGCACTGATAGCCCAGATGGTGGTTCAACAGATGTGGTTTCATTCTACAAGGCCGCCCGTGCTTACAATTCCGGCGCTGTTGCCTCAAGTGGCGACCTGGGTCAGCCAATCGCCTTTTGGGCTGGAGCAATGGCCCTAGCTTGTGCGCTCCTAATGTGATCGGCATGTTGTCTGCTGCGCATTGGGACGGCAAGAGTGTCAGTGCTTGCGGCGGCACTCCGACTACCACAAGTTCTCGATTTGCCATCCCATCGCACGTATACTGGTTGTCATCCAATACAAAATCAGGCTCGCTTCATTCACCGTCTATTCCGGCATTTGCCACTACAACTTCTAGGCTGCTCTCTCCTAGAACGGCCTCATGTGCTTGTAGCAGGAGGCGCCTTCAGTACACGCAAGCTCTTGGCAAATGAGGTATTTCAAATACAAACATTCGCCGTGGGCGCCTCGGAAATTCACATCTTGCTTTTGTAGCTCGATTGGTCCTTATTCGGGTTAGAGCGCGCCAACGAAGAAGGAAGGAAGGAAATACATTTTACGTAGCGAACGAGATCGGGTCCGATTGGCCCATCTAGTCAAGTCGGGACGTACAACTCCCAAAAAACACATTCTTGCACAGGAATGATCGACAAAGCGCCCAAAACACAGCTCGAATGATCATTTCGACTTATCTTCTCTGTTCTAAAAGAGTAAGAAGCTTGCCTTGCAGTTCCTTGTAATCCGCTTCTCCTTTTCTTCCCTTCCCTTCTGTTCGGCTTCTCACTTCCCTTCCCGTAGCTTTTGTTGTTCTAATTGAGCTAGGAGTTTCTCTTCTCTTTTCTTCTGCTCTGCTTCTCTTTCCTTCTGTTCCGCTTCTCGTTTCTCTTCCCTTAGTTTTTACTGTTCTAGCTCTGCGAGAAGTTTCTCTTCTTTTTCCTTCTGTTCCGCGTCGCGCTTCTCTTCTCTATCCTTCTGTTCTGCCAGCTGCTGTTTTAATGTTTGTACCATCATACTTAGCTCTGTAGACCACAACGTAATCTTGTGGCTTATTACCACATCACTCGGAATCATAGCCATAGCAGAGGTAACCCCCCTGAGGGTTCATCACTTTGCCAATGGTCGTATTCGGCATGATGTTGAAGGAAGAAAGCTCGTAGTGCAATGTGGCATTTTGCCAACCACCTGCAGGCTCTACGTTGGCAGTCTCGTTCACGGTAGGACCGCTAACATCGTAGAGTCGGTTGGCAGGATCCTGCTTCTGCCACAGCCACCAAACACGGTCAATGTACATGTGGTGCATGAAGAAAACGGGGTCTCCAGGGCTGCTCTTAATGTCTGACATCTGATGGGAACTCGGGGTTAGTTGGATCAGGACAGCGGTGAAGAGGAGAATGGTAGGCATATAAAGGGGAATCGCAGCCGTGAAAGGGGGTATCACTTACAACACCACCGATATATGTATGGACACCCTTGTGTGGAATGTTGGAAATGCAGTTCCACCAGGGGGAGTAGGTGTTGTAAGAGTTGCACATCTTTAGGACCGTGCTATTAGCGTTGGCGATCGCCTGCTCACTTTCGAATGCGCGTCGGAGGCAGTAATCGGTATCTTTATCTCCAGGTCCGATATGCAGAGAATAATTGGCAAAACGGCCATCCTGGACGCAGTTTCCAGATCCAGTTCCATTCCCTCCAAAGGCATCGGCCCCCCACATGGAAGACCCCCACATATCTCCACTGTCTGCGTCCTTCACTTCATCCCACCAGCTAAAGAAGTTTGAACGTCAGAATGATGAACTTACTCGGGCCGGGAGAATCTCTCACGGGATGGAACCTGTGTAGCCGCACTCGTCACGGAGAAGAGTCTCATAGATATGCATGTAGTAGCGGTGCCAGGGAAGAAATTGACCCTGGTTGATTTGTGTCAGTTTTGGTTACGAAGCACGACTAAACATGACCCACCACATGGTGAATGATGTCTGCATAAGCCGTGTTGGTCATTCCACGGTGGAGTGCCTGAAGATCGCTGAAGCGACTAGTAGTGGCAGTCAAACCCGACTTGGCGGGCTTGTCCATCAAACACTGAACGGCGTCGAGAAAATCGTTCTGTTGCACCTTAGACAGATGACGCCACTCCTTCCTGATAGTCATCTTGTCCTTTGTGCAACTGCCTGAGAAGTAGCCCGGAATAGCCTCTTCAGTACTCGCATGGCCGTTGGCAGTGCGTACATGATTGGAGTGAGGGTGAGGGAGCGACGAAGCCGCCGCACTAGCAACAAAGCTGAGTGCGGCCCCGAAAAGGGCGAGGCGCATGTTTATAAAAATGAACGAATGATCACAGAAAATTTTGTTGGAGTATGGCTTCTAAGGAGAGGGGAGTCCAATTCAGGAAACCAGAGAATTTGAACTTCAAAGGAATGAACTATCCGAGCCTTCAAGAAACCAAATGCTTTTATACTGGACTCTAATACCCGCCCCATCTTGCTTTCCAAGGTTGCCACCACGGAACACGCTGACCATACTACGTGGTGAAACGCAGTATCTAGTATCCATTTGCTCCACTGAGCCTTCGTCCTCCCGGCCGTGAATACTTTGGTATTCTAGAAAGGAGCCACGGCGTTCTATTTCTGGGTCCTGTCGTGCCGATCATGCATTATTCCAATTCCAGAAATAGCTTATTTCTTTGCCTAAAGATTTCGCAAGCTTCATCTTCCTCAGACACCTCTCTTTCTGAATTTGTGTTCCTAAAAAGGGCAGCTGTGGGCAGGCTGTCGTAGGGCATTTAGTTACATTCTAATGCTTTTTATTACATCAAACGGCAAGCCTGCGAAGCCGCGCAAATTATTTACTCGCAGGGTCATGTGAAATTAAATATATGCCAAGGTTTAATTATCGAGTCGGGTAGGGCTGACGTGGCAAGCGATTCCTGGATCGTATTTACAAATTTGACCTGGGCCTCGTGGAGTTGTGGCTTGTCGTGCCAGCGACTAGTGCTGGATGCTTCGAAAGCTGGATGACGCGGCCGCTTTCTTGTCCTTGGCAACAAAAAGCCCCCTTTCCAGCGGGGCCACGGCAGACTTTTTTCATAATGTTTATCTACGCCTAACCTGCGCATCTGTCTGGTATGCCTTTCCATCTGCGTTTTGTATCGCTCTGGAATACCAAGTGCTCTGTGCTTCTACCTCTTCTAATTGGCCCCACATCATCCCTTGGGGATTTAGCATGAGTAGTAATTCTGCAATATTTTGGTCCCATTTGCATGGGAAGCCCACAGGAATTTTAGCATGTTTCCATTTCAGCCGCCAACCCACATCTATTCCAACGCCACTTCCAAAAGAACGTGGATGGCAACCAAGCCTTGTCTATTAGGTTCTGGAAAGAAATAAATACAAAATATCACTTCTATACCTTCCCTTTTGGCTCTTGAGAAGATGGAATACAAGTACAAGTCACCGTCGTACTCAAGGGCGCCGCTCATCCTAGGCCGCATCGCTAAGTGGCCACCCCTGAGGTGTCAGCTGCCCACGGAAGCAAGGGTTGTAGATTGAACTTGTCTTGTCTAGGGTGGCCACATAGCGATTGCGTCCTCCATATCTTCCATGCATGGTGTGATGCGCGTTGAGGTTGTCGCTATGCGAGAAGCTGCGTTGACATCCAGGAACCCAGCAGACATGGAGCCGCTCCCCTATATGTTTTTCTAGATGACGATCGAGGTTCTTTTGGCGCTTGAAAAACGGTTTGCAAGCTGGATATTTGTATTTGAAAGATGGTTGAAGAATGTTGGTCGTTCCGGCACCGAGGCTCAATGTGGAGGGGTTCAACGTGTCGTCCAGTAGTCCGCGACATTGATCTTGGTCATTGCAGGACTTTGTGGCAAAAAGTTCTTGATCGGCGTGCTCTGGCCCTCTAGGGCACTGCAGGCAGGAGGTATCGGTGTTTTGTGGTAAGCAGCATCTAGCATTGGAAGTCGCATGCTCCGAGCAACCGGCAGATCCTCCTTGCAGAGCCCCTTCTAGAAGCTCTGCATTTGGGGCACATGTGAACCAGCAGATAACGGCCCAGCATTGGGAGGCATTGAAAAGTCGGCCCACAGCGCAACCTGGGTATTGGCAAGAATGACCTTGAAGCCCGCTCGTTATGCTCGGCATTGGATACCTTGGGTCTAGATACCGCTCCGCACGAATTTTCGAACTGTTCGAAGTTCGCGAATCTCGGCGAATCGAATCGAATTCGAACCTTGGTTTCGGGGCCTCGAATCTATGGCCGATTCGATTCGTCAAAATTCGCGAATTTCGAACAGGTTCGCGAACTAATATCTAGCCCTTTTAGGAAAAAGGGTTTGTGGAATGATTTTTCGAGATGCCCGGCCCCTACAAGAATACTTCTGCAAATAAGGTCTAGAATATCAAACACCTGTATGCCCAAAAAAACTATTACTGTATAACTATGAAGACTTCCAACGTGCAGCATCTTTCAGCCTTAATAAGGTCCCAAGGGTCTTACCTTTCATGGAGAAACGTCGAATCCCCAGCACATCTCTCCCACCATTGAACAATCTCTCGATATCTACCTCTGCTGCCGGTATAGCAAGGTGATCTTGTGCTACCTTTGCCATACAACTAAATTCAAACATGTTTGCCTTCCACCAGTTTCGTATAAACTCGGACTGGCTCTGGCTTACATCGAAACCAGTGCAGATTGTCGGAGTATCGAAATACTTGTCGATATCAGACTCAGCGACATTATACTGTGTAGGCTGAAAGGCTTCCAGAAATCGATATTCGAAGCTCTTCCAATTGGTGCTTGGAGTAGTCGATATAGGCTGTTTTGTAGTGGAATATGCTTTCTTCAGGAACCCCCGGATTCGGTCAATGATCTTCTCTCCATCTGGTAGCGTTTTGAGCCACTTGGTCTTGATTCGAGGATCCAGAACGCTTGCGATATAGTATATGTCGTTTTCTTTGACGCAGTCGTGGTACTTCTCCAGGAGTGAAATTCCATCGGAAATAGGAACAGTTATTGCTGGTGAGATCTTTTGCCACTCACCTCGTCGTTCTTTGATAGCGAGGAGTATAGAACGGAGCTCTCCAAACATACGCGCCGCCATATGAATTGATGGGCTATCCCGAGAGACGTACTCGGTATATTCGTTGAAGGGAGCCAGGATCTTCTTGATATCCGAGAGCTGTCTCCAGTCGTTAGGTGTCAGACGTAAGGCCTCGATATCTGGATCATCGTTGACTGTATCTTCGAGCTGACGGCGACACTCTTCAGCTCTCACAATCATAACAAAGGTAGAGTTCCACCGAGTATCAACATCGTAGTTGATAGCTTTTGTACAGCCAGGTCGATTGTCCCACTTCTGTATCCGCTGAGGAGATCGCGCAATCCAAAGGACAAGTAGTCGAAGCTTTGCAATAGGCGAAGTAGGAGCGTTGACCGTCTTCCAGCTCCTCTTAGCAACATCATCAAGGAGATCACAGGCTTCCTTATGCGAACTAGCGCGTAGAGACCTCAGTATAGTTTTCATAACCAAGTTCAAGATGTGAGCAAAGCAGCGGATTTGGGAGTTATGAGTAAATTTCATTGTCCCTTCTCGAATGATAGTCTCGGCCAGGTACTCATCGTACCGCTGAGACAGCTTTTGGTAGAGATATCGGTGTAGGGAATCGTTATTCGATGCGTTGTCAGCTGTTATTGTCATAACTTTATCAGATATATGAAACCTCTCGAGAACCGTCGCAACGATATTAGCAAGGTTCTCTCCAGAGTGGCTGCCTTCAATTTCAACGAACTCAATACAAGCTCGATATTGCTGGAAGGCAGAGGACATCCAGTGAGCATTAATGGCTAGCATTGGCAATGAATTCTGACTTGTCCAACCATCTAAAGATAGCGCAATTGAGGATGCTGAAGACATTAAGATTCGAAGCTCACTGTCAAGAGCATCAAGCCGAAGACATAATCGGCGCGACACAGTATCCGCACTTGGTACGGAGTCCTGAAAGCCTGCAGACCTCAACATAGCCTTAAATGAAGGCTGTTCAACGCATGTAAACGGTTGGCAGGTTGATACAATCCAATTCAAGACAGTTTCTTCGAATGGGAGCTTCTTTTCCGTAGAGATCCATGAGCTTAACGGACCTTGGCACCCTGAATGGCCGTCCTGGAAGAGCTTGTGGGTTTGCTGCAGGTGCTGTTTCAACGCTGTGGTTGAAGATCGCAGTTTCGATGCAAATCGAAAGAATCGGCAGGTGGATGGCGACACAATACACAGGTGTTTGAGCTCGGACCGCTCCTTATTTCCTAATCTCCAGGTACCAGATTCAGGTGTAGTAAGGTAGTGTTTCCAAACCCAGCTCCGTTCTTTCGACCTAGTTTCATCTTTCTGCTTGATTTCGACCCTATCTACCTCGCATTCGACCTGAGATATTGATTGTGAAGGACGTATATCCGTATCAAGATTCGATAAACCCATAGAGACATTGCTAGGAGCTGTAGGGGAGGTTGAAATCGGAGGAGTCGGTGACTTAACGGCGGACCGGACCGCCATCTTCTTTCGGGGAGGCGGAAGTGGTATATCCTCTGCGAGGAGGCCATATTTATTAAGCGCCGCATAATCGCGTTTATTTTTCCTAGTATTCGGACAGTCAAATGTTGTAGTAAGTGGAGAAGTCATCTGTAACGTTATATTAGTATGTCAAGCTTGCGTCTTGATCGATCGCTTACCCTCGGGCACCCTGGAGTGACGGTTTTTAGTAGCTTTCGAACCCAATTTGGATGTTGTTCTTGGTAAAAGCACGTATGCGCGAAGACACGTTCTTGTGGAGTCTCCGCTAACCCGATTAGACTATCTATCTACTCTTCATCAAATGCAATGTGCAGCTATTCATATTATGACTCTATATTGATATATTACGTGTATCTCAGTACGATCTATAGGCTAGTATAATTTGAAGCAAAAACAGACCATATATGAGATTATCGATTTGCGGAGAAACCTTAGGAGTCGAATGATATATATTTGGATGAAGGCTGTGACCGAAATTTGTATCTATTGGTACTGCCCTACAGATTCTTAATCTTAAGGCCAGATTGTTCAATTTTGAGATCAAACTGAATCTAGCTTACTTATCTCTGTATCCAACTATTAGTAACTAATTATTAGACTACCTGTATGAGGTGTTGATTGCTGGCTATCGTATTGAACAACAGGAGTGATTGACCGCCTTCCCAATGAAGCTTTAGAACAAAAAAGTTCGCGAACTTCGAATCGAATTCGAATCGTTCTTGAATTCGAATTCGTACGAATCATTATTTTCAATATTAATTCGAATCGAATCGAATCTGCCAAAAGTTCGATTCGATTCGATTCGTGCGGAGCGGTAGGTCTAGAGCATCAGTTCCACCCCCATCCCGGTCATTCTGTATGTGAATTGTGTCCAAATCTCTGGTACATTCAGTGTATGGGAGAGTGTGACTCGCCGCTGCCACCGTAGAGCATGTCTATGGCCTTTGAGAATAAAGCACTGTCATCGCATGTGTCTACCTCTGAGGATGCGGTTGGCTGATTGTAGCTCACTGACTGTGCAGCACATCCTAGCGGCATATTTCACGGGATAGGTTGCAACCTGAAATGGTTCTGTAGAAGTCCCTTGATCCCTATTACCTAGTCCAATGTAGTAGCGAACCACTTTATGTATATAAATAAAGTGAGCCCATAAAAAAAGTCGAATAAGTTATTAATTAAAAGATTCATAAACTGTAAGTTGTAATAAACTTCGTTATAATATGGAAATACTCTTTAAGATGACTTATAAGTTGTATAGGTGATTTTTTCTATTTATATCATGTAGGTAGCACAGCAAGCTCTCCTCTTTTGTGCAAGCTTAGAATTGCAAGCTTATATACGCGCGGATGACCACCTTGAAACCACTCGAAGCCAGTGACTTTGATGAGGAGCAGGTGTTGTCTAGGCCTCGTAATGGAACCTCAAGAACCGCGGTGCAGTTCTGATATTTTTGGACCCGAACCGCACCTCCGCGGTTCGAACCGCAGGTTCCACAAACAGGACAAACTCAAGAAATTCCATATTATGCATGTTTTGTGCATATTCTGACTGTGTTTTTGAGTATTTCGCTTACGGAAGGAATAGTTCAAAGGTCAAGGGTCAAATCAAAAATCTTTCATTCTAAATTCTAAATTCTACTAAGTCTATGGTCTTTCATACACAAAATCTTCATCTTGCCTTGCACGCTTTGAAAGCCGTCCTGACGAACGCCTCTGAGTACCGCCTGTGTGTGGATATTGTCAGGCAGAGGAGCTTCATACCCTTCATCTAATTCAATCACATGCTCTTGATCTTCTGTGGTGTTTTCTGCTGTTGGTCTTTTAACAAGCGCAGGCTCACTGGCCGTTTGGACGATTTGTGATACGACTGCTGAACGCTCATCCTCGCTGTCACTGATGAGATTAAATTCACACTCTGCGTTCCGAGCATCCTTTTCCTCCTTCGCTGTTTGCGTCTCTTGGGTGGTGAGATAATCATTCATCAAGGAAAGCTGTTCAGATTCCATGTTTAACTTTGTTGTACACATAAACAACATAAGATCCTGGATTGTTTTGGATTTCAGCGAGCCTCGACGGTAGTGACAAATATCACGAGCCGAGTTGAATAAACGTTCAACGCCAGAGCCACTAGCAGGGGTTGTGAGAACATCGCGTGCTAGGCTTGCGAGTATGGGAAACTCCTGCTGATGCTCCTTCCAGTAAATCCGTGGGTTCACTAGTTGGGTACCTATGATGATCAGCAAGAGATTTTTGAGACAAAAGGGTTGGTAGTATGGCGTACTACTTCCTAGATCACGCGAAAGCTCGTCATAAGCGTTCGTTTGTGGTCGGAGAGATGCGGTGGACGTCACGAGGATATCAACATCAGAGATCCCCCCTATGAAGGATTGGCTACTCGATATGGACTGTGTCTCTCAATATCGCTGTTGGTAGGGTACCAAATAATTTTCCAAGCTCTTGCGGTACTGGACACGCCAGTGGGGTTCCCAGTCCCTGCCAGAAAATAATTCCAGCTTATTTTGTGGCGCCAGGACCGTACCGATTGCATATAGATCACCATCAATATCATTGGTCAGCTTATAGTACTCCGAGAGCTTCAATGTCGCCGCGTGAATGCCACATAGCATCACTTTCTTCCAGTGAACCATCTTTCGCGCAAGTTGGGCTCTAGACTTCTCTAGATGAGAGAAAAGTGTGTTGTAGATTGCGAAGACACTGTGGATGGTGATTTCCTTGGTTTTGGAAAGGGATGTAGTGAAGGTAAAGAAAGGTTGCGTGATTGAAAGAAGATAGCCAATCTGTCCCCATTCATCAAGACTTGGTTGTAGCTCTTGGTTGTCGTATTGCGAGCAGAATTCGTTGAGAACAGACTGTAGGCGTTTTGCACGCCGGAGCATCAAGAATGTTGAATTCCAACGTGTCCGCACATCTTGTATTGGAACAAGCTTTGGCTCCTTGGTCTGAAGTTCTAAGAGATTCTCTCGGCGTTGGGGGCTTTTGTTGACAAGATCGCAATTCGCCGAATCTAGTGACTGGTTAGTAATGATACTATTAAAAAGCGTTTATACTTACCTTAGAGAGGGCCTGCACGATTCCACGGTTTTCTCGGCGCGTTCCATCATCTCTCTTAGTCCATTCCATCTCTTCTCTTTCGTTCTTGGATTTGCTTCCATCTGACCAAGCAGCTCCTTGAGACTGAGTTGAATGACGTGCGCGATGCATGGCATACGGATGATTGGCACATGATTAGGTAGCTCAAGTGATTGTAGTGTCCCCGGATGCTATCCACCAACGTTGAATTATTAGACGCATTATCTGTGGTTACCGTCAAGATCCTGTCTTGAAACTCATGCTTTTGCAGTAGTTCCAGCAGAACAGTGTTCAGATAAGATCCAGTATGCGCTCCATGCAGCGGTTCAAAGCCAAGTAATACCTCCCGATAATTCCAATCATTATCGAGGAAGTAGCCTGTCACTGCCATAATGGCCTGTCGAAAGGGCGAAGTCCAACAATCTAGTGCAATGGAAAGTTTAGCATCCATGGGAAGCATCCGAAGAAGAGTTTGTTGTCTTTCTTCAACTAATTCTTGAAGTTGACGGCGAACCATGTATGCAGATGGTATTTCCGGAAAAGACGGAGCAAGCCGGGCCATTTCAATCAGGGCGCGAATTTGTCGATTATCAACAAGCTGGAAAGGTAACCGTGAGGCAGTCATGAAAGTGATTATCCTCTCTATCCACGCTTGATGGGTAAAGATGCCTTTTTGAGGGGTGGTCTTAGCCTAGACAGATTGAATTGTTTTAGTACAGATCTAGAGAAACAGGAGACATAGATAGTTCAACGTACCCCATTATGTGTTACAGGGTGTGTGTGTGTGTGTGTGTGTGTTTCATTTGCCCTGAAACGAAGGAACGGAGTGAAAGGGGTCACAAACCGCGCGGCTGCGCGAGGCTGAGTTAACGCTGCTTAGAACACTGCGATTCACACAGCCTACGCCTCCCTATCATTGGTTGTTGGTTGGATTCATGATCACGTGTTCCTTCTCGTCTTTGTTATGCCTCCTTTGATGGGACTGGTCTCGAGTGGTCTCTCGGCCTGCCTGTTTCACAAGGAACATCCTAGTATGTTGTCCCTATCAACCCCTTCCTGTCCGCTGTTACGATAATCTGCCAACTTCCGTGTTACCATCTCGCCATATTATTGTTTCTCTGCACTCTTCTTCCTATTCGCCCCTTCCTTTCCCTTTATCCTTGCCGTTCTTTCCCCGCGCCCGCCCATCTAATACTTATACCAGTGCTTTCCCATGCGCTTATTATTATAATTGTGTTTTGCAGTATAAGGTGAACACTTTTGTCTATTCCCCAGGTTCTATCCAGACTACAACCGATGATGAAAATTGCATACTGTCCTCCACGCCTATAATTTGGACCGTCGGTTGTTTTATCTGCTAAAAAACCAATCTTCTACAATCTAGTCTTCCGGGCAATGAAGAAGATTCCGACACGTATTTCATGCACTTTCCCAAGGCTGCCCAGCCAATAGTGACATTACTCGGTGTCGCTATTGGTTAATTGAAGGGTGGGCCCACTCTTCTCTGCCGTCTCCAGACCACTGTTTACAACAATTCAACCCGAACCCATGACACCTTGCCTGTCACCGCAAACTCCAAAAATGGTCAGCGTTGGGCCAACTTTCCGCCACTGAGCGTAATCACCCATGATTCCTTGACCGGTCGTATTTTCGGCCTCACAAAAGAACATCGCCAGTTAGCTGTTGTTACGGATGATATACACTTTCTCCCAACACCAAATAACCATTTGCCCGCAACTACCCCTTCCTCGACTGGTAAGCGGAAGCGCGTGGACCGTTGGTCTCAGAGAGCCCGCTCACAAACGCCACCAAATCGGCTACAAGGTCACAGTAGAATCACTTCCTATGATACACCAGTCCCAGGAATCCCCTGGAGTTACTGCACCTGAGCACCTGGTGACGACGATGAGGAAGCCACGCAAATTACATGGCAGACACGCCCGACGAAACCAAGCCTCGCCGCGTCCCACCACGACAGTTCCAGAGGTACTCTAACAGACCACGAAAAAAATTATTTGCCGATATTCTTACACAAACGAATTACGATAGTTGATTAACAGATTACTGATTTCTCGGTTTTCCAAGATGTCAACAAAAGAGGGTCGCCAGTTGAATAGTGCGCCCGAGGAATATTCAGCACCCCCTCTGCCTGATGATCGTAAGGCTCTCAACGACCTTACTAAGCTCATCCCCTATTTATTCTGCACTTTCTATAGTATATAGAAAAAACACTCTCAAGTACTCAATTGGCTATGCCCGTACTAGTCCGTACTGTAACGACCACGTTCCGACATTATATCCTCTCGCGCACCCCAGATGACTAACTACACTGACTATCCGCGGAAAATTCCACCCAGTCCTTCTTTGTAGGAAAGCGCGTGTCGACCCAGAAGCGCAATGGGCTTGAAGGGTAGGAAAGAGATTAAATCCGTTTTAGGATCGGTATATTGCTGGATTGGACATCATTATCAGCTTCGTGGTCCGTTGAGTGAATGAGTCGTTCTTTGCCCTGTTCAGGATCTGAGTCCATTATCTGCACAAGTGAAGGCAGAAACAATACTATCTTCCTTGTAACTCGAAATAACGGATTCAACGGAAGCCTACGTACCATGATTAGTTGCCGAAATCATCAACCTGAATAAATGGGAATTGGAGAGGAGGATCAGAACTTACGTATGTTCCGGGGCCTAAAAAGAGAAGGCCAATCAAAATCACGCTAACGTTCAGAATGAACTCTACCCAGCCACGTAGGCCCCGTTTCTTGTAGAAGTTTGGCCCGTAATCGGAGTGGCTCATGCGAATATGGGCGACTCCCCAAAATATAAAGCCGAAGAATGAACCAAAAACCGCGCCTATGATTGACAGTAGACCAGTAAAAAAAGGAATGACCTCCGCGATGATCCAGGCCAAGATCCATAAACCAAGTAAAATCCCACTCCAAACAGCCCAACCCGCAACCGTATGATTGCTCTTGTGTCGGGTGCCTTCGAAGAGGCGGAAGAAAATAAAGCGGGCCGAGACTGAAGCATAAAGGACCCCCAAGAAGATAATTGTCGGTACCATAAAAGAGAAAGAAACTTTCATATAAAGCTCATTACCAATTGAACCAAAGGCAGGTGCAGTCATATACTGGTTCCCAGTATAGAGATAGATAATAGCACCAATAATCGTAAAGACGACGACTTCAGCTATAGTCACAGCGGTAAGAGATTTCCAGAATTCCTTTGGCTCCTTCATTTCCGCAATGAAGCTGGGAACAGTAATCTGGCCGATAAATGTAAAGCTGATGTTGAGAAAAGCATTGAGTCCCTGTACAAATGTGGTATCAGGTGAGGGGATTAAAAGAAAAATAGGGCTCCCTTTTTCTGCATCCCATTCATACGGATGCTCTTCAATACCAGCGAAGATAGTCGCAAGTATCACAGAGATGAAGGTAGCGAGGGCTGAAAAGGTTGCTAGTTTGGACAGCCCGCTGAAAGTCCGTGGCAACGAAAATAAAAGGGAAACCGCCGCCACAATAGCGGAGAATGCAACGGTGCAAATCGCGTGGTGAGACATCGTGTTTAGGTATTGGGAACCGATCAAGCAATGCAAAGACTAAGCCAGTGGTGAGGACGATGCTTCGATGTGAAAGCTGTATGCGTACCTGGATAAAGGTGTTGTTCAACAAGAACATCGCCGCGGTCAAATACCACGCTATTTTGGAGTTCCAAAATAGGTACTGCCCAATGTCACAAACATCGCGGACCTCGGGATGTCGCAAGCAGAATCGCCTATTGTCCGCTGTCAGTTATGCCAAATCTCCGGAGTCCAATGTAAATACCAAATAGTAAGGGATGTATAGAAGGCAATCATTGCCACCGTCACTGTTAAGATGACGCCTGGAATGAGACCAAGAACGGAGAATGACCAGGGAAACGACATGATAGCAAGGCAGATATACTCCGAAAAAAGCAATGCAGCGGTCTAAAAATCAGTGGATAATCGAGGATCGTGCTTGGAGACTGGAATTACCCACCTTTTGCCAGCTGCAGGTTCGATATTTGATGGTGTTGTGCGATTCGGTTTCGATCGCTAGGCCAACAGTACCACTGTTCAAAGAGTTTGTCTCGTCCACAGCGGGGGTTCTACACCCCTGGCCTTCGAGATCATGGTCAATTTTCTTCAAGTATATATCGGGGTCTCTGTGAAGAGACCCGGAAGAGTGGCCAGCTGTATCCATCGCGCGGTTCCAATAAATGCGGCTTTATTGAAAAGCAGTGGTGAAAATGGACTTGAAAAAACCGCCGTCGAGGATTTCGTTTGGTCTCTGGAGTAAAAGACGATGTTAGCGACGTGCGGTCAAAGGCAGCCTGTACTTCCATTAGAGGATGCCAGGCCATCCATTACCTCTTTCATTGTATGTAAATAGCTCACATACTTTAGTGAAGTAAATAACTCACTCTGGGTAGCGATTATGGTAGGGTGATCTGAATGTGCACATTACCTCAGGCGAGAATAAAAAGAAGAGAACTTTAAGCTCAGGATGTGTGGGAGGGAAGGAAGACATATATACTCAACATTTTTAGGGTGCTGATGGCCTTTCGACTATCAGCTATAGGTTTCCAAGTAGGTGGTTGTAGTAGGGCCACCTACAATAAACCCTAAATGGGTACACGACGACAGGCACTCTGAAGCAATGAATTCAACGTTGTTAGCGTGTACTTCTGTAATCGGTAAACCTTTCCCGTTGTGGACACTCTCGCTCATGGGCTACTTTTGGGGTTTTGATCTTTTGGTGCGGGGAAGCGTAAAGGTACGGTGTTGTCTCATCAGTCATCAGTCGAGCATCGTGTCTATGGTACATCGCCGGTATTTGTTCAGTAATTTACTAGCGCCGAATGATAATCAGGGCATGTCCAGAAGAAACCCTGAGTGTTGATTGTGTTAGTGGGTCTCAGTGAAATCTAGGAGTCTACTGAGTACATATGCATGAAGCAGATCCCAAATTGCAAGTAAAGTAATCGCTACATAGTTGTCTGTGCGAGTTGGTCACAGAGCGTCGCTGCCGAAGGCAAAACAGTGCAAGGGTTGTTATCGGTCAATATATGAATAGCCTTGTTAGCAAGATAGGTTGGCTTAGGCAAATAATGAGAAGGGGAGTCATCATGTGAAATTGGGCGAGCATAGCAAGGATCGTGAATTAGCACTCATGGATGTCCTTTCCTGGCTAATCCGATTTGCTTCCTAGAGTAACACTAGGAGAATTCAAACATCTTTACCTTCCAATTAGCCAATCATGACCAGAGAACCACATTTGAGAGGATCTGGATCGTCCTGGCCCTCGATTTCAATAATAAATGAATATTTCTGCATTCTCTACGGAGTACGCATTAACAAGTTGCATCCTGTGGAAAGTTTGAAAACTATGATGCATAGACAGCAACAGGTCGGGTAAAGAGTACTAATCAAGGCATATAGTACATGATGTGCTCTTTCATCCTAGCAAGGTACATATATCCTGGCAATGCGCCTTCCTGTATCCGGTGAAACGACCCCAAACGGTAATGCTGCAGACCTGGCTGTGTAGAGTACCCAGAGTGCAGTTCTAGGACAATGGGTTGCGGAGTTAACCAAATCGCAAGTCAGCCGTCGTGACCAACCCTCGGCCATTTCCGTGAACTGGAGGCAAAGGAGTCCCGTTAAGTCACGCGCACTCGAGAAACGGTAGTGTCTAGACCTGACCATCATCATCCATCCTCCTGAACACATTCAATAGTTTGAGGGTCTCTTACCAACTGGTTATCACTGCATGCAGGATCCTATGTTTTCGGACAAAAGACCTGTCGCGAGACCTGCATGATCGCCAACTGTACTGTAAAGCACCGAGTTCAGAGGAGAGTCGATATCTAAGACAGAAGATTGGGTGGTGAGTTAAGGAAATGGATGCAGAAATTAGTACCTTCACTAGCTGCAAATGAAACGGCACGGGGGATATCAAACTCTATTTCATTGGGTGCTATGGCCATGAATCACTCCGGTGGAGTATTAGGTTTTCTTGGGATTGTCACTAGGAATTTACACTGAACTTTCAAGATAATCATTCACTTTGATAACTTGATGCCTCCACCTGATAGCATCTGATAGCACAAGAAGCTTATGACTGTGTATCCGCTCAACAATCAAGCTTTAATTTGTTGAGTGAAGAATTTGAGGCAATCTGAACGTCGTAGGCGAAACGGTTGATTGTGTGGCCAAAATTACAGTTTTAGTGGGTAACGAATACGTGTGGACACGCGTACTGAAGCTTCGTAGAGCGCAACTCGGTTTGCCGCCTTAGGTCGCAATAAGCTTTGAAGATAATGGATTCAGTAACCAGCTCGAGCAACAGAATCCATTCTCTCTGGTCCTCATGGTGCTCTATGGCACGCACCGGGTTTGCCACTTAGTCTTCTTCAGTTCTATAACCCTATTCGTATACCGAGTGTTTGCGAGTAATTTTCTTCGATATAGTAAAGGTAATCTGAATACAGGCAGCTCTTATCAAACAGGAAACTCCATCACCCACCACATTTCTATTCACACACCATCGCGCGCCGCTGAATGCGCTGGACGCACGTCCTGTTGAGCCAAAACAGAATCTACGAAAAGCCGCTGATCAATTTTTAGTAGTACTGTTTATTGCTATAGCCTAATTAATCTTGGTATAGCGAGGGGATGATATGCTTTCTCGCATGGTCAGTACAGAAAGCGAGGCAGGGCCAGTATGATGTATGAGATACGGGATTATTACCCCGGTACTATTACTGTAAACCCCCCTTTATCTTTCCATAGGCCTACCCAGGTACTTGCTAGTCATTTTGTTACTCTATATTGTAGGTCGTCCCTTTCGCTCAATGTCTCGCCTGCATGTACCACACCATTCCTGACTTCAGTTATTTAAAAACCCCGCCACCCCCTCTTCGTTCACTCATTATTACTTCCACAATCCAGTGTTCCCATCTTTAAAGGTTAACTCTTTCATCGCAACCATTATGGCGGAAAAAAAGCCCAACATATTGTACATTATGGCCGACCAGATGGCGGCACCCTTGTTATCTTTGCACGACAGGGAATCCCCCATCAAAACTCCTAACCTGGACAGGTTGGCAGATGAGGGTGTTGTTTTTGACTCGGCCTACTGCAATGCTCCCCTATGTGCCCCTTCGCGTTTTGTCATGGTCAGTGGCCAGCTGCCCTCGAGAATTGGAGCCTACGACAACGCGGCGGATCTGCCCGCTGACGTCCCCACCTATGCCCATTATCTGCGCCGCGAGGGATACCACACGGCCCTCGCCGGTAAGATGCATTTCTGTGGGCCGGACCAGCTACACGGTTACGAGCAGCGTCTCACCAGCGATATATATCCTGGTGATTACGGTTGGTCCGTGAATTGGGACGAGCCCGAGGTTCGCCTTGACTTCTACCATAACATGTCCTCGGTCATGGAGGCCGGTCCTGTTGTCCGCACCAACCAGCTTGACTTCGATGAAGAGGTTATCTACAAATCTGAACAGTACTTATATGACCACGTGCGCTCTCGCACTAATCAACCTTTCTGTCTGACCGTGTCTATGACCCACCCCCACGACCCCTACGCCATGACCAAGGAATTCTGGGACATGTACGAGGATGTCGACATTCCTTTGCCTAAGAATGGCCCCATTCCCCATGACCAGCAGGACCCCCACTCTCAACGTGTGCTGCAGTGCATCGACCTCTGGGGTAAAGTAGTGCCCGAGGAGAACATCAAGAGAGCTCGCCGGGCATACTATGCCGCCTGCACATACGTCGACACCAACATCGGAAAGCTTCTAAAGGTCCTAAAGGACACTGGCCTCGATGAGGACACTATCATCGTCTTTAGCGGCGACCACGGTGACATGCTCGGTGAACGCGGTCTTTGGTACAAGATGACCTGGTTTGAAAACTCAGCTCGTGTGCCTATGCTCATACATGCTCCTAAACGCTTTTCTCCCAAGCGCATCTCCGAGAATGTTTCGACCATAGATCTGCTGCCCACTTTCGCGGAGATGGCCGGTGCTCAGCTAGTGAAGGAGCTTCCTCTCGACGGCGTTTCACTCGTGCCATACTTGACCGGCGGAGAAGGTCTCCGCACTGATACCGTGTACGGCGAGTACATGGGCGAGGGTACCCAGGCCCCTCTAGTCATGATCCGCCGCGGCCGCTGGAAGTTCGTGTACTCAACCATCGACCCTCCCATGCTTTTCGATCTTGTTGCCGATCCTGAGGAGAAGGTCAATCTGGTTGCCGGTCTCCCAGTCCCATCTATCAGAGGGAGCGCTGCTGTCAAGTCACCCGTCAACCGTCTGAATCTGCAGACCAATCTTCCCACTCCGAGTGACACTCCCAGTGGGTCTCCCACCCCGAAGTTCGCTGATGAGAAGGACTCTTACCCCTTCCCAAGCCCGAGTCCTCCCCGCAGCCCCAGCTCCAGCCGGGTCCCTCCACCCATGCCCGAGACCACTGACCCTGTCAAGCTGCTGGCCTGGTTCATCGATGAAACCAACAACTGCTGGGATCTCGAAAAGATTCGCGACGATGTTCTGCACTCCCAGCGCCGCCGCCGCTTGGTATACGCTGCCCTAATCCAGGGAACCACTCACGTGTGGGACTGGGAGCCCCGTGTGGACCCCAGTACTCAGTACGTGCGCAACCGGGGCAAGGGTGTCCTCGACGATGTCGAGCTCATCTCGCGTTGGCCCCGAGTGCTGATGCAGTCTTCCCTTGATAGCGGCATACAAGTTTAAACCTGATTCAGCTGCGAAATGCTACCTGAATATGAGAGCACACATGTGTTAGCGTTCCTCCAGCATGCAGGCGTTACTGAGTGTTGTGGCTTTCGTGTTCTGCGTCTCAGAACCATAGTGGCTTTCCCTCCTTAACTTTATCCAGGATACTTGTCCATTCTTTGCATGTACTCGGCGAAGTGCTATACTCGAATTCGTTCCATATTTGTATTCCAGTCCCTATTTGCATCGGCGGCGAACTTCGCTGTATCTTTTCTTGTAAAGACTTCGCTGAGGATTCTTTCTATTCCTGTGTGTCGCACAATGTCGTTGTATTTGCAGTGGGTAGGACTGAATATACTTTGCATAAGTAAAATGACTTCTATCTACCTTGGTATATGTCTTACTTATTAAATTCTGTCACAAGCAGCCCAACTATCCAATACTTAACAGACCTGTCAGTCGAATACAAAAGGGTGAATCATGATTCAAATCGTCTGGTATTGCTCAAAGTTGACTCATCTTTTCCCTCGGAATTGTGAGACACGCAAGTCTATCCTGTCCCCACTGAAGATTACATACTTACAACATACCTACAAGAAAAACATGGCTTGGCTAATCATCTCCTAAATACAGCAAACTTAGAGGGTAACTGGAATATTATGTCTATTTAATACATTCAACAAGCATTGCCACTTGAACCATCGCCAGCTGAACAATACGAAAGCAAGAATTGTTGGAAATCCAAAGGAAGGGCTCCAATACTGTACTAGCTCCCAGAGGCAACAGAACAGTTCTACCCGCTGACTAGTTATAACAGGGTTTGGCAGAGCGGGCTCAATGGGGCGAAGAAAATGAGCGAGAAGACCTAGAAGAAGCAGGGCATGGCGGCGGATAACAGGAGGGGTAGGTTGGGCAGCCCAGGGAACACTCGTCCCGCAAGCGAAACCGAGGATAGAGTCCTGCATGTAAATGTACGGAACTACTTACTTAAAACAAGAAACGCTAACTAAGTAATAATGCTCGGAGAGGTTTTGTACGGACTATATTTATTGGTGGCGTGCGCTAGCGTGGAACGGAGTGCTTGGCATTGCCAGTGATTGGTTAGGGTGTCCGTGGATCAAGATAGTTTCTGCCTTTTTTGTAGTTGCCTTGAGAGAATCATTTTGAGGGGGCAGTGGATCGTAACCCTAGAGCCCCTAAAATTTGCAGTACAAAATAGATGGAATAACGGGTATGCGCTGAGCTGCAAGACGCCTATCGTAGTTTGCCACCGCCCAATTCAGGCCAACGCGCCGTCGACCCTCGTCCATACAAATACCAATGATAAGCCTATTCAGGACTTATTAAATGTGTACGCATTTTGTAATTCTGCGCCTATTATTAAGCTTAGTTCTAGATCGGGAACGTTTTTCTGCTTCAGGAAACCAGTCCCTTCCCCGACACCGAATCCTGCCTACAACGGGGATCCAACCAGCCAATATCATCTCCAGTGGATCTTTGAAACAGCCTATAAGACTTTGATTCTCTTCGACCTCTTCTACATCTGACCAGTGCAAGAGCAAACTCAGTCGAAATGACGGCATCAATCAACGGAACCAAAGCTATCGTCATTCCTCCAGAGTATACATTGATCACACCCTCCGAATCTTTCACGGATGATTCTTACGGCGTTGTATCTTGGCACATCCTCTTCTCGCGATCTCGAACACCTAGCTCGGATCTGTGTGCTGGTATCGCAGTCTGTCCTCCGGCAAATGGACATCTTTGTGGCCATCGCCACGAGCAAGCCGAAATTTACTATATCATCGAGGGATATGGGGAGATGACTATTGACGGCGTGAAGAGTCATGTTGCAAAGGGTTGTTCTGTGTTTATTCCCCCCAATGCCGAGCATGGGATTGAGAACACAGGTATTGAGAATTTGAAGTGGTTTTATGTCTTTCCAACCAGTGCGTTTAGTGATGTTGTATATCGCTTCACCCAGGATGAGAAGCCGAGGTTCTGAATTCGCTACATTATTCTGCTGTCAAGATATCAATTAGTTTGCCACCTTGTCCTCAGATACATTATACAGTTTATAAAGCCTAGCCTGTACCGTGGGCTTTATATACGGCATTGTGCCATGTTCTATTTGCAGCTTCCTAAGAGATAGTGACCAGTACTTGGTCTATAACTTCCCACTAAGGGTTAGCAATGGCCCCTAGGAGTCCTCGATTACGCGGTTATCTAGCCCTCCACTTGTTGTGCTCACCACCAGACCTTAGGTTCGTTCGTTCCCTAATACCCTTCCACCCCCCAGGACCGCCACTTTATTTTTCCCACCTACTTCTGATATGATGCTCTGGGCTATGAGGACAATGACTTAAATACACCTTGCTTTGCCTGAAAGTATGGATGTGAGAACCTAGCGCCATTAGATCTCCACCTCTGTGATAATAACCGAGAAATCCCCATAACGTGGTTACGATAACTGGTGGTTCTCTAGGTAGCCGTACTATGATAGCAACCGGCGTGGGGGAAGGACATAATCAAATCAATACAATTACTTCAAGGAGCAATTTGGTAGCGACATGGCGAATCACCCCTGGACACACGAAGTAGACTGACAAACGGTCAGATACCATTAGGGCCCTTCGGCAGAGGCTTATTCATCGTTCACCCAACTCCCCTTAGTATTTGTACGGTATTCCGGGCACATTCGGAAGTACGGTGTTGTAACACGCCGACACTTTATTTTGAGACTTACAATCAATCATCAGAGTCTATTGAATATGTTCAGTACTAGCCTCATCTTGACATAAATGTTCCTAAAACAAAAGTGGAAAAGTAATAAGAGATTAGAGGATCTAACTTGTGATTGATTCCCGGCTTACTCCTTGCTCCACCTTGGAGAAACCCCACTCGGTCCACTCAGACCATTTAGTCTTCCTACGGAGTTGTCAGTGCTGCATTCATGAATACGGATTGAGAACCGGAATTATAGTAACTCCGAATGAGCGGATTACTAAGGATGAGCATAGCATAAATAGCAAGAAATAGCAAGTAATAAATGACAGAGATTTCAATGCCCTCATTGGCTGAGCAAGTTACGGAAGACAGCAAGTTCCGACAGGAGTTGACTGCCTGGTCTTCTCAAACCACTAACCACTTGGACCACTTAATCTCCCATCCTTCCGGGCGTAGTACCGCGGATGGCAAGAGGGTAGCCGGAAATGGTGTCCTCTTGGTAGAATTTCTATTGCTTTTTCGGGTTCTCGTGGGTATACCCACGACCCGCCAAGAACCCATGGGCGGGTATATTACGGAATTCACATGTAATACAGACAACACCACATATAGGGAAGAGTTTTATTGGGGTTGCCTCACGTGATGCCCGCACAGAGCCGACAGGCCTACGGAGGGGTTTCTTCCGTCCTGCAACTGCCTCACGGGAGTCAATTGCTCGCCTCTGCTGGTAGCTCGTCATCTCTCACGCAGTCAAGACTCGTTTTGTCCCTCCTACCTTCCCTCTGTACATAAAAACCATTGCAAATATACAGACACATTGCCTCCCTACAAGGAGCGCGGATGGGCTCTATCTGACGCTACGATCTAAGACCGCAGCGACAGGTGACCCATCACGGCCAAACTATACACGTTCCTGATCCCTCTTGACTGGGTGAGGTCACCAATAAAATAGTATGTAAAAATCACAATCGCAAGTACTTAATTGGCTATGCCCGTACTAGTACGTACTGTAACGACCACGTTCCGAAAATATCCACTCTATCTTTATTCCGTTTCAAAAATGACGTTCCGGGTTCGGGCTCTGAGATTCGGCCTTTGAGATTCGGCCTTTGAAGTTCAATCGCCGAAGATGTCTGTTTCATGACTCATGCTGCTGACTTCCTTTACAGTTATTACTCACTTTCTGCTGGCCCACTCACTTACCTACTGCTTTGGTATTGCACAATTTTGGTTTGCTTTTCTGGCATCCCTCCAGCACCAAGCCCCCCGAAGCCATCCTTCAGCCCAAATACCGAGTTTGAACTTCAAGCCAAATCAGCAAAGCTTACACCATGGCTTTACCCCCGTTGCCTGTTGACTCCGCATTGGATGCTATTGGAAATACGCCTGTCGTGCGTCTCCATCGCGTGGTTCCGGAAGGCCATGCTAAGGTCTTTCTGAAGCTAGAATACTTGAACCCGACCGGTTCGTATAAGGATCGTATGGCGAAGTCCATGATTGAGCAAGCCGAGAGAAAAGGGAAGCTTCAGCCAGGTATGACGGTTGTGGAAGCCAGTGGTGGCAGTACGGGCTCTTCTTTGGCATTCGTCTGTTCCATCAAGGGATACCAATTCAGAGTGGCTTCTTCCAATGCCTTTGCAGTCGAAAAGCTACGGACTATGCGTGCCCTGGGTGCCACTGTGGATATAATTCACAGTCCATCCGACTGCGTCACAGCAGACCTTATCCCCTCTATGATACGCCATGCACGAGGCGTTGCCAGCCAGGAAGGACACCTCCTCATCGACCAGTTCAATAATACAGATAGTCTTCCGGGGTATGACTTAATCGGCGAAGAACTGATTGAACAATTCCCAAATGGAATTGATGCCTTCTGTGGCACGTTTGGTGGGGCTGGCATGGTCACGGGGGTGTCTCGAGTGCTTAAATCGAGGTGGCCAGAGACACGGTTTATAGTGATAGAGCCGGAATCTTCACCCGTCCTCACGAAGGGTCATGCCGGCTCCCATAGTGTGGAGGGTGTTGGGGTGGGTTTTATCCCACCTCACCTCAATCGCAGCTTATATGATGAGGCATGGGGTATTTCAGAAGAGGAGGGGCGTACTATGTGTCGGCGACTTGCCCGGGAAGAGGGGCTGCTTGTGGGAACTTCCACGGGTCTCAATGTCGTCGCTGCCATTGCCCTAGCCAAGGAGCTAGGTCCTAACAAGACGGTGGTTACCGTTGCTGCTGACACCGGACTTAAATACATGAACGGAGACCTCTTCGCCGATAACGGAAAGAATCAGGATAGAATCTATGTACCAAATTGAACAAACACTTAAATCGTACCACTTCGGTTACTTGCTGTTGAAAACTTGTTCTTGCCCACGATACTTTAGCATTGGGCCGGCTTTCAATCATTGCCGTTAATTTCCATTTCTCTTATCGGCCCGATTCTTAATCTGCTCGAGTCTTTCGAGGTTGCATAGTTTGTATCACAAGGACACGATCAACCTTCCGCGCATGGTTAGATAGAATAGAATTTATCGGCGGGCTCCGTTCACTACTCCATTAGACAAGCCTAGAGTCAGGAGTTGACTACGCGGGATCCCGAATCCCGGCATTAGTCCAGCGACCAACGCAAGGACGAAATCCTCGACACATAAACCCGCGCCCGCTCGCTATTTCCACCTCCATCAATGAAGACTTGGGTGTCAGGTGTCTTCCACCTCTGTGTTACAAGGCTGGGAAACCGTCTCAAAACCCCCACGAACACTAAAGGTTAACTATTTATAATTCTGTCTCAAAATTACTAAGAACACATTATCCTTGGAGATATGAACGCGCATCACCCGAGATGGGGAGGACCGCCTACCAACACCAAATGGCGCCACCCTTATTTTATTCCGGCTGATTTCAGCTTAATGATCAAACATCGCCGGGCAAATCTATACAGACAAACTCGAGTACTTGCTGGCTCAAAATAGCACGATTGACGCGGGAGTCGATAGCCATTTAACCACCTTTTCATAGGCCCAGGTATTATTCTCGTCCACGACAAATGAATCTAACCCGGAAACCTCAACACTCTTGCCCAGCGAAGTTCACGCCACTAGTTTCCATTGGAACGAGCAAACAAAAAATTGGTTCATTGACAGGCAACCCTCTAGTTAAATTAGCATGCTAATGATAATATTTCAAGGGGAAAAGGCTCCCGGGCTCCTCAGTTGGACACCGATAGTTGAGCAAAATTTACCACAATGTTACTACTAGGCCTTTTTTGCGCATCATGTCCAACCAATGGACAATGCTGGAACTATCTGCGTTCCGGCTATCATACTCCTCCCATATGGCTTTCACAAATTGTAGCGTGTCGTCCATTCGTCGATGAGGCAGTGTCTGTTGGAGGCTACTGAGTCGCGTGAGGACAAGGTCTCTCGCCCTGGACGTTTCCAGAGTTGATCGCGGAATGACTGTATCCGTAGTATCTCTGATATCGAATGTGGAGGGACTAGTTATTTCGGGTACATTCAAAGTCGGTAGACCAGACGAAAATGGATCCATCCCGAGGGAACCCCACGTGGTGCCCGAGGATAGCCGCCCGGCTCCTTCGCCGTTCCCGTCGGAGATGTCCCCCGACTGAAAAAGGACTTCAAATTTGAGGCCCGTGGCTGCGGAAAGATATAATATCAAATGGATAGACCTTGAGCCCGATTGAGGAGGGATTTGCTCGAGTGTAGCAACAAGGTCTAGGGTCAGTGAAAGGAGATACTCTCTTCGAGACGCCCGATGCTCAGAAATATTGTCTATCGCTTCGGCAGGCAATCTTCCGGTCAAGCCTTGAGGCGCCCCTCGTGGCACCCTTTCAAGGTCACTAAAAGCGAGATGTAGCTGTAGCAAGGCTGCTTGACGGTATGCTTCGGCAGTTTGCACCAGATGAGCGATGGGGGTATTGTCGTCCTGCGTCTGCACGGGAAACCCTTGAATTTCATCCATGAGAACCAGGGTCTCGAAGTCCATGGCCAGTAGCTCTCTTTGAAGGTCGTGTGCCAGAGAAAAGTTGGAAAGTATTTCGCACGCTAGTAAGGTCGTGAAGCCTGCCGTATTCTTCCTTTGATGACTAACATTATAGCACAGGGCCAATACCTGCCCGGAAACATCTACAACCTCATTTGAAATGCCAGACCATGAGTTAGGCCTGGTCCCCAAAAGGCTCTGCCCCAGATCACATGGCAGTGACTCAATGGGAACCGCATTCGCATTGCACCCTGAAATTCCCATTGCCTGCCAAAGCCTCACATTGTAAGATTGTCGCCTTTTCTCCAACCTTGCAGGGATTGAACCACGCCCGGCTGCCGCCATTAGCATTTCCCAGTAGCCCAATGCTTGGCAGAAGTACGCATGGAGTGGCACGTTTGAAGTTGGTAGCTCCACTCCCCAGATTGAAAGTAACTCGCGAGCAGATTCCAGCCAACGATATTCTGAGCGAGACGCTAGCGTGCAATCCAACGAATTGCCCAACGTGAATACCGCGTAGACAAGGTCGGGCTGGACTTTTGGTGACTGCGAACGGCGTGCTAGGTAGATGGCTTCATCGATGGCTGCGACTGCTTGGGATCGCAAGGCTGCCTCGATGCCCCAGAGCCGGGGCGTACTGACCGAAAGGCGGGCGGCGGACATCGTTTGGATGGTATAAAAAACCGCCCTCGACGTGCTCCATGAACTCCAAGCCAGTTGACGATTGTAGCTGATCTCAGAATCATATGTGGACCACAGTGGGCAAATGTGGCCAAACCAGTGTTCAATCAGCATAGTTGGAAGATCGATAGGAGCCTGCAAAATCCTTGGGCTCAGTGGAGCATCCTCTTGATACTCTTCATACGCTTCTAAGAAGTCAGGCTCTATGGGGAAGGATGTCTTGCCCCACGTGTCACTGGAGTCTAGACACACGCTGGGATCAAGGGCCGTGGATTGCACCCTTATGGGAAAATCAGGCGGCCAGGGGGGACTAGTGCTCACGGCCACGTTGAGTCCATTACATGAGGTATCGGAGACGCTTGAAATATCAGTTTCGCGGTTTGTTCTGAAGCTGAGCTTATCATCATTCGGTTGGCCTTGGTATTGCAGAGTGTCAACCTCGTTTGACTGGCTGCTGGTTGTATCTGCCGAGGTTGTCTTCTGGGGCCGCTCGTATTTCGTTGACCAGCGCAATGTCTGCTGGAACCCGGGGCACTGATAACCAAGCATCCAGCAGTTTTGACAGGCCGGGTGGCTCTCATCGCATTTGATCTGTTGGCGTCAGGATTCCCAATCGGGCATTTCTCGCGCCCATGCCAGGACTCACCCGCCGGCTCTTGCATCTAGGCTGCGGCAAAACCGTGGTTTTGGGTATCATAGTCAAAACCACAACCGCAAGTTTGCGGTATTGGATATCAACTTGAAAACCGCAACCACAACCGCAGATTTGCGGTTTAACCGCGGTTATCCATGGACAACCGCAAGGAAACCGCACTAGCATAGCTCTCGCCTCATTAACCGATTCCAGCCTATCAGGTGATACTTATACAGTTTTCCAAACTCTTTAACCTAATTTTGAAGATACGCCTCTTCTCGTAAAACAGTACAACGCTATAGATTTTATTGCTCATGCCATCGGTTTATAAGAAATAATTACCTTCTTGTTCAATAAATGGCCGAATATTGATATATAGTCTCTTATCGCTTGACCAGTAAGCGATGGTTGTCTGGAATTTGCCAAAATATATATAGTATAGGGGGAGAACAAAATATACCTTCTACGTGAAATATAAAATATTTCGCAGTTGACGAAATCAAGCTAGGATAGATCTGATTCCTACTGAACAATACAGAATTTTCATTTGTATTTTAACTTATACTAAAACATTTACTCGGAAAGATTCAGAGAAAATCTGGGTTCGATTTCAAATTCCGCGGACTTAGTGAATTTTTCCTGTGTGGATATTCTGCGGTTTTGGTGTGGTTATCCAATGGATAACCGCACCAAAACCGCACTACCATCGCTAGTCATTCAATTAACATACAGGATGGGTTTTAAACAGGTCAAACCCCTGGTCGCGAGCCGTTTGTCTCCCAAAAAGTTCGGGAAATTTCTGTACATTCCTCTCTTCCGCCTTCTCTTGATATCTCTTCCTCACTTCTAGTTTCTAGTCTTTGGAGACTTACTATAATGCCTCAGTCCCAAGTGTCCTTTTACTCTGATTCCTTTATCGATCCCGATCTTCGTCAATCAGATGACCTTCCTGATTTACCAAGCAGTCAATCGACCGAGACTTCTAATTCTTTCACTCCCCTTCCCCAATTGTCATATGCGCCGAAATCACTTGAGCGCGTCGGATCTACACTTCGAAAATTCTGGATTCTCTACGCTAGTGAGCCCGAGATGGAAGACTCCCGGAAGCAGTTTGTGGAATGGTGGTTAAACACTTTGTTTGGATCAAACCCGCAATGCCGCGATAGCTTACACTGGGATGGGAAAAAAACCTCGGGTACTTTGGGAACAATTTGAACAGGTTGCAAACGAGAAGACTGGCGAGCCTAGGGTTATGTGTAAGCGGTGTTGTACAACCCTTACTCATCCAGGTCATAAGCGTACAGGGACCTCTGCGCTTAAAGCACATCTGAAAGGAGGTACCTGTCGCTTAGAGGAAAGGAAGCGAGGAATCGACCAATTATTCCGTAATTTAGTAGGTGTTTCATAGCTTCATGAAGAGATAGAGAGAAATCGCTAATGTCATTATGATCTAGCCGCGGGTACCAACAAAAGTCTTCACCAATGATTTTCTCCAGCGAAAAATTCTCAATTTTCTTACCACCGCCCGTCTCCCATTTCGGATCATTGAACACCCTGAGTTCAAAGACCTCCTTGAAGCTGCCCAGCTCTCTGAATCCCGGCTTGATATTCCTTCTGCGCGGACTATCAGACGGCTTTTAGACGACACTGTCCGGGAACAGCAAAAAAATGTGCTTAGTAAACTTCCAAAAGGAAGCCATCTCTCAATTGCACTTGACTGCTGGACATCTCCCTTTTCCCAGGCATTCATGGCAATAACTGGATATTTTCTTGATCAAGAATGGAATTACTGCGAGGTTCTTCTTGGGTTTGAGCATCTCCAAGGATCGCATACCGGTGCCCATCTAAGTCAGAAGGTGATTCAAATACTCCAGGAGCATAATATCAATGATCGGGTATTATCCATTACCACGGATAATGCATCGAATAACAACACCATGATGCTAGGTGTCCAAGAGATGGTTCAATCGCATGTTCTCAGTGAGACGTCTGTCTTCCGGATTCCATGTATTGCGCATGTTATCCAGCTGAGCCTAAAGGATCTACTTGGAAAGATAAAAGCGCATCCAACCAATAAGGAAGCGGAGTCTGAGTGGCCTGATGCACGTATGCAGTCACTACAGACTAACTCCCGGCGGCCAATAAGAGATATTGTGATAACCTTAAAGAAGGTGAGTATATCGCCGCACTCTCTCTATGATGATACTAACAGATTATCGTTAGATTCGAGAGCTCGCTGTCTTTATCAATGCTAGTCCGCAGCGCAGAGAAGCTTTTCTTACTCTTCAGACTACTGAGCCTAAGCTTGTTCCGATCCAGGATGTTCGCACACGCTGGAATTCCACCTTCCTCATGCTCAATCGTGCCAGGGAATTACAATCCGTCTTCGATCGGTACTGCATAGCATATCAGCACGTTCAGTTCAAGCTTGATCAAGAGGAATGGCGCCAAGTCGAATATTTGCTTCTGGTCACTAAGCCTTTCTATGATTTTACTAGTGTATTATCAAAGACCAGAGACGTTACTGTTCACCATGTCTTCAGTATCTACAATCGGCTGTTTACCCATCTTGATGACGCTGAGAAGAAACTGAAACGTAAAGCTGTCCCATGGAAAATGAGAATGCTTCAGGCGCTTCGATCGGCAAAGAGAAAGCTCTTAAAATACTACACTGCAACGGACTATGAGTCATATGGCATAGTCTATGCGATTGCAACTATCCTTTGTCCGTCAAAAAAGCTTCGATACTTTGAAAGTGCGGATTGGAGGGGGAACAATTGGAAAGGGGAGGAAGTCGATTTTACGAAGCATTACCGGGAGGTTCTACAGAAGGAGTTCAAGCGATATCAGCAGCAATTTAGCCAGCAAACAGTACCGGCTGATAGCCAAGAAACTGTGGATGCCGCTCAAAATGAGCTTGAGCTATTATGTGAACCAGAGACTGCGCTCCGAGCTGAAGTGGATCGGCGGGAAGATGAGTTGACACGTTATTTGGCGAAAGGCAAATATTCTCCCATTACTTATACCGTGCGAAAGCTAATTGATGCTACAGGGCTCACAAAGGGTAACCCTCGGCTCTTCTGGAAGGAACATGAGCACGAGTATCCGATCCTTGCAAAGATTGCACGAGATATCCTCTCAGTTCCTGCGAGCGGTGCTGGTGTCGAGCGACTCTTTAATTGTGCTCGGGATGTCTGTCACTATCGTCGGGGACAGTTGAAGCCAGACACAATAAAAGGCCTAATGCTTCATCTCTTCTCATCCAAATTTGATCTTGAACAAACCGAACTAGAGATGATCAAAGGTTATTTGTCGGTCGGAGAGGTTGCAATGCTTGATCAGACAAGGAAATCTATTCCGCCGCTCAATGAAGTCGAACCGATCAGTGACAACGAAGACGAGGGTTGCGAAGCAGAGAGTACATTTGAGGATGACACAGATGAATCTGATAATGAGGCAGAAGAGGAGTCATCTGCCACGCAGTCCGTAGCTCAAACGAGGCAGATACAGCGGAAGCGGCGTCGAAGTAAGACCTCTGAGGCTCTAGATGATGCTGATAATGGTCTCCCACTTCCGGTGATTCCAATTGAGGAGAAGACGCAGGCTAGGCCAGGAAGGGTTCGGAAGAAACCTAAGCTACCGGAGGGATTTGAGATTGATAAGTTGTAATATTCGAAACTCATAAAAGAGATCGAAATTTGGTTCAAATATTTATTCTAGAGATTTTATATGAGGATACGCCAAAATACTACGAAAAGTTCACGATCTATGCAGTCAGAGATAAACCACAATGTTTAAATATCCATGGATAACCGCAAAAACCGCGGTTTTCCAAAGTGAAAACCACAGCCGCCCGCAGTGCGGTTTGCGGTTTTCAGATCAGGTCCAAAACCGCAAATTTGCGGTTGCGGTTTTGGTTATCCGCGGTTACCTATGGTTTTGCCGCAGCCTACTTGCATCGCGAACAGCCCTTTCGAGATTTCGGCGCTTTCCTCCGAGTTCGCTCGCTTGTGCGGTTCATGGGGACTCTGTCGCCCACAGACTGGCCCAGGGACGCCCTTGTCGTGCTGATATCGGAGACGCTGTGCGGCTTATGAACCCCGCATTATCTCACTTCCCCAACCCACAACGGGAGGCACCACGTGACGAGGGAATGAGTGCACATAGGCCGCGCCAAAACCCGCCCAAAACCCCAACCTGTTGATTATAAGTGATGCTTCAGTGTTCATATTTCTAAGGAGAGTTAATTATGTGTTATGTTGCATGTTGTCTAAGATACAAGTAGGCTGGTGAACAGGTATATATGTATGCACGTGATCCCAGCCTCATTATTGTCTCAGCGACCGGGATATTTTGTCAAGTATAGTGGACCACATTCTTACTAGTGCGCTTGGAGATATTCAGCTATCATGTATGCCTGATTTGTGCCTGTGTTTGTGAGGCTAGTAAGCCCCAAACCCCTTTTATTCTGCACCTACTATAGTATCAAGTATCACACTCTCAAGTACTTTGCTGTACTAGTCCGTACTGTCCCGCTCGAAGTTCGACATATTTCAACAGGGTTTATAAAGACCAAAACCCCCGGTGGGTTACCCATGGGCGGGTAAAGAAATTGTAAACCCGACCCAAACCCGCGCATAGCGAGGTCTAAGTGCAGATAAGGCCGACAGCTACCAAAAGGACGAAGTGTTGTTGTTCAGAGGAATGGATTGACTTATTCTTCCAGAGGGATACATGAGCCTATATATACAGCAATGAGCCTAGTTGATTGGAAATCAACTTGGGTTGTCCATATTGATACCTCGGACTTAATTCCGACGGTGCGGCTTGGTTCCTGATCTGCACCAGCCTCATGTCGCAACACGATGAAAAGATCAATGAAGACACCCATCATGCCTCTCAGATTGTGGGCACCCGGGTCCCGCTGTGTACAGGTAATTTCAGGATTCTCTCGAATTGGCTGGGGGAAATCCGTCAATTCGGCCAAGGTCGAGCGTACCATCAGAGCATAGATATACTACATAGTTAGCTCCTACAATACCAACTGTCCCTAATAGCAAGTCAAAAGATCTTATGCTACGCTCTGGATCAATTCTTTACAGACTTCGTTATCGTTGCTCTAATCCCTTCCCACTACCGAAACTGGTTCTGTAACACACGCAGCTTGCTCAGATAGGGATCTTTGTCCACGTAGGTTCCCCTCAACCATCTGGGCACTCCCACATCTGCCATGTCGAAGGCTCGTCGCGAGTGCAGTGTCCGTGTATTGTCAAACAACACACACTCCCCGGGGTTCATCTTGCGCTCATACAAATACTCTGGTCGTTGTAAGAGAGCATTGAATTTCGACGCGGCCCAGTGCCATTCGTCAGCTTTGCTGTTTAACGCCGAGAGAGCGGAATTTCCCGGATCCATTGGAGATTCGTGGTTGGAAAAGGGTGCGAGGAATGGAGGGCCCCAATTGACTTTCTGCAGACTTTCAACTAGCTCGGCTGTCTGCCATTCAACCCCCGCGTCTCCGGCATGGAGGGATTTCATCGCATTCAGATAATCCTGAAACCGGGTGTAAACGGTATCTCCGATACGAAGGGGACTCAGATCAATGACTGGTTTGGTCGTGTGATACACATTTGAATCCGGATGGTTGTAATGGTAGTTCACAGGGACAGTGGCCAGGGTATTGAAGGCGTCCGTGTCCGAGTGAAACAGGTCGACCGCTGCCTTGAACGCATCAGCGAATACGCTGGCTCCGCCTGAAGAGGCAGACTGGATGCAGTGCAGAAGTTGGATATGCGGGGGGTGCTGGAAATACAGCAAATCCGTGTGGAAATCCAAATCGTGCGAGGTGTAAGCGGCATTGATTGCTGCCGGAACTGTTCGGACTGTGTCAAACGCATTAGATGAGGATCAAGGATGTCGGTGTCAAGAGGCGTACCATCCCAAGTTTGGCCATAGAAGGTATCCTTGATCGGTCCAATCCGAGTCGCAATGGTAGCGAGAGATTCCTCCCGACCAGGGATACTGGTCACAAAGGCCAGGCCTTCGGTGCGTAGCTGTCTGATGAGTTGATACAGCATATGATCATCTTTCATGTACGCGTCGTAGTCGTAGTCTGGCAGATTAAGAGGCTCTTGGCTCCACAAAACCGGAGGCAGGAACGAGTCTTGGTGGGACCCAGGAGCCTGGCCCGACTGCACTATACCCCGAAGAGCTTCCATGCTCAGCTCCGTAACGTGCTCCTTACTATGTCCTGGAACATCGTTCTCCCATGTGATCGACGCAGATTCCGATGAAGCGTCGACCTCCACTGCTCGGGCATGAACATTAGAGGGTATGTCCGCAGTAGAAAATAGCCTCTGCTTGGTAGACTCGTGCACGCATGCTGGGCAGGAGCATGCGTCACGCAGCAGTACAGCTGAAAATTCAACAGACTCCCCGTCTAAAGGGATGGATACCCGTGAAGGTAGTCTTTCTGCCAAGGACGCCTTCTCAGTTGGTAAATTTCCATCAGCAACCTTTCTGGTATGTGTTACAGAATAAGGCTGACGGAAGTGGTTGCCCCCCACTGAGCCTGTCACTCGGGACAATGGCTTTCTCAGAGCCTGTCAGTCTTGGTCTAAGCCGGTAAATGCGAATCCAAGCACTCACTCACATTCAGGGAGTCCGGTCTATGGTTCCTTGCGTTCAGGAGCTGAAACGGTGATACATACTGGGATCTTGAGAATCGGCGACACAATGGTGTTCCCAGTACCAAAACTTTCACGGCTTGGAGTTTGCGAGCGGCTTGCATTTTGGGGAAGCACGTCAGTACGGCTACTACCAAAAACAAGGATACCGGAAGATATTGGAGCTACGACACTTGAAAGAGGCGATCCATTTTATAAATGGACAATGATGTGCCTCGACATTGATATAGATGCATCTCACAACCGCGAATGGATGATGGCTCTAACCTATTTAGGAAAACGTGTACGAGCCGCAGCAAATACATCATCGACCTCACAATTTATGCACGTTCTGAGGGTTCTCGGGGTGTGTGGGTCATGGAGTGCATCAGCTGGGCTGTTTACAGCACTGTGGACATTGGCTATGGATGATGTTCTTCGTACGGACTTGCCGAATGGGGATTTTACAGCGGGGGGGGGGCTTCATTGATAGCCGCTGGAGCTAAACTGCTTTTGGAATAACAATACGCTTTTCTTGGCAAGCAAAATGCAGCCTGACGCCGATTGGCGCACGGCCCACATTTGCATCGCAGCGTTGGTATAATTCACGTGCTTCACGCAGGGATTGGGTCTGGCAACAAGCTGAATTCAGAATATTTGAGGAGCCATGTACGCAATCTTCTGGACAGTTGTTAGGACGACTGATCTGCCTCAACTTCGTCTTCAAGGACGTTGTGCTATCGCAGAACCTGGGAAAGAATGTCCGGCATCCAAACTAGAACGTTGAATATGGCCTCGAACACGAAGCAAGAGTCCCCCGAGAATGCCGCGCAGACCCCTCTGCAATTGATCTCTCAGGGAGTTTGCCTTCCAGGAATTCCTCAGCATCCAACTTTCACTGCCCAAAGGCAATGGATCCTGGAGCAGATGGCACTTGCCTTTCGCGTCTTCGCACGAAAGGATTATACGGACGGTATGGCCGGCCACATTTCGGTTCGGGACCCAGAGAACCCGCACACATTTTGGACAGTAAGAAACACTTCAGCCGACCAAGACCAATGAGTAGGCCATCTAAAATTCTCAGAACCCACTAGCAGTGCACTTTGGGGTATTGAAGGCGAGTGACATGATCCTGGTCAACTATGAGGGCATGCCGATCGGTGGTAAGACGCCTTTTCCCAGACCTGGTACTATCAATCCTAAATCAACACTTTTTTTTAGGAAACACGAGACGGCCAGCAAACGCTGCGGGGTTTATAATCCACAGTGCTGTACACAAGGCTCGACCGGATGTCGAAGCTGCCTGTCACACTCATAGTCCGCATGGAATGGCATGGAGCGCTTTCGGAAGACCTCTGGAAATGTTGACCCAAGACGCTGCGTACCTCTATGGCGACGCACAAGCCGTCTATCAGGTATTGTCCTTGCCCCAATTCCATATGTTCTTAGCTGACGAATTGTAGGATTTCGGAGGTGTTGTACTCACCGAGGAAGAAGGCAATCGGATTGGTGCTGCTCTAGGTACATCGGCCGTTAACTGAATTTATGTCGTGTGTACTGACACACGTCGAATCTATAGGCGCAAAGGGCAAGGGCATGGTACTACAAAATCATGGCCTTTTGACGGTTGGCTCGACCGTCTCGGAGGCATGCTTCTTGATGACCTTGATGGAGCGCGCCTGTCAGTGTCAGTTACTCGCTGAGGCGGCGGCAGCGAATGGGCTGCCAAAGGTCTTTATACCAGACGAGAGCGCAAAGTATACATTTGAGAACTCGAGCGACCCTGAAACGCTCTTTTGGGAGGGGCAGCCAGACTTAGAATTCGAGGCATACATGTGCAAAGGCGAGCATCGAAATTGATATACTTGGCCAGTCGCTATGGATATTTGAGCAAAGCTTTTATTAAACATGAATGCGGTTTCAATTTGTACCTATTGCAGCAAGCTAATACAGGATGGCATTGTATAGAGAGGGAATTAGGCATAGTACGTCCTATAGAAGAGCCCCAGCGATATAGAAGGGAAAACGTCATATGAGCTGGCTCTTGCTACTACTCCTCTCCTAGCCCAATTATTCTAGGTTTAATTCAGTCTCAGGATAGTCTAGAGGCGACTAGGAAATGGCACGACGGTTCTGAGCCAGATACCCACGCTGTCCCAGTAAGGACTGTTGTAATTGGCTTATCGGCTGAAGGGCGGGCCCACGCAGTGGCCCTTCCAGGCGGCGATCGAGGATGGCACTAACACTATATTTATGACACTCGGCGACGATCTGGTTGTGAGTGAAGAGGCGGTGGATTCGATCACACGATCACTCAAAAGTCGATAGTGATCATGGTCGGCCGATAAGACGCCGGCAGTAGGTGATGAATAATGCACTTAAGACCTAGATCATAATACCTGTGACCTATATATGCATGGAGACGCCAGTTGGCAGCCAGATGGCTTGTCAGGACCATGGGCCATAGTCGAACGACCCATGAGCCCCAGGAAGAAGATGTGGGGCTGCGGGAGCGCCGATCGAGCTCCCGGAACCAACCACAGCCCAGGAACGCCAGACGCGCTCCTAGGTAGGGATCAAGTGATCCCAGAAACACCTCAAGAACAAAGTGTCCTCTAGGAACTCTAAGTTTGATCCCCAGCAGCTACCAAGAGCGTGCCTAGGAACCATACTATAGATCCTAGAATGGAGTCCTAGTAACTGGGTCTAGGATATATACCTATAAGCAATTTTAGAAATACAAATTTTAGAACGCCGGCAATAAGAGCGGCAACAGAAAGAAGGGCTAATCGTTGAATATTTTTAGCCAAGCGGCACGCACTGAAATCATCTCGGGAAGGACTGACTAGGGTACTCGACGGCTGGAACCACCCTTCCAGAACTCAACCTGACAGAGACCCCGGACATTGCAAGAAAAGGATGAGGGTTTGCCTATTCCGTGCTCTCCTGTTCGTCTTTCCTGTAAACACAGGTACTACAATTGGTATCTCAATCCAAGGAATATATTCCATGTAAAGCAACCTCTACGGTTAAGTCCGAGTACTTTTGATAATAAGCGTATAGGATAGTCACCGGTTCAAGTTTAACATGTTCCCTAAGCGTTGGCCAACACTTCCGCGTGTTTAAATTAACGTTATTTGTAATTACCGGATATATTATGTACAAAATTCAGTGTGTACAGGGATAGCGTTGGGGGCACCGCAGTTAGCGAAGAATGACTCGAGAGACACAAATATGGGAGAGATTCTGTACGAGGCCAAAGATACGGCCGCAAGCTAGTGCTTGTTGCACTGGCAGCATGCCAGGTGGCTGTGTCTAGCAGCTGTCTGCGTATCCGACAGAGATTTCCCAGGGCCGTTTCAACCCGCGGCAGGAAGAACAGTTCCTCCGATATAGTCTCACCAGATACCCGGACAAATTGTACAAATCGTAACTCCATCCAGTGCACCTCTTTAGGGAAAAGGAGCGCTAGCATGTGGAGAAAAACGTCGCTAGCCTAAGTAGCGTTGGACAGCGGATCCGGACCTGTCCACTATGCAGTTCCTGAATGGCTCACCTTTCTCCAGGGTCAGCTTTTGTGGTGTTTACCAAAACCAAGGTTGGTGGATATTTACACAGAGCAGATCGTCAATCCTTACTGATCTTTTGTATTGAGCCACACAAGCATGAGCGTTAATATTGGGAATATTGCCCCAGGCGCAGGTTGAATTATGATGATGTTTCAATTATTGCAGATGTAGAGACGCCAACGACAAAATATTCTGCGGCATTCATGATCATCCAGGCGGCACCACCAGCAAAAAGCGGAATTTGGACTTTCAGCCCCAGGTCTAGGTCCATATTTGTGCTGGTTTTGAATAGTACACAATATTTACGACGAAGCGATGATTAAACAATCCTCTGTCCTTCAACTACTGTAGGCAGGTTTGGTTTTTTCTCGCACGTTTCTTGTGTGGTCAACGCCGCCTCAGATTTCGGTGGCTATGCAAACCTGGAACACACCTTCTGGACTCAAGATTCTACCTCTTTGAAAACGAATGTCAACGCCATAGGATAAGAACATATTCTAGAAAGACCAAAAAAATATTATAGAGGCACTTGGACCAAGCCGCAAAATACCTCCTTCAGCAGGGGAACATAGTTGGACTCCGCTGACATTTCGGCATATAAATATCTCGAAGTATCTCTATCAGAACATGAATAACTTGCACCTTGTTAATATTTCACAAAGACCCTCATAGAAGATCCACGTTATGGTCTCCAATGCTGGTGTGAAGAAAATTCCCAAGACTGAGCGCAGGGCTACAAAACATCGCCAGGAAACGCTGGAAAATCTTCTTGGAGAAGTACAAACAGAGGAAAACTCCAACGGAGAGGGTCCAGGTGCTGGCGAACAAGGTGCTGCTGCACCAGGACCCGTGGACGACCGACCATCCGCCGACAGGGAGCAGCCAGATCAACCAAACTCAAGTCAACGTTCTGATATTTCTGGAGACCCACACGATGAAAGAGGGCCTGCAGATGAGACCCCGGTGAGGGACGAGGAAATGTCGGACGCTGAACCTAAACTCACCGACGAGTCAACCTCTGATAGCACGGCGGGAGCACAAACACGTGGAATGAATGATTCAAGCGTTGGCCCGCAACTCTTTGTGGACTTCGAGAAGTTGAACATAAATGAATGCCGTCGTGAAAAGAAAGAACGCCACGAAGACCCCCAACCAGGCGACATAGCCTGGCTTGGCGGCACAGGGAAAAGTCGGTTCTTCATTTTTCGGGTTGGTCCCGCCCAATCCCCTAGGCACGTGTTTCGAAGAACAAGCGCGTATAGCACCGAAGGTTTCGAAAATTTGTCCCACAATCGGATTTCCCTGCTTAGATACAATGCCCCAAACGGGGATCGACATTGGCAATATACGAGAAGAAATATGGCCGGTTTTAGAGGCATCGCCATTGATGAAACGGAGAGCAACCTTAAGTGTCCACGAACATGGATCAATGTCGAATGGAAGGGTATCAAGGAAGAGCACCGGTACTTGTTGGTTGACGAATGCAACTGGACCCCTAGGACGGATGTGATTCGGTTGTCGGGCAGGAAGGTGGCCAGCATTGGAATCCGCGCAATCTGGAACTTGCAAGAGACTCTGCATATTAAGGCGATCAAAAAAGAGGGTATACGGATTTCACATTTGCCATTTGCTTTTGCTACCTTCGAGGTGGAGAAAATCAAGCCAGAAAGATCTCGCACACCGGCTCAATTGGGGTCTTTTTTCATCGAACCCAAAGAGCCGATCTAGCATCTCAGGAGAAACATGGCTAATGTTTTCAAACAAGAGCAAGAGCAGGAGACAAGTAGTGTCGAGTAGTCCCGTTCCGCCACTCAGAACGCTCCTGGATCGAATGTTGTCGAAGTCGAAAGCGGTGGGAGCAGCCAAAGCAAGAACTAGGCGCCTAAAAAATTAAATGTTCTAGCTAACATGGCAATTGTGGAAAAGACGGGGAAGTGGAACGCCATGAGCAAAGGCGAGAGCGAAAAGAGATACAGAATAGCCATGGCAAATTACGATCACTACAAGGAGGCTGAACAAGGGTGATGTGGAGGTTGAGGAAGAACTTTGAGGCGAAAGTGAAGAAGCTAGAAATCAATTCCCGCATTAAAGGTGTTATAGACTTGGTTCTTTTGCTTTTCTTTTCTTCTCTTTTGGCAAAGCTTTGACTATCTATATATCAAGAAACCAGATGTTATCTTGGAATTACCGTCTTTGCCACTGAATAATCGACATTTCTAAAATGTGTTTCCTTGGTTATTATGTCTGACCAGATTGTTAAATTCAGACCATTTTTGTTTTTAGTCAGATAATTTTACCATTGTAGATCTTACCAGTAGCTTGCCATACCTTGGTTCCTGTCACAACCGAATCAAACTGATCATGTTGGATCCCCTGGTACTTTATCTTGGGAAAAGTCCCTCTGCATTAATCAACCGCCACATATCGCGGGTCAATTCCAATGTTTCTTCATCCCAGCTGCCTTTTGAATGGCTGGAGTTCTGCTACGTCTGTAAGCCACATAGAAGCAGCAGGAACGACAAGATCCCCCGAATCACCAGTGGCAGGATGGCGACGAAGGGCAAAATGAATATTGCGCCTCAATTGTTTGGTTTGGAAATTTGATTGATGTGCTGGCTGGCGCCCAGCCCTCGTTACTGCCAAGGACCTAGAATCTAGTGCCTCCTGGGCTAGAGTTCATGTGAGTGTCAATCTGATGATCGAATTCTGCCAACTCTATATCTAGCAGACATGATGGTATAAGCAAATAAAGATATTTGTGACCAGTGAAAGAGTTACAAGTAATCACTGACTACCTACAAGCTGCAGGGCATCCTCTCGTCGCAACCACATTTTTATGACCGTCGCAACAAGACTGACAGTGCTAAAGGTGAGAATTGTAATATTGACTGTCCTATGTACGCGCTTTCCACAGAATCGATTAATATGATGCATTCTCCGTTGGAACGATTTATTGTGATATAACGACAACGAATTTGTACTGCGGATAGGTAAAGGCTGGGCTGGATTCTAGCAAACAAATGCTGGAGAAGAATGATCACACACCCTGCTAGATCACTGTCATCTGCCGGAGAATCTTCTTCGAAGGCTATCTTTCTTGTCAAGAACATGGGGGGTATTCTCAAAACAGGCGTTATTTCGTTGCCATCTGACGGGTCGACTCAAACATTGACGTGTGATATTGGGCGCACATTTTTAACAGTTTCCCCTTCTGGGGAGCCTGTGATGTTTTCGATATACCGCCGAAGGCAGATCTGAATGGCCTGTACTGTGCCAGTAACCCCAACAAAAATGTGGGGGGACAGGTGCCGGAAAGTAGTATGGTAGGCCTTGGCTTCGTGACGCAACCATTCACGGTGGCGCTCGAACGCCTGGACCTCCACTTCGAGGCGCGCTTCAATGGCTCGCAGCCTCACCGCCCCGTTGAGGTGGGCTCCACCAAGGGGTGGATATCCGCCGTAATAGGTTTGGCGAATAGACAATCGGGACGCTGAAGGTCGCCCGACACTACGTCCCAGACCTGCCTTGCTTTGAGATAGGAGGTCATGAGGCGTTTCCAGGTTGCGAAATTGTCGCTATCTGTCAGAGGCTCGATGGCCGTGACCGCTCAGTCAGGCGAGTCATGGACCAGAGCAGACATAGTAAAGATAATGAAAGCGGGGTAGATATATAATCAAGATAGTCAAGATGATTCTCAGATGAGTAGAAACGGCACCCGAGTGTTTGCTCCCGGGCTGATAACCTGTTGTAGTTCAGAGGTACATTTTGTATTTTTTTCTAGAGGGAAAGATGAGGCTATATATACAACACGGAGCCAAGTAGATTGTAAATCAACTTGGTTGTCTGTATAGACATTTCGGAGCTAATCCCGATGGTGCGGCTACCTTCCTGATCTGCACTAGCCTCATATCACAACAATTATCGTTATCAATATCATGGAATTTTGGCGGAGGTTTAACGTGGTTCCCGGCGGGTTCGTCATCCCTGCCGGTCCGTCACCCCATCAAATCTTCAAATTTTGTACATTTTTCAAACGCCATTCAAACAACCAAAACACCATTAAATTGACGATTTAAAACTTCTGCAGGCATGTAGTAAACCTATGCCCTTTTCCTCCGCATTTAGAACATGTATTTTGCCGACGTACAGGGGGCAAAATAGGAAGTGTAGGTTCAACCTGGGATTCTAGAGTAGGTGTATGATCAGATATATATCTTACACCAACACCTCCCTCACCACCAACATTGGTAGTAGGATCCAAAACCTCTGTTAAACTACCTATATTAGGCATTCGCTTCTTCGATCTCTCCCTCTTTTTCGTCTGTTTTCTATTTCCCTCCCGTAAACGCTTGATTTCATCCCGCATTAAGATGTGCTCGTGAACTAGCTTAACCGACATATCGTAGAACTGTTGAAGATCACGTTTTGTAGGGGAAGAGATCTTATCAGCAGCTGAACTAAGACCAGAATTGAGCCTAGATTTGCGTTTTTCTAGCTGCTTAGTCGTCCTAGGGATGCCGGTAGAGATATTACTGCCTGATGTTGAACCTTGTGAAACTGGTCGCTCTTGTAGAGGCGGAGATTGAAGACGAATGTTGAGCTTTGATAACACTCGATCGGGGTCTAATGGTACTAAACCAGTAGCTGCGAAGGCATTCTGAACGATAAACTCTTTGAATGAGTCGTCACGAGCCGCTGGAAAGATATCAAGGAAGTCATCTTTTTCGATAGAATCGATGCCTAATCGGGTATATTCCGCAACCCGCGTTCCGTAAGAGCGCTTTAACACAGCAAAACAACCAACATCAAGAGGCTGTAAAAGATGAGAGGCATGCGGAGGCATACAGATTGGTATAATGTTGTTCTCCTGACAAATCTTATCGAATGTTGCTGTAAGATGACTGTCGTGGCCATCGAGGACCAAAAGACGATGTTTCCCTTTAGTCTGACTTATTGTATGCGGAATAAAGTGTTTTTGGAGCCAATCAACGCCAATTTCATTGCTTGTCCAGCCGTTCGGACTAACGTTAAGAGCCCAATGCTTTGGAAGGTCGTCAAACCATCGTACCATAAAGTGTTTCCCTTTAAAGATAACGTATGGTGGGAGCGCCCGTCCGGAGGCACAAATTGATTCAATAACAGTCACCCATTCACGATTGCCAGGTTGTAAAACGCCCCTCCGACCGGTGTAAAATGACTGCGTAATAACCTTCGTCGTCGCACTGATTCCCATTGCAAACCCCGATTCATCAAAGTTATAGATATCATCCGAAGTGATACCATATTGAGCAATCGTTTTTTCGACAAGGTTAAACCACTCAATAATAGTATTTGGGTCTTCCATTAGGGCGCGTTTGTAGTCATATTTGCGAGAGAATCGAGTAGTGAGCTCAGGATGTCGTTTAATATATTGTGTTGGCCAATTTTTGCCAACGGTCTGGGGGGCATTGTCTCCGCGGTGCTCAAGCAGTAAATTAGCCATATCTCTCAACATCGCGATTGTAAGCGCGGCGCCTCTCTGATCCATAGAGATTAACCAATCCTGAATTGATTCCTCTTCTAGTTGCGTGAATTTATGGCCTGTACCCCTTGCTTCATACAGATTAGGAATGCCTTTCATCCGATCTGCAAGAGTTGTACGGGGGACATCAAAAGAGCGAGCAGCAGCAGCGATCGTGGTAATTCTGCCATTCTGAATAGCCTTGATAGCTAGCGAGATCCTGCCTTCCTGCTCGATGGATTTTTGAGCTTTTTGACTTCGTTTGGGGGGCATAATAGGCGTTTAAAGATCGGTGGTTGGGTAGGGGCAGAAGATTTGAGGTGGGATGACGGATCGGCAGGGATGACGAACCCGCTGGGAACCACGTTAGCGACCAGCGCAATATTATGTAATTAGGGGGTATGGAGCTGGTGTTCTAAAATTTTTTGCGTAGTCACTGTATGATCATGCATGGAGATTTATAAACATTTGCGAATATGACTATGTTGTGATAAGTGATTGTATTGTGTTTATGTTGGGGTAACTATCAGAAGTGGGAACCCTATTTATTTAAACGTCCATCGCTAGTCCCGCCAAAGGCAATACGGCCGCCGTCATTTAACGGAGGTATTGACAAGCCCAAGAGGACTTAGACCTTCATTATGACGCGAATAGATAAAGTCGTTAACTATTTTATCAATAGTTCATCATATTATATCGGTAAAGCCAATCAATGTTCGGGTTTGAGCGCAGTATGCTGTATATATAACTGAGAAACTTGGCAGTGGCCGAGAGTGATAGAAAGTGCATAGATTCATGCATTCATAGAGGAGAACTACAAAGTTCGAGATGAAGCAGCTGTATATGAACTTGAGAATAAACGATACGCCAATGATGTACAAAAGAGCAGCCGAAGTAATGTTTCCAAAGCGGATATAGCCCCTCGAATGATCGGCTGCACCTATGTTGTGTATCAGGTATCAAATATTACCCCTGACGTCATCCCGCATCCTTGGTGTCATGAAATTTTAAATCACCCAGCCCGCAAATGCAGATGATTATGATTCTTCATTATTTTACATCTACTTTCCTCCAAAAGATGCACACAGACAGACAAATATCCAAAACTGCCCGGGATTAAGATTTATGGAAAGTAAAAAATGGCTCTACGGATACCCTTCGGGGTTTCCCAGTCGCTCACGATTCGACCAACACGGTGCTCGGGATCTCATTGGATGCAGAACTGGTTGCACATAATTTCCCATGACAATTTCCCATGAGAATCCCCGAAGAGAAGCTGGGCAGTATTGGCTATAGGACACAGCGCCTCTGACAATGTATCCACCATCACACGTGATACGAGAATCTTAACATGGGTACACGACGGGTATAAAACAAGAAAACAATAAAGACATATAGTAACACCCGTAGTAGGCCTAGGTGTCTCGACATTTGCAGGCTGCAAATGATCGATGAGGTATGAAAAGAAAAGAACACAAATTGAGGGTCAGGATTGACAGTCAAATAGAAGATAAAAAGGGACAAGATGGACAGAACCAAATCGCACCGCATGCAGTGGCCAACCAGCTGAGCATTGGAAGGAAGTGGTGTAACCAACAAAAAATAGAGTGGACGACCGGAGGCCAGGCTGGGGCCCCTTAGGGCAACTGAGGACCAGCCCCTGAAACAGGCCGTATACCTGCCTCCATAGGTTGACTGATATTGTGCTAGTGGGAAGCCGAGGCATATGGCGAGCCGGGATGAGCCATCTCCCATCCGGCACCAGACTCTGGCTCCGAAGTGGAGCGCATCTCATCCGAGTGCGTGCGGTGAGTCCGGATGTGCTGTTTCATATTGTCTTTCCTAGTAAAGGCTTTATTACAAATTGGACAGAACGCACTTTTTTCGCCAGTGTGTCTCTTTCCGTGGCGCGCAGCATGGCCCGAAGTCGTAAAGTTGGAAGAGCATCCATGGCTCACGGCATAGGGACACGGGTACTTATTCTTTCGCCCTGTGCCGCGTGTCGCTCCAGTCTGAGAAGAAGCCTTTTCGGATGTGCTTGAACGTGTCTCAGGTGGTATTCGGGGAGCTGCTGGACCACGAGCAGGGAATCGGTATGGTTCCCGTCGCGGATCCTGTCGGGCATACGGGTGATAAGGTGATGGCTGACTGGTGATATAGTCATAAGCTGATCCGTCGGATGACCCGGGCGAAACGGGCTGGGCGACTTCCGACATCGCGTCCGAGTGATGCCTAGTCCCCTGTGGCGATGATGCTGGAGATTCGGATGAAGCTTGGGGACGGGTGTACTGTGGGTCGCTAATGGTCGGGGGTAGTGTCTCTGAATGATGTGGATAAAATGATGGTGATGTGTGATTCCGACTAAGTCGAGGAGCGGAACGGACCGCAAAAGATGGGTTATCATCATTATTCAGAATGGACACAATGTTCATTCTACAGCTGGACATCCCCTCAATGCCCCGATGTGCGGCCATTGGGGCTAGAAGACTATACTAGAAGGCAGAATCCAAGTTAGTCTAAACTGTTGGCAACCGGCTCAGCTGGCCTCTGGATGCTCCTAGGAACTCGAGAGATTAGCGATATAAGGGGATAAAGGGGAGGAAGGTGTTGAAGAAAACAAAAAACCTCTCGCTCATTTCTTGCCCCCCAGAGGACACGAAAACGCACCAGCGGCTCTGGAAAGATGTTTTGTCTTCTGTCTCGTGTAACACGTCGACAACATTAGACCCTAAATCGGCCCTCGCCTGCAGACGTGAATAGAGACCCGATGACTCGAGCTTGTGCCGGGCTCCGTATGTACTTTTTGAGGTGAGGTTCACGAAAAAGTACCCAAAGCTTGCTGAATACTGGAGATAGGACAAGGTGAGGTCTGACAAATCTCCTTCCGTCACAGTAGACTTGTACCGATGCTCAAATATTTTTTTTTTCTTTTTTCTTTTTTTTTTAATTCTTTCCCTGGGATTCCTTTTTTCCCTTGGGCGTGGGGTACAAAGTTGCAAACTGGCCTGGGGATGTTGCAGAATGTTGAGATTCAACGCCGGTTGTCTAACCGCGCAAAGCAACAATTCGTCCAGATAAGTGCTAGGCCGTCTGAGAATATGTAGAAATGGAATGCACTCTGCGCGTGTCCGTGGTAGAGGTCGGAGTGAAAGTGGTGGAAATGGATAAGATTGCGAGGGGGAATTGACAAGAATGAGGTGAGAAATATGGTGAGATAAGAACTCAAATATGAATAAAGACCAAGTAGAAAGGGAGAGAAACCGAGCCAACCATGGTAGTTGGTAATTACTTGTACTTGAAAAGAGCAAAAGAAGCTAAGCTCCGGGTCTGCCGAGGCTCAGTACACCCCTGTGAGCACGCTAATTAGTTTAGTGGAGAATCAAAAAGAAGAAAAAGATAATGTAAAAATTCTTCAAAAGCAGAAAGGTAAGACACGATGCAATACATACCGAGACCCCTAATCCACCTGGACCTGTTTTACTCCTTTTCTTTCGACTCCGGAGTGGAGGTCAGTGGAGGCCTGTAGTTTTGTAGGTTATTTTGTTGTTTTCCAGTATTTTTTTTTTTTTTTGATATGAAAAAAAAAAGGGTCGGACGCAGTGCCCTCTTACTATTATGATGAGACTTGTTAGGCGTTCCCAATTGCATAGCTTCGTTATGATCATTACCCTAATTTACCACCGCACCCGCCGCTTTCTTTGGGCCACGCGGCCTTTTATATGCTTACGTGTTTCAACCCTCTCACGGAGTACGAATTATAGAGGCGTAAAAATTGAACCGAGTAACTACCATGGATTTATTGAATGCCTCAAGTCGGAGGTTCTATGCCCTATGTCCGATAAAAAACCCAGGTCAATCCTCCCGCCCAGCTCCACCATCAATGGCATTCATCTTCTCATCTTCGAATCAGCAAATGATTGTCGGCATTCAGCCACGATTCCATTAAACTGTCGCGGTTGGTTTTCGGACGCTGAGTAACATACCCAGCCCCACCCCACTTCCCTCAGCAGATCTTCAGCCAAGCCGGGTGATACTTTAGCCGGAACGCCTCCACAGGCCTCACGAGGGAGGGCCTCCTAGGCAGTTGGTTCACCCGAAATCTAGCAACACTTAAATTGCCCAATTTCATAAGGGATACAGACAACTCCACTATGCCCTGATCGAGTCCTTCATTGGTTCGACTCCCAAAGTGTATGATCCAGTTTGACGATGCCAGGGCCTTGCTTCCGTGAAAAGTCTGGCGCGTCCGAAGCAGCAGAGGCGTAATTCTTCCTGGCTGATTCAAACGACACCAATCCTTTTCTCGATTCGAAATGCCTGATATTATGCCTGGTCCGTGTCGGCTCAGGAGCTGCCACAGGGCCAGGGCCAGGGCCTACAACTTCTGTGTCGCATGGAGCAATGTACACGAAGCGGTCAATGCCATGAATTCCCCCCGCCAATCTTTGTCGCTAATGACCCGCAACTACCTGCCAACTCATATTACAGAAAGCAATGCATACCGGCAAAGGCTTGTCGCCGATTGGAGTTATGTTTTCAAGCTATGCAACATCACTCTGCCTATCAGGCATTGCTTATGACGACAAGCTGCAGTGATTCAAGTTCCGATCCTCCATATCACACCATGTGTGCATCAAGGATCTGAAAGGTTTAGTACTCTGTCGAAAATCTGTGGGCAGCATCACAGCTATACAAGTCGAAATTGGACAAAATTGGAGTCAGCGGTATGGACAGCCGCAAAGTGCCTGCAGTGATGTCGAACTGGAATGAGAAAGTCAGAACAAGATGTTAATCATACTGATATGAGTTCTGGAGAACTTCAAGTTGGCTATGCCTGACCTTGATAGATATCATCTTGGAGAATTTCAGATGTCGGTGCCAAATAGCATTACCACAGATCAACTAGCTTTGACTGAGTGGACGGCGACCACTAATGTAGTCTCATTCATCGCCGGCCTGGATCATAAGTACTAATGGGTACTGTAACTCGGCAGCGAAAATGAGTATGGATTACTTCAAGCGGCAATATCAGCTAGTGGCGCAAAATATATCCGGCAAGGTTCCTTCCTTCCTCTTTTGTACAGTGTTTTCTGTGTCGTGTGTGTGCCCTGGGACAAAGGACCGGAGTGAAATGTCTTAGAAGTTGAGTCCGAGTCCCCCTCAGGAATATTGTCTCTCGTCGTAACGAGGAAATATGGGCGACAATAAATTATCTTAAGGTTGCTCTAACATCTTAATCCCTTGATTATTGATCGCACACCAGTCACCAGTCTTCTCATTTCAATAATGACGCTTATATGGTATACTGACACCGTTGGCTTTATATGCTTCCTTGTTAAAACTGGGGTGTTTGTTTCTCTAAAGCTCGGAAGCCTACGTGAGAACACTATGGTGTGTCATCTAATGGGACATTGCGTAAGTGGTCAGCGAATTTAGAGCGTGAAGAACAGAGAGGTGCATGCTAATTCCATGTGCTCAGTGAAATCGTCAGTCGTTGGCACAAAGGACGAAAGCAAAGCATTGGACCGCCAGACGAGAACGCGACTCACGTGTCGAGGAGATGAGAGGGATGAACTCAGACATGCATGCGGCTTGTTTGTATTTTTAAAAGCCAAAAACTTCAGGCCAAATTTCCTGTCAGCTTTAGTTACAAGCCCAGTTTTTTTACCAACTCCTCTTCGATCAGATACAAATGCATGATTCCTCAGCGCCAATCAAGTATTGGATTAGAAAGCGACCTTGTCATTTCATGACCAATTACAACCTAGACGCTTCTATCCGACCTTCGCAGGTATAACCGTCGACTATACCACGGGTATACAGATTCGAAGTAGCCTTGCCAGAACACGGTCGATCTCCCACGCGAAAGGTACATTGGATCCATATAGAAAATTTGAGGAAACAGAGATAGTCCTCAGTAAACGCTGCCGTAGATCAAAGGGAAATAGAATTGATATTATTATATGACAGGGAACAAATGAGGCTATATACAACGAGAATATCAGGTTGATTTAAAACCAACTTTATTTTCCGTAAAGACGATGGAAGAATTATTTCCGCTGGGGCGGCTTGGTTCGTGACCTGCACCAGCCTCATATTATAAGAAAACCTTCTTCGGAAGGGCCCGAGCAAGTGGGGTCCCGGAAGTCTATTTTCAAAGCACCCAGCACATCTTTACCATGACTCTGACCACAGATCATATTTTTAATACGGTCTGGTCTCTTACAATATCCTATACCTCAAAAGGCCGCCCGCAAGGGTTATATGAATAGTATGGATGGATGGATTATATCATTTAACCTGGCCTCTCGCTTTTAGTTGATTTTGTTGTGACATGAGGCTGGTGCAGATCAGGAACCAAGCCGCACCGTCGGAATTAAGTCCGAGGTATCAATATGGACAACCCAAGTTGATTTCCAATCAACTAGGCTCATTGCCGTATATATAGGCTCATGTATCCCTCTGGAAGAATAAGTCAATCCATTCCTCTGAACTACAACAATGGGTAATGCGGTACGTCAGTGGCTCTGCGGTCGTGGCTAGTGATGGTGGAAAAAACGGTACTTGGGTAGAATCTGAGGCCTCCAGGATAGGCTTCAAGTGGTGCGGTACTTCTTTGGCGCTTGTGCTGTTATTTCCGTCGGTCATGGGCCGATAAGTATGAAGGGCTTGCCTCATCTGAGGAATGGCAGTATGTAATCAGCTCAGTTCCACAATGGGACAATCGTATTGGTAAAACAGTAAACGACTTACCTGTGAAAGGGTCCATGGGCTGCTATCACCATCCTTCACAGCTAAGCCCTCCATGGCGTAGAGGACTGTCGGTGGCAGGACGATACCGTCAAAGCTCCCCTTACGCTTAAGTATCTGCAAGTAGGCAAGTCGGTCGCTATGGACCTGTACCTGGCGCTCGAACATCTTGCGATTGACCCTGCGTACATTCATCTTTCTGAATTTTTCAATGGACATACACAAGATCTCAACTGCGTTTTGATAAACTTTGATTGCCTGGTCATATTCTCCCTCGCGTTCGAGTATGAAGGGACGTGCAGTGAGTCTGTATATGTCATTGCTGGTGTCGATATTTCCGGCCATGACGAGATATGCTTGGAGATGCTTTCACAACGCAAGTGTAGATTAGACCATGTGGGTAGAAACCTGGCGGAGTGTAAAGATATTCGATCTTTCCGATCGTATTGAACGGTTTCTGAGCGCTTTATACTTCTACCTTTGTAAGTGATAATATGCCCAACCAATAACTTTCGTCGCCAACCCAGCCACGCCGGAAGCTGCCTTGCCAAGAAACAAGTCAACTAGTGAAGAAAGTCCAAAATCTGCTCTAACAGATGTTTTCAGATTAAACCATCTCGTTCGCCTTTCGCTGTCGTTTACCGCCGTGCCGGTGTTGTGGTGGCTTGGTCTCTGAGACATCAAATTTAGCGAGAGAATCGCTTAGCTTTACTCTTTAGGATATAGTCTAGCCAACCTAAAAAGAGGTACTTGACCTCCCATACTTCAGGCACGATTTTATGGCCTGGACTTTCAGATCGTCTACCAGATAATTATACTAAAACCTCGCACGTTTCAACACGCTAGTATATACACGCTGTAAATCAGCTTTCGGCAGAACGTGATTGAGGTTTTGCATGGTAAATCAACATTAGTATAGACGAAAGACCCTCTCAAAAGAGGCCTAACAGTTCAATCAATAGATTTATATGGTAACCCCAATACCAGCGCCTGCGGGTTTCCTGCGATGACTCAATCGCCTCGATAATCGCCTCTTGTTCGCATGATTCATGTACTTCAGCATGACCTCGTATCTGCCGGACCCAAGCAAAGCCACAATTTCATTGACCCCCTAAGTAAATTGCCAAGGAAACTTAGCTCCGAGGCGTGAAGCTATAAGCGTGAACTATACCTAGCAGAGTTAACCTTAGCTCATGTGTCTTGGTAGTGATTTTATCATGTACTGCAACACGAAAATGCGAAGATCCAAGCCTGTATCAATGCACGAAGTCGAAGAATGCGACTTGGTGCTGAGAGCGCTCTAGTGTGCGTATCACAAGATGGACAAATATCGTCTCAGATATTTTGATCCGTTATCAGAGACGCACCTGCTCTTTCTTTGAGACTTGATATAATTTCTTTCCCACTTTATTATTGCGAGAATTGAAATTATAATTTCCACAAGAGCTTACACATGTTCTTATTGCATCACCTTGAGCGCAATAATGCAAGTTTCCTTTTACCATGAGGAACTTCAAAGGGCTAAAGGCAACTCTTTCTTGGCAGATGGCCAAGGTAGGGATCCGAAAGGAATATGATTGTTCATATTTATTCATATTATAAGATAAATCCATCAACCACACTCATATACTCTGTTCCATAGCGAATTACATGCCAGTCTTTGATTTTGAAGTAATGGCGAGAAATTAGCGCCGAGCCGCGCCGGCTTACTTATACGGCAGCACATTATCCGATGGAGGACCTGCAGCGTGCCTTTCAAACTAACCCGGCGAGGAATATGGAAGTGCGACTTATCTCGAGAACAGGTTACAAAAGCCTCACCCCAGATCATGTGCGAAGGTCGCTTTCCCCAAACGCTCAAAAGGGGCCGTTGATTGATGCCTCATTTGTGAGCAGCCGTTCTCCACAATGTAACGCTCGCATTGCCTCAAAGGACGACAAGCGGGACGATGAGTAGGTAATCATGCAATCACTCCACATGATGACCCCGGCCGTCTTTTCAAGAGTCCCACCGTTGATTTCGATTTGTCCACAAGCCCGACTTCTCGTCGACATCACCTCCTGATCAAAAATCGTGTCGATAATTGGTTGTCGCTGCCCTCGGCTTCTCCAAGCCTCAACAAAGGGAAGAATATGAGCTCGCCAATAACACCTGCCCACATCTCCATGGATCGCATGCAGCATATCCGAGGAAGCCAGCAATGTCATCGGTCACAACAACGACAACAAATTTCCCCGAACAAGCAACACATTTTCCCTTCACTGCCCCACGACGGCCTTCATTCGCAGGCCTGCGAATACCATGCTGGGATGATCCTCGATATCTTTGTTGGTGCATCTAGCCAGCCGAATCCTTTCTCCAATTGGGAACCCGAATAATTTTGTGTGCGACAAATGGGCAGACTTGCATCCTTCAAATTATGTCTCTATTGCCGGTTCAGACGATGGTCCCTCGGATGACATGCAAAAAGTCAATTTCCTTGATTCCAATTTCAATCATTTCAATTTCAGCGAATTCGGCATTCTAGGTTCCGGATTATCCAGCTCCTCAGCTCCTCACATAGACCCATTTCATATGGGCACCAAAAACAAGTTGGGTGGTCAAGAGCATGCCAGCCAACAGGCAATCTCCTCACCTATGGCTAGCCTGAAGTGTATTGAAGTCTTTCCCAATTTTTGACCAATTATGTTCTATGTTCTGCTTGAGATTTCAATCCCCTGTATGATTTGCTGTTGGCTCATTATCAACATGAGATAGGCAAATCCGTTGAGTCGACTCAGCTAGATGTTGGCTCATAAAAAGGTTCACTTTGGTCTCGAGTGTCATTTAGCCACCACGTCTTATAAATCCAGGCAGTGTTCTCGTCTACCTACAGATGAATCTTACTCAAAAAAATAGATACCGGAGCCAACTCGAGCGGTATGTTCCCCATCGGCTTTTTCTGTGACAATTTAAAAAAAGAACATAAATCTCGCAGAAAAAAAACTTTTCCTCTATTGATGCGGAGTATCCGGTTCTAACACTTGTTATTTGTTGTTACTATATGTGTGAACGCGAAGGCAATTTCATAGTAGTCCCTTTGTCAACAGAAGAGAGTGTCTCCTGTTGGACAGATGGTTGGTCTATTTGATTTCTAACCACGCTGTTTCCTATCCAAGCCCGAGCAACATGTACAAAGACCAATTACCCTGAAGGTCACTGCAGCTGCAAATCAGTTAAGCCCAGCACATTTATTGTTTTCTCACTGAAATCGTCTTCTAGCGTATCGCGCAAGCAGCTCTTGCTAGGAATGACCGGATTTTCTTCATCCCCTACGTCGAATGTCCTGGGTCATCAACTATTTGTTAGACACACCGCGCTCTGGACGACATGTTGCATATCATTGTTCGGACTGATTCACACCAGGTGACATTGCTGTCCCTGACAAAACCACCCAGAGCCGGCCTGCTGTGCGACCTCTTTGACTATCTACGACAACCTATACTGAAAATCTCTACCCATTATCGACGCTCATGCCATGCTTGCCTTTGGAGGAATGGCTTCAACGCATGTCTGCTACGATTACAAGCCAAATAAAGTACCAATTGCGATGATCTCTCCTCACGAAAGTTGGTCGTCCATGTTGGCGGAGTCGTCTTTGCGAGATCTGTTCAACGTGGCGCTTGCTAGACCTCGATCCGACTGCAACCGTGTTCCCTCGTCAGTAGAGCATGCTTGATCGCATGGGCTCGGGCACTACGCCCAAAAGCAGGGATCGCCCATTTGAGTACAGTGTGGTTACTCCATGGGTGATGGACTCGCAATATAAATCGTAGTTGCTTACGGGCTTATTCACGGGGTTGCGACGGCTTCCATGTAGAAGCAGCCAGTCGTACATTTTCGAGCTAAATCTCTCAATTTCTTGGTCATCGTTGTTGCCAATTCACTTTGACTCTCGCGACCGTTGTGGATGTAGGCATTCTACAGTAGAGTAGGAGTGAGTGACCGAGGCTGTGTGCGAACTTGTCTGGGTAACCACCAGGGGACCATCGTGGTCATTGATGCCAAATGCCGCAGAATTAAACAACAAAACTGATATCTCTGTGGGGAATTAGCTAGCTTTCGGCATGAAATTGAATCTTATAAGCCTACAGATGAGGAGTTTCACTGATGAAAGTGTCATACTTGAACAGGGAGATACACCAACTTATGTCCATATGAAATATATATATCTCTATGTGCTGACGCTCTCTAATCCTCTAAGTGAGGGTATAGTAAAGAATCCTGGTCAAATTAGTCTTTTTCTTGGTAATACCTATGCAGTTAGGTCTATACTGTAGCCATTATTTTCCATGACTTTTATTACCAGGTCGTTGCCGTTGGATCTTGATATCTTGCTTCTGGGAGTAGTTGAACCCCCGGATGAGGCCGGGGAAAACGTCGGGCCGAGATCTGGGCTTACAGACTAACTAGAACATGCATAAAAAACAGACATTAATCAGCAGGGTTATGAATGCCAATGTAGTTGTGTGCATAGAAATGGGCTTGGTTGGGCTTTGCTGAAGTCTAGTGACCATCACTCAACTCCACCGCCTGGCCATATACCACATAGACCTGGCCGGAGGGTCCAAGGTCCGGACCCTCCACCCGCCAAGGGACCCTTTTTCATAAGGGTGTATAAAACACCATCTATAAGCAGAACATTGACTATTTAGGCCTATTTATGCCTCAGAATATTACCTAAGAGTGTCCAGGGTCAAAATTTGGACCCTCCTTGGCGTCTTGGCGGGTCTAAATTGAGGGTGAGTGCCAGGTCTAATACTGTTGAGATAGGTAGTTGTAATGTTCTTATTAGGGTTTCTATCAAAAGTGGGAAACCCGTCTATTTAAATGTACATCGCTAGTCTCGCCACACAAGCTTTGACCACCGTGATACTCAACAGTAAGCAGGAATATCCAGATTATTCGAATTCGAAATTCAATTATTTTCGAATATTCGACTATTCGATATTCGAAATCCACCCCTAATCGACAAGGCTGCAATATTCTACACCCAAGGCAAGACCTAGCTAACAATACGAAATCCTTGTCCGTCGAATCACCTCGGTCATCCTTCCCATTCTTCAACCCAAAAGGTGCATAGAAACCTGTGATCAATCTATTGAATAGCTTTCCTTTCCACATCAGTCAAAATGGCAGCCGTTATTCAATTTGCAAACAAAGTTGTCATTGTGACAGATGCCGGCAGTGGTACTGGTGCTGATACTGCTCTTCTTCTTGCCGAAGGAGGAGCGAAAGTTGTCATCGTTGGTGAAGAAAGGCCCCGCTCCGATCGGTCGAAATAAAAATCAAGGATGTAGGCGCGGAATTACTTGTCGCCGTGGCGGATGTCTCAGAAATGCACATGGTGGAAAAACGGGCGTACGGCACCGTGAACAAGTTCTGGGCATTTCACTATGCCGTCAACAACGCTGGTATCTCGGGTGCAAATTACGACCTGCCTAACCTACCCGAAAATGTTTGGGACGAGACAATCGCACTCAACCTCTCATCCGTCTTCTACTACACGAAGGAACAGCTTGCAGCTATCAACTAAGCCGGTGGTGGAGCAATTGTCAATGATTCCGAATATCTTGGCTCATCATGGCCTGTTCATGCGAGCTGCTTATACGGCAAGCAAGCGCGGCATAATGGGCCTTATATGCGTTGCCGCATTGTCTGAGCGACTCGAAATCAACGCATTTCAACAAGGGGCTATTGGAATTTCAACGGCAGAGACAAGCCTGGATAAAACTGCGCAGGTCGCAGCATTGGTTCGAAACGGCTTACAGTACCGAGGGTAGAGAGTGCGCCACGGCCATTGCATTCCTTCTTCCTCACAATTTTTCTTCCGTTATATGCGCACATCTCACCGTGGACGAAGGATTTCTCACCTGATCTCTAAACTGGAAAACTCCTCGCATTTCTGGTTGCCTCGGTATCTTATGCTGCATTTCGGTCTAGATAATGAACAGACTGAATTAAAGGACAGAGTCAAGCATGTCCTTAGATGTCAGATTGCTAAACTGTTTGGACAGGACCACCCCAGATTCTGCCTGTTAGACTTCCACCAATAAAAGGCCGACTATACTTGTGTATAACTACTCAAAAGCGAAAATTTGTAGTGGAACGGGTGTCCAAACTTTTGCTATGTGACTGTATATGCTTGAGCTCTACCAATTTCGCAGGCATCCGTACATGGGAGATAAGGTCATTCAACAACAACTACTGTCCATTGTTAGTTGCAACTTTTCTCAAAGACAAAAGATAGAATTAAACCATTACATTGTTATCAAGGCCAAATGACTGATGACTCGCAATGTGACATATTTGTTTATCTCACAGCCAGGATGTGGTTTTCGCATCGAAGTAACAGTGGGGAACTGGGGCTGTTATCCATTCCGGCGAGACCTTGTCATTTGCCAGCTTGACCACTGGTTTAAGTAAGTCAAATGTGCCCCATTCTCCTCTCAGCTTGGTCGTAAACTGTGATTCAGGAGAATACAAGTCGGGCCAAACTTTGTTCCAACCATCCAGTACAACCTGCAAAAGCTCTAGTACAAACATGGATGAGTCCATTGGGCCCCATTGAAACTTCTCATCGACTTTTTGTACCATTTCAGGAGAGTACAAGCCGACTTCGGGGCTCAAAGGATACGCTGCGGCGGCAGCAAGTGATGCAAAGACATGGTACGAGCCCCCCTTTCGTGCACGGTCACGAAGACCCATCATAGCTCCGAGCGTTCCGATGAGCCCAGTCATCATATCTGGGATAGGAAGCGAAGGGAGAACACTTGTGCCATCTGTGTGGCCCATCGAGCGCCCAGTCACATGGGAGCATCCTGAAGCAGCATCTCCAGTTTGCTGCCAACCTGGTCGACTAGAGAATGGTCCGTCTGGTCCGTAGCAGTTCTCCTCGACGTAAATAATACCTTTGTTTCTTCTACCCGCCATTTCTAGAAGATTAGAGATGCTTAATCCCTTGCTGGAAATCGCACCAGGGCGATAACCTTGAACAAAGACGTCGGCGTCATTGATGAGACCCGAGAGAACCGCAAGGTCGTCTTCTCTTGTGAGATCAATATCGATAGTCCGAACCCCTGCATTTAACGTGAGTTGAAGAGACTAGTTTTTTTTGGATTAGTGCTATCCAAAACGTGAAGTCAGTGAAAGGCAGAGCTTGGGACACTTACGTTGAAATCGGGCAGGCGGCTGCAATTCACGCGAATTACATCTGCTCCAAAGGCAGCTAAGGTGGTCCCGACAACGGGTCCAGCAATGACTCGAACCAGCTCAATCACTTTGACACCCGCCAATGGACGCTTGTCGGTAGAAGTATTAGGAATGGGTGTAGGCGGTGTCGGCATTGCATGGGCCTGGAACTTGTAGTTAATCAATGGATGTCGTGAGAGCTGCTTGCCCATTTGAGTAGCCCGCCACCCTTCTGGGGTATAACAAGTATTTCCACAGAGACCAAGCTTGATGTTTTTCATTTCGAGCTCATCCGCGGTGAACTGCTGGACGTGTTTGCTGATAAGTTCATAGGCGTCTTTTGATGTCTGGCACGGCGTTTCGGGATCTATTCCAATTACCTGGAGGACCGGGTCTGCATTCAGAGACCCATGGAGCTGATACCAAATGTTAGGGTCTTTTGTGGGATAATTTCCGGTGACGCGCATTCGAAGCGGTGTTGCAAATGCTCCCTTTTCGAAATCGGTTTTGTAAAGGTCACCGAGCTTTCCCTCATTCGCAATCTCGGTAAGGCTCATTCCGTTCCATTTGACAAAGCCGATAGTACCTAGCCAAAAAGCAGCATGATCGATGTTGATAACCACACGACGCTCGGGCCACTTTCCGTCTCTTTCATCCAGCAGTTCATTGGCGACAATCCCGCACATCGCATGCAAAGCAGCAGCAAAGGGCGGAGCCTTAATTGGTCCTGGTACTATCGGTTCCGCGCCACCTTCAAAGGTCACTTGGTCGGAAAGATCTGGGTCCGCGGTGAATCCTGGGGTAGTCTGCGCTAAAAGCTTGAATATGCGGCGAGCATCGTCAGGAATCGCTAGAAATTCACGATCCATGAAAGATCCGGGACCGTATATCTCTGCGCTAGGGACAGTCTGATGCATTTTGAGTCCCCTTCCGAGTTAGAACGTGTAAAAAGACAGAGCCCGAATAGGACAAGTGCACCTTTGTCTTAGGAACCGCGCTTACAATCGACAGGTGTTTGTACAGACTTATAAGACTCAGTGAAAAGAATCAAAACCCGGTGACCTTTGGAATTAAAACGGCTATGTGTGCTGTTCTTAGTTTCACATTACCTAGATAGGTAAACAAATACGGAAATAGCCCCGTGGGAAAGTGATACATAATACAGACCTTTCATTTGGAAGGTATTAACCCGGAATGTATTATTGAGCTTTCCGGGTAAGTTTACTGAAAAGGGGGCGGGTTAGAGCGGGCTTAGTATATTTTTCTTTTTTGGACTTTCTTGACATGACGGCGTTCTAGGCTGTCTGTGACATCATCCTTAGATATCCTCTAAGAAGACCTTTCATGATCTGAAAGGAAGGCTACCCCGGCCAGGGAATGGCTAAAAGTAAACTAGAATTTTTTTAAAAAAAAAAAAAAAAAGAATTTAAGCCAAGGAAGAAAATGACATTGGAAACGCCTTCCCGGCTTATTCTGATGGTGACGAAGCCACCTGTACGTGGTAAGATCACGAATTATCGCTATATACACATGCTTTGTCGAGTTTCCAAGCCTCTGGAGGCTTTGGTCTGAGGATAAGGTGTGTATCGATCCGGAGGATTCATTACTTTCCTTTACCTCTTCATGTATTGCCTCTTGCGGTTACTATCAATACAATTGACTGGTAACGACACAAATCATCTGCCGTAATTTTCTCTCCGGCCCTATTCACGAAATGCATGTCAAACATGGAAGCTAGTGATTGTTTAGCGGGACTTCGGAGTATATTTTTGCTGTGTTACAGACACTAGTCACCAACGAGGTACAGGGCCGCAACTATCTGATGAGCCACCGAGGACAATATGCCATCAACCACGTGCAACATCCAATACCCAGACATCTCCAGGGGAAAGCGAAACTACGATCATGGTTAGGGAGCAGGAGCATAACCCACCATGAGTTGGTCAATTCCCCGCTGTATACAACTTACGTGGCTCAACGCACTAGAGAAGTGCCACCACGGGTACGCCATTTCCGGTTACCCCTTTGCCGTCTACTATACTACGCCAAAAGAATGGGAGATTAAGTGGTCTAAGTGGATAGTAGTTTGGGAAGACTAGGCAGTCTACTCCGTAGGAAGACTGAGTGGTCGGATTGGACCGAGTGGGGCTTCTCCAAAGTGGAGCAAGTACATGTAGCGAACCAATAAAATCTTAGATTATCTGATATTTTTATCACTTCCCCGCTTCTGCTTTTTAAACGTTTAAACGTTTACTTCGTGCGTCCACAGGTGACTCCCCAGGTCGCTACTAAATTGCTCCTTGAAGTCATTGTATTAATTTGTTAATGCACCTTTCCACCACCCCCCGCCGTCTGTTACTATAGTATGACTGCCTAGAGAATTACCATTTATAGTAACTACCTTATGGAGATTCCTCGGTTATCATCACGGCGGTGGAGAGCTAAAGGCGCTAGCTTCTCACATCCATACTTTCAGGCAAAGCAAGGTATAATTAAATCATTATGTCGAACTGAGGGGTGGTATTTTACCACTAAGGACAGGGTTATTCATCAAGTACCCATTCCCTCTTTGTCTCTGTATGGTAAACGGGGTACGCTCGGCATACCAGCGTCGTAGCACGCTAGGAACGACTCCTGAGATCTGATAACACTTCAACAGCAAGATCCAGATAGAACAACAATCAAGGCACCTCAATGGGACACCTCAATACTAGCACATACCAGTATCCGTCAATCCGACACATTATCCTCATAACCCAGAACATAGTATTAGTAGTAGGACGGATAAAAAAGGTAAAGAACTTGCGTGGGTGTAAGGGTACTCGGAAACGCACGGACCTAAGTTCTGATGGTGAGTACAACAAGCGGAGGGCTAGATAACCGCTTAATTGAGAAACTCCTAGCGGCTATTGGTTACCCTTTACCGACAGTTATACATGAATCAAGTAGTGGTTACCGTCTCTGGGAAAGCTTCAAATAGAATATGATGTGTATCATAAAGCCCACGGTATAGGCTAGGCCCTATAAGCTGGACAATGAATTTGATTACAAGGTTGCAGACAAACTAATATTGTATGTCTCGATAAACGAAATATTACAGTGAAAGTCAGAGCCTTGTCTTTTCGTCTTTGGTGAAACGATATACAACATCACCAAACGCACTGGTTGGAAAGACATAAAACCACCTTAGATCCTCAGTACCTGTGTTTGCAACCCCATGGTCGGCATTCGGGGGAATAAACACGGAGCTACCCTTTGCAACGTGACTCTTCACGCCGTCAATAGTGATCTCCCCATATCCCTCAATGATATAGTAAATTTCGGCTTGCTCGTGGCGATGGCCACACAGATGTCCACTTTCCGGAGGACAGACTGCGATACCGGCACACAGATCCGAGGTAGATGTCTGAGGTTGTGAGAAGAGGGTGTGCCAAAATACGACGCCGTAAGAGTCATCTGTGAAAGATTCGGAGGGTGTGATCGATGTATACTTTGAAGGAATGACGATCGCTTTGGTTCCGTTAATTGACGACGACATTTCAATTGATTTTCCACTCGCACTGGTCAAATATAGAACAGGTCCAAGGCAACCACAGTCTTATAGTCTTACTTCAGGGATCCACTGAAGATAGAATTCGTTGATTGGGCCGATGGATCCCCGTTATAGGCAGGATTCGGTGCCGGGGAAGGGATTGGTTTCCTAAAGCAGAAAGATGTTCCCGACTACGACTGAGCTTAGCAGTAGGTACAGAACACGTACACGTTTAATACGTCCTGAAAAATGCCTTATTTATAATTGACGGACGTGAGTCGACGCCGCGTTGGCCCGATTTGAGGGTGACGTAAATTACGATAGGCGTCGTCTTACAGCTCAGCCAATACCCGTTACCCCATCTGTTTGTATTGCATATTGTAGCTCCACTAGGGTTACGATCCCATTGCCCCTCCAAACGATACTCAAAGGCAACTACAATATAGGCTAGCTTAGCACAGGACCTCTCTTGATTCACGGACATCCTAACCAATCACTGGCAATGCCAAGCACTCCAGCAGTTCCCCGCTAGTGCACGCCACCAATAAACATAGACCGTTTAAATACTCTCCCAATATTATACATCCATACTGTACACTACGGGATTTCGAACATTACTGTAAAGTTGCGGGGAAGTACTGTACACTACCAGGACGTACTGTATCGCTGCGAACAGAGGTGGTGACACCGATTTCCGGAAGTACTGTATTATTTGCATCCAAAAACGGGGAGGAGAGACTGTACTCAGAAGAAAAATTGTTGTTGTGTACCGAGCGGAAAGAATGGCGGACCCACATGCGGGAGCTCCCGAGCCCCCTGGCACAACCACGCAAGGAACGGCAACGACCGACGCGTTGGAAAACCCTGATTCGACAGCCGCGCCCCGGACCAGAAGACAGGCTCGGCTTAGCGATGGCCACTCTAACGCATCTCGCTCAATCACCAACAACACGAGCTCCGGAGACAACAGTGGGCGCGTCACGACTCGGGAGATCTGGCGGATGATTGACGGCTTGAAAGAAATAATCGCCTACCAAACCGAGCTTATCCAATCCACCAAAAACGAACTGCTTGAAGTAAAGCACGACCAGAACGTCCTCCAAACGCAGAATGAGAATCTCCACAAGGAAGTCCGAGCCCTGCGAGCACAAATTGACGCACTCCCAACCACACCCGGGGCAAAATCGTGGGCCGCAGTGGCAGCAAACCACCCGCCTCTCCAACCAACCCCCCAACGCACAGACAAGGATCGAAACTGCGTCCGAATCAGTACTCAGCGGTCCTTTGTGGATCCAAGAGACAACGACAAGAATGACCAAAACACCTTTGGACGATATCTCCCAACAGAGACCGCAAACACCTATATCCGAACGGCGTTGTCGAACACAGCGACCACACAAGACGCCCAGGTAGCCGGGGTTGGCACCACTAAAACTGGATATGTCATTCGGTTTAAGGACACAGTGTCGGCAGAAGCGGCCCGCAACAACATGGAATGGCTGCACGAGCTAGGAAACAACACAAAACTAGTCAAGGCGCGGTTTGGCGTCGTGGTACACCGGACCCCGACAGAGGACTTTGATCTAGAAAACGCGAACGCACAGGCGATCGAGAAAATCATGAAAGAGAATGACCTAAACGAGCCAGGACTCCGGATCGAGGAGGTGGCTTGGCTTAAGAAAAAAGACAAGGCGCTAGGGAAGTTTGCCTCCCTCGGCATCTGGTTCGACACCGCGGAAGGGGCCGACCTTTTGCTAGACAAGGGCTTCCTCGTCAGTAGGAGATTCATTGGCAGCGTGGAACGCTGCGAACTGAAAAGAAAGAGATGCTTCCGGTGCCAACGTTTCGGGCACTTCGCGTGGTCATGCAAGGAAACGCCTCGATGCGGACATTGCGCTGGCCAACACGAGCGGGAACGGTGCCCCCCGGGCGTGAGAGCCCGCTGCCTCGACTGTGGTGGTGAACACCCAACCAGTGACCGCCAGTGCCTAACACCAGCAATCTCTAACACCCAATGTTAGAGACAAACCTACGCATACTCCAGTTAAACATCATGAAATCGGGACCTAGAATGGAAGCGCTCATCAACGACCACCGCAGCCAGGATCTGGATATACTCCTGATTCAAGAACCATCCATCACTACCTATCAAACACACGTCAATCATAGCGCCTGGCGGATGTACCGACCGACTACCGAGACTGACGCAGGTCGGTTTCGCAGTCTAATCTACGTCAACCGAAAAGTCTCAACCTCTTCCCACCGACAGATCGCCTGCGACCACCCGGACGTCACAGCAATCAAGATCTGGACAGCCGACTCTCAATTTCTCATCTTTTCAATTTACCTCTCATGCGTTCCACTACTCACGCCGAGCGAGGCGTCGGCAGAACCAGTACTCACGGCAATCCAGAACACACTCACAGCCAACACCCAAGACGGCCAAAAAACAACAAGTGTCACCTTGTCTGGTGATTTCAACCGCCATCACCCGATGTGGGGCGGAAACCATATCCAACCGCGATTCATCGAAGACGCAAGCGAATTGATCAACTTCTTTCAATCGCATGGCCTACATAGCTGCCTACCACGGGGGACAGCGACATTCTGGCCCTTCAACGACCCAGGGAAGAACACCACTATCGACCAGACGGTAACGAACCGCCCGGACCTGCTCGTCAAATGCCATCTCTACCACGAAAACTACGGGTCAGACCACCGCGCAACGTACTCTGAATGGGACTTAAGATCTCAGCGGCAACCCGTTGCTAAGACAAAGAAGGCCTACGACCGAGCGGATTGGTGCAAGATCGCCCAAGACGTCCGTCGACAACTGGGCCCATGGAAGGAGGTGAAAACGAGGCCGGCGCTAGATGAGATAGTCGAAAGGCTCACAGAGGTGACTGCTATAGCGGTGGATAGATACACTCCCGACCTACGACCAACACCATACTCTAAACGCTGGTTCACCCCAGCCCTCAAAATTCAGCAGACCGAGGTCAACCAGCTACGCCGGACGTGGCAAGAGAGCTGTGCGGAGCTCGGGCGACACGACGTCCGCTCCATGACCCTCTTTCAAGAGATGCAGCACAAACGACGATTGTGGACCCGGACTATTGAGAAGGTGAAGGCGTCACATTGGAAACAGTTCCTTGACGAAGCCGGGGAAGGGAAGCTCTGGAAAGCAGCCACCTATATGAAACCACGAGAGGCCTGGGGATGTGTGCCGGCACTACACGTCGACACCAACGAGCTCATACAGAACGAGGACAAAGCGCAGGCCTTCCTAGACGCTTTCTTCCCACAGATGGACGAACCTCACGAGGACCTCCCTACCCAGGCACCCCTAGAACTCCCGTGGCAACCTATAACTGAGCTTGAGATTCAACGATCTCTCAAGGCTGCAAAAGGATCTACCGCACCTGGTGAAGACGGCTTGCCGACACTGGTGTGGAAACAGCTATGGATGCACCTCAAAGTCTACATCACGGGTATTTTCACCGCGTCGGTTAGCCTAGGATACCACCCAAAGCGATGGCGGAGCGCGAAAATTGTGGTGCTACGGAAACCCAAGAAACCAGACTACTCGGTCCCTGGGGCCTATCGCCCAATCTCACTGCTTAACACGCTAGGCAAACTTCTCGAAGCGGTGATGGCGCGACGACTGTCGTATCTCGCCGAAAAACACGGTCTGCTACCGGACACCCAGTTTGGAGGACGTCCAGGCAGAACCACCGAACAGGCCCTTTTGGTCCTCTCCAATGCGATTGACCGGGCGTGGTACACACACAAAGTCGTGACGCTGGTGGCGTTTGACTTGAAAGGTGCTTTCAATGGGGTCAACAAAGTGAGCCTAGACGCCTGTCTACGGGCAAGAAGAATCCCAACCACGGCGAGAAAATGGATCGCGAGCTTCATGAGCGATCGTCACGCTAGCATAGGATTTGATGACTTCCGCACCGAGACCACGCCACTGGCGAACGCGGGACTAGCACAGGGCTCGCCTCTCTCCCCCATCTTGTTTGCATTCTTCAACTCCGACCTAGTCGACCAGCCTGTCAACGCTCACGGCGGAGCATCCGCCTTCATCGATGACTACTTCCGCTGGCGAGTAGGCCACTCGGCCGAAGAGAACCTAGCCAAGATCCAATCGGAAGACATTCCCCGTATTGAGGCATGGGCCCGTCGAACGGGGTCTTGCTTTGCAGCCGAGAAAACCAAACTGGTTCACATCACCAGGAAAAGACGCGAACAGCTTCAGGGTCAAGTGATTATGAACGGGAAGGCAGTCGAACCGTCACCCTCAGCCAAACTGCTGGGGGTGGTGTTCGACCAGGAGCTTCGCTGGAAGGAACATGTCCAGCAAGCGATCAAACGTGCAATCAAGGTCAGCATTGCTTTGGGCGGGCTGCGGCATCTACGCCCAGAACAGATGCGACAGCTCTACCAAGCCTGCGTGACGCCGGTCATGGACTACGCGTCGACGGTCTGGCACGATCCTTTGCGAGACAAGACCCACCTACGACACTTGAATACAGTCCAGAGAACCACATTGATCCGCATCCTATCAGCTTTCAGGACAGTGGCCACCACGACTCTGGAAGTAGAAGCACATATTTTGCCAACACATCTCCGACTCCGCCACCGAGCGCAGAACACCATCGCAAACCTTCACACTCTGCCGCGCGACCATCCGATTTGGGATACACTCCGGCGAGCCCAGAAACGTAGGAACAACATCGGGTCGCACGCTCGGTTCCCACTGGCGGAAGCCCTGAAGACTATGAACCTAGAAAGATTAGATGAAATAGAGACGATCGATCCACGACCGCTGCCACCGTGGCGAGCCGAGTCTTTCACGGATATTGAGTTCCGGTCAGACCGAGAGTCGGCAAGACAACAGGCGGATATGGTGCGGTCCACATCCGCCATCGTGGTCTACTCGGATGCCTCGGGACGTGAAGGACACCTAGGCGCTGCAGTCGTTGCACTCGACAACAACCTAGGGGTCATCGAGTCCCAGCAGGTCCAGGTGGGACCGATGGACCGGTGGTCGGTTCACGTAGCTGAGCTGATAGGTATTTTCTACGCTGTCAGTACAGTGTTCAAGATTAGCCACCAACGGCCTAGAACGGAACATAATGGAACAACAACGGCAACGATCCTCTGCGACAGCAAGTCAGCGTTGCAGGCGATCGAAAACCCAGGAAACAAATCAGGACAACGCACCATCCACGCGATCCTCCAGGCGGCCGCAGAGGTTCAAGCAAAGGGAATCGCGCTCCGCCTCCAATGGATACCCGGACACTGCGACGATCCAGGGAACGACGCAGCAGATCGGTTGGCCAAAGACGCGGCAAGCCCGGGCAAAACACACCCCTTCCGCCCTTTGCTGACAAGGAAGAGAGCGCTTATCCGGGACAAGATCCGCGCTCAATGGGAGCGGGAATGGAAAGCATCCACCAAAGGCGGTCACCTGCGAAAAATCGATAACACTCTACCGGCGACCTACACCAGGAAGCTGTACGGGAATTTGCCCAGGGGCCGGGCGTACCTGTTGACACAGCTACGCACGGGCCACAATTGGCTATCCACCTATGCCAAGACCTTCGGCTTCCGCGACGATGATCAGTGCGTGTGCGGCGCGCAAGAAACAGTCACCCACGTGCTGGTGGACTGCCCAAATTTGATGGAAATCCGAAGGGAGCTAAGACGTGAAGCTGGGGACGCGTTCAACGACGTGTCGAGTCTGCTGGGAGGCTCAACCGAAGGTAGGAGAGGTAAGCCAGACATCGTGTCGCGGGCTAGGACGGTCAAGGCCGTACTAGACTTCGCTGAGGCGTCACAAAGATTCAAAAGTCGCGCGCCATGAGGGCAGCCTAATAACTTAAACGGCACCTGGGCCACGATAGGCCTTGACGAGGCTCCAAGTTCGTTTTCAGGAAGTGGGACATTACACGTGTACATACAAGGATATATATAGTTGTTGTATCCTGTATATCGCCAAAAGCGAGAGGTCAGGGTAAATGATATCATCCATCCATCCATCCCAATATTATAAGCGTTACATGTTTTAAGTAGTTCCGTACCTTTATTTGCAAGACTTTATCCTCAATGTCTCTTGCGGGACGAGCGTCCCCTGGGCTGCCCAACTTACCCGTCCTGCTATCATCCGCCATGCCTGCTTCTTCTACGTTTTGCGCTCAGATTCATCGCACCATTGAGCCCGCTCTGCCAGTCCCTGTTATAGTTAGCTGGCAGGATGCTCTGTTGCTTTTGAGAAATAGTTCAACTTTGGAGGCCTCTCTTAGGTTACCCACAATTCTTGCTTGCCAATTATTCAGCTGGCGGTGGTCTGCCCAAGTGGAGATGCTAATTCGATTCATTAAATATATATAAGCTTTCAATTAAACCCTAAGTTTATTGTACTAGGGGACAATTGGCCAAGTCATATTTACCTCGTAGATAGGTAATCATGTAATCTTCTGTGGGGATTGGAAAGATGAGTCAATTTTTGAGCAATATCAGACGATTTGAATCATGGCCCACCTTGTATTCTACGGATTGGTCTGTTATATATTGCGATAGTTTTATTGGTTGTGGAGGATTGAATAGATATTACATACTTAAAGTAGACAGAAGTAATTTTACTTATGCAGGTTATATTCGGTCCCACCCTCTGCAAATACAACGGCAATATGCGACATGCAGGAGTGGAAAGAAATAGCGAAGACACTACAAGAAAGCGTAGTAAAGTTCGCCGCCGATGCAAATAGGGATTAGAATACAAATATGGAAAGAATTCGAGTATAGCACTTTGCCGGGCGCATGCAAACGAATGGACAAATATCCTAGATAACTTTAAAGAGAGAACATCACTAAAGTTCTGTGTAATGATGTTGTTTCAGCCTTGGAAGCGAGCGATCTTCAAGCCTACTCTGTCGATGAGCCTGAGCCTTGGTAAAGTGTCCATGTGGTAGAGCGTCTATGGGGGGAAGAATGACATTTGTTTTTCTGCTATCTATTTCTGTCTTCCCTAAGGAGATATAAGGCCTATACTGCCAGTGAACTCTCGTTAGGTTAGTGACGAGGGCTAACGGTGCACGCTGTTGATACATTCAACGCATTTGATAACTTAGCATGTGGTTATAAATTCCCCTAGTTTGTCCTCACTCTGTGTAATAAGAGAGTAATAAAAACTGCTCGTCTCCAGCTTTCCATCCCTCCCAACCCACGTAAAATCGCTGCTGTACACACCTCCATATTCTCCCTACAGCGTTCGACGTTCACCGATGCAGGTTTTAGTCACTTAATGATTCACGTATCTTGCAACCAGTCGCACTAGACATCGACGGCCAATCAAACCTCAAGTTCACCACCAACTCTTCTATCTTGGCGCAGGGAGCACATTTCGGTTTCAAGGCAATCTTTCCGTGCTGGGGCGCGGGTGTGGGGGGATGGCACTACTACCATGAAGTATAAGAACAATTTATGTGCCCTTGGATACCGACAAAGTTCCTCTAATAAAATAAAGGCACTGAGGGAGAGGACATTATTGGCTATGTGCTTAAACTGGCCGCATTCAAAGACATCGGAGAAGGGAACAACCATTCCTGCGACCTATGTGACGACGGAGCCGGTGGAGTCTTTTGTTGGCCGCGAAAATGATGTGAATTGGCATACCCTCTTGTCCCATCCCCATAGGTGTCACCAACTTCCGATCTTTCTGTCGGTATTGCAACATGCCCTCCTGCTACGGGTTATCTACGCGCCCATCGTCATACGCAGAGCGAAGTCTACCACATCTTGGAAGGGGAGGGGAAAGTCACAATTGACCACAAGTCTAGTATTGTGAGCAAGGGTGCTACCGTTTACATCCCTACGAATGCTGAGCACGAGATTATCAACACTGGGAAGGGAGAACTCAATTGGCTCTATGTACTCCCGACAAGTTTGTTCAGTGATATGGTCTACCGTTTCTCAGAAGATGAAAAAGCGAAACTTTAAGCAAAATACGGAGGATTTATCTCGTCCATTTCAGACAAAAAAATCAAACTCCCTGCTTTTGTTGCAGAACCTTGACATCGCTATCTATGTTGAGTGTCTTCCCAGCCTGCCAATCACGATGGCCCGTTCGCTTCCAAATTTGTTCAGCCCCTAGTAAGATAGAATCGCCTTCAAGGGCCTTCTTAATGTATAAGTATAAATAGAGATTACGGCTAGTAAAAGCTACCAGCCGGGAGCCTCAAATGACATGAAAGAAGTTATCTGGGTGAAGAACTATATCTTAGAATTGTTTTACTTGAAAGATTCAGCGCCTCGAATATCACCGATTGACAAACCAGTCTTTCCAATATTTCCCCCACTCTCGACAGAACGGTGAGCTTCTCGAACACCATCTAGGGTCAGCCCAAGTCGACGTGTTAGGTGACAACGAATTTTTCCAGAGTTCAACAACTGGCCCAGTTCTTCCAGAATCCGGTGGTGAGACTCCACATCCGTTCCATATACAGGCTTGGTACCAATCAAGCACCATATGAATGACAAAGATTTTGCCATGAACTCTGTGCCGTACATTTTGGCCTGACCTTGTACAATCGAGCATACCTTGCCGAATGGGGCACAAACTTTGGCACATGTGTCCATATATTGGTCGGTAGAATGCGTGATGAAAATATACCTAAAAATATGAGTCAGTCGTATTCTACAATGAACAGTAAGATAAACGCTTACTTCACAGGAACATCAAGATTGAGGTTCTGGATTTGCTTCACCACATCTTCCCTATGATTGATGACATGCGTTGCGCCCATTTTCTTCGTGTAGTCAACACTCTCCGGGCGGGAAGCGGTCGTAATCACAACTGGTATCTCAAGGTAGTGGCGTGCTATTTGACTAGCCATGGCCCCAACGCCTCCTGCTCCGTTGATGATGAGCACTGCTGCATTCTCCCGCTTCTGAATTTCCATTTGTGCGACGAGTGCTTGATATGCCGTGATATACGTAAGAGGCAGCGCTGCGGCTTCGGTCATGTCCAAACCTTTTGGTTTATGGCCCACAGCGCGCTCGTCCACCAACTGAAGTTCTGCATTGGATCCGTGTCTGACTGGACTACCGGAAAAGAAAACCTCGTCACCCTCACTGAAGAGTGAGCAGTCGGGACCCTTTTTTTCCACAATTCCCGCGCCATCAAATCCACAAATTTGATATGGGCGGGGAACATGCGAATAGTAGTCTAGTTCTGGTTAACGTCAAATATAACTGACCATGCGCTTCGATACATACCGGGGTAATCATCATATTTACCAGCGCGCACCTTCATATCAATGGGATTGACAGAACATGCCTCGATCCTAGTTTTATCAGAATTTGATGGTTTGCCGCATCAACCGCCATACATACCTTACTAACAAATCACGGCCCTTGGGTTCCCCGGGATCAGGAACGCTTCGAGCTTTTAGATTCTCGATTGGCCCATATTCGTCAACAACGATAGCCTTCATGGCGAATGGAAGACTTCCGTTCAAATAAAAATTGCTAATCGAACCTGATGATGTAATCTTGCGTGTCCTTGAAAGGAGTTATAGAAGTGAAAGGTGCAATTAGAAGTTAGACCCATTTATATATACCGAAGCTTTGATAGTAACTGCTAGCCAATATCATAATCATGTTCTAATGTGAACGTCATGACTATATCTTCACTACTTGGTGTTTTGGAGCTCAAGCAAGTTTTACCATACTCAACACAGCGTTATCACTGGTGAATACACGAGTACTTATGTCATGGTCTCATGTTGTGCTTATGTCATGGTCTCATGAAACGTCATAATCCCTGCTTAGTTTACCTGATAGAAACCAATTACAACCTACATATGATTCATGGGCCCACTTTTCTTAGTACTGCCGTACTGCCTAAACCATCCATCCAATCATATCGATTACACGTCCGTCTTATTTTGGTAATTTCCTAGAAAGGAAACTTACTTAAAGAGGTAACTTACCCGAAAAGGTTAAATTTATCTACAATGTGATTGAGAACTACTGGCACTAACTATAGAACAGCTCCAGATGGTAAAAAGAGGCCTATTAGAGTTTCCAAACTGGGGAAACTGTCTATCTCGCAGATCTCAGTGCGCTCAACAATGGAGAAATCTACTGGCTATATGTTTTTACCCCGTGTTCTGTCTGCTATAAAGATCGGGGTCCCTAGCGGTTGAATGTTGCCTTCAACTTTATTCAGAATTCATTACGAACTGGCCGCAATCGAACTTTTTACTTTTCAATATGACACATATTGCTCCAAGCCCCGAAATATATGGCCCTGGGTCCTTCACTGATGAAAGTCCCCTGCCCGTCCCGGACGATGCTCGGCGAATTGTCAACATGCCGGCTCAAGCAACACCAGGGTTCACTCAAGACTCGTATAAATGGGAGTCTGTGATCTTTGACGGAACTGCAGACCCAATCGTTCCGGGTCCTCTCAAATCACCAGCTATGGCAGCTGCTCTGCATGGCATGTGTGGTGTCGTGGCGAATGAAACTATCCAAGACCATGATAATAAAACAAACCAGGCCCAGGCGCAGATCATTACTCACCATGCTTCTTTGTGGCTGGGTACGGTCGATTTTGTCAAGTGGAACCGAATTGATATGGCCGAGCTGGGCAAATCCGGTAAACTCACTGAGTTGTATATAACGGCAAATTTTGAAAAGGGGGCTTTCTCAACTTCACTTCGCGTCCGAACCACGGGTCACTATTTGACCAAGATGCCTGGGGTCTGGTATCACTGCACGGATCTCTTAATGCCTACCCAGTTCTTCAGGCTATTGGATTGGATCCCGTTTCACCTTGCTTTTCCTCGCAAGAGGCTTACGATTTGATCAGCAAGCATGTCCAACAGTTCAGCGCGGATGAGCTTGAGATGAAAATTATCAAGATTGGACTCTGCGGGAATATTGTGTACACTCCCAAAGGACGGTGGGAAACAGAGATGAGCAAACAGCTTTCACGCCATCCCCTGGTCAACTACAAGCCCCAAATTCATGCCATCCCGACTCTCCCCCCCCCCTACTGCTGTTCCCAAGGTAGCTTGGGACAAGCGCCCTCTTGCTGGAGTTGAGGTAGTTGAGCTGGTTCGGATCATCGCTGGTCCTACAATTGGAACAACACTGGCAGCCTTTGGGGCCGATGTCATTCGTGTAAACTGCAGCCGACTTCCGGATATCAACCTAAGACCTGCCTCTCGGAAAACGCTCCATTTATCTGCCTAGGGGTAACCTCTTGAGTTTGAATTGAGTAGTCGCTTCAGCTCACCCTGAATGCGGGGATCCGTACTATTGACATTGATCTGACAAAGAATGGAGATCGAGAACATTTAATGAGATTGATTCGTGATGCCGACGTCTTCGTCCAGGGTTACCGACCCGGTGTTATCGGCAAGAATGGGCTCAGTCTATCCCACCTCTTGGAAATGACCGGGAATAGGGGCAAGGGCATTGTCTATGTCGAAGAAAACTGCTATGGACCGAATGGCAACAAGTTGGAGATGCTGGGTCAGGTGCATCTTACGTCACAGCAAAATCAATGGGGTGCCCCGATGGCACCGGCATCCTTCCTGCTATGCCTATTCCTGACATGATGCCCGGGCTTATAGGCGCATTGGGGACATTGATGTCCATTCGTAATCGAGCACGTACCGGGGGTTCATATCACGTTTTCGCGTCCCCTGTTGCAGCTGCGGCATACCTTCTGGATCCCAGTGTCAGCTTGTATCCTCCACAAACTGTTGAAAAAGTCAGCCAAAGATTCAATTGGGAGCGGACGGACCCTTCCATGTTTGTCTGAGAGCTTTTGGAGACTGAGTTGAGGGTTTGGAAAAAGGAATACCAAGATCTCTACTCTCACGATTAGTCGTTTACTACGACTCTAACCGGAGACTGGGCAGAGTTTGATCTGCTTGAACCTGTGGTCAGTCTGGGCGATGCGAAAGCCAGCCCACAATGGCTGACGGCTCCTGTTCCAAACTATAGGACAGATATCGAGTGCCATAAAGCCAGCCATGTAGTAGATCTGTGGAATCGTGTCCAGGCGGGCTTCAAGTCTGGAGATATGGGTCCGTGGTTGAGGAGCTGTGGCCACGAGACTTTAGATCTAGGCCCCGTGATCTGGAACAGTTGACTAGAGGCCGAGTACTGTGTTGAGTATCACGGTGGCTGAACCTTACGTCAGGGATTGGAAGTGATATAACCGCGTCCGAGACCGCGGACATTAGTCGATCGGCTTTCTGCTGTACTGTGCCCTCTGACGGAGTGGCGGCCAGGGTGCTCGCAATTCTAGCATTAATCTCGTTCCACGGCGCGTTTTTCAGAAGAAGTCGTTCCTGATGCTCCGGGGCTGACCACGATGCATCGAACACAGTCTCGATCGTCCTGTGATCCGAGCCATGTTCAGTCCCGTGTATTACACATTTGGTCATTAGGTCTGTCAAATTGTCAGAGGCTAGGACGAGGTCGATGGTCGACTCGCAGTCCCCGCTCTGTCCCCCACCGTGCCATGTTTTTGTACATCGTTTGAGCAAGCTGCTAAGAGCAAATTCGATCATGAGGTCAATGATTGGGTCCGCTTCGCCCTGTCTTCCCAGGGACACCTCGTCTCCGCCCCAGAGTTGGTCATGGCGGTTGAAGTCTCCCATGATCATGATATCCACCACAGCGCCCGTGTCTCGTCGCACCTTTAAGATTGCCTTTCTTAGGTGATCGCATGCGTCTTCTAGCGCCGAGGCCTCTCCGCCTTCGACGTAGACCGATGCCATGAAGATCAGCCGTTCGGGTAGCCGGACGATCGCCGCTGTCAGATCCGGGGATTCTATAGCCACTTGCTCCGCTTCTATGTCTTTATTCACCCAAAGCATGCTTCGGATCGCCCATCTGCCTTCCCTCCAAGTGGAGGGGACCATCTTCGTCCATCTGTGGTGTCCCATCGGGGTGGTCAAGAGCCGGCCCTGGATCCTCCTCGCCTGGGGTTCCTGAATCGCTAACGCCACTGCGCCCTTGGTTTCTTCGTCGTTCATCAAGCTTTCAAGGACTGCACCCTGCTTCCTCACATTCAATTGGATCATTCGAAGTGGTTTATTCATGACGTGATGGGTAGAGCTTCCGGCAGTTCTTGCTAAACGATTCATGTGGCCCACCGCACGGAACGCACTTTGGAACCCCTTGGTCGCAGCGACTGTAGTGATGGCCCTCCGTGGCGCATTTTGCGCACTTTTGGATCTTCTTGCATTGGAATGCCTTGTGACCAATCTCTTGGCAGTTGTAGCATTGCACCGGTCGTGGTCGATATTCAAAGACGCTGGTTGTCCCAATTCCCCTCCAACGTGGAAGTATCCGTCGGCCAGGAGCCTTCGCGCGTCAGTGCCTTTGGTGAGGTACACGACCATTGATCCATATGGCTTCGCAGCCTCCTTGCTGCTAAGCCATGTCATCTTGGCGACAGTAGTTTCATTCTCCTCACCAAGGGCGGCCGCTGCTCCTGTCAGAATGTCATGGTTTTCACCCAGTACCGCAGCCCTCTTGACGCTGTCGACCTTGATCGGGTAGAGCTCGTCCCGGAGCACCCGGGCTCCCCTCCCGATCTTTGCTTCCGCCACTTCCTTGACCAGCTGGTGCTCGGCTTCATCGCGACACGCGATCCTGATCCGGTTGGGGTCTCTTGGACTGACAGTAACCGCGCGACAGCGCCAGTGAGTGTGATCATCCATCGTTCGGATCTCTTTCTCGATTGTGGCCCTGATTGAGCCTGCCCATTTCTTCTCGTTTTCACTTTCGGTCACAGTGACATCCTAGTAAAAGTCAGTAGCCAAACTTGACATTCCGGTATTCCATTCACCGTCCAGTAATTTCGAGGAAAGGAGGATTGGAAAATCCGTCGGTCGCCTTGACGAGAGTGGCGGACAACAGCAATGTGTACTACCTCTAGTCCCACCCTCTTTAGGATTCTTGATAGGAGTGTAGGCATGGTCTCGCGAGTAAAGAAAGGACTGCAGATACAATAGAACTGAAATGATATTTAGTAAGCTATCCGTGCCTGGGAACAGCTGTGTGCGCTATGATAAACTAACAATCGCTGCTCTATAGACTTATATGTATATTGGCATGAGCAAAATTATGGTCATCTGCGCCATCGGTAATCTCGCCGTGGCTTTTTCTCGTGTCTCCGTGACGATCACTTCGCCAAGTCGACCTGTTATTTAGCCTTGCACGGGAAGACAACAGCGTTTTCTTTTTCGGTTTCGTCCAGCGATCAGGTCTTCAACGTAAAGGCCACCCTGGCCCGCAGAAACCAACGTCTGTGTACAACCCAGCACCACCTTTGTCGCGTGGTCGACTAAGGCAGTATATAAAAGATATGACTGTGTTGGTTCGCTTGCCCTCTAGATAAACTAAGACTACAGAACTCGAATCATTCGGCCACCATAGTTCTAGGACGTATCTGACAAAACCCATTTCTCCCTGGGCTCAATCAGCCAAGTCATGGATGCTCCTGTAAGTACAATACCACTACAGTATCTCTGACAAGACTCTCCTAACTCCGACAGGAAATACTTTGTATTCTTGCCGCACTTAATTCGCGGGAAATTTGCGCAGAGAAAAGCCAGGGAAAGCTCGACCAAGACCTGACCACTACGCGGAAGGCCCTGACGCAGGTCACCGACGAGCTAGAGCAAGTGAGCAAATTGGCTGATCTTATTTAGAGGTCAGCCAGCGGATGGGAGCTGTAACGGACTATCTTCTGAAAGAACACAGTATCCAATAAGTTCCCGAGGCTCAGAGTCATTTGAGGTCATACTCAACAGCGTGGTCGAGAAAACAGACAGAGGCACAGAAGCCCAAAAAGGATACAGAAACGGTGAACGTCGGCTCGAGAAGCAATGTTCCAGGACCCGCAGAAGTAGGCAGCTAAGTTATACTTGGATAACGGTCAGCCAATGTGTAAATATTACCTACATGCTAGCCGTTGGGTTCCCTGCGGGCGCGCGCGGTTAACCCGTTCTGTCAACGAGATCGCACTCTGCACTACATAGCATGACAAGACAACTCGCTTTATTCCTTCGATTAAGGAAGCATAAAAGAAAGCTAATCCTGTTCTGTTGCTTGTTCCTGGAAGTCAATCATCTCGGTGTATGGCATAGTACAATACACCCTCCTTTGGTAGTGATGAAAGATCGAAAGCATTTTTCCCGTGCCCGGGCACTTACGCGAGAGTTAGAGCGGGCACTGGATAAATTCGAACCAGCCCTTGCCCCAACCACATCGCAAGCCATGCCGGCGGCTGGTATCCTTGGACCCGCGTTCGAATGTGACCGTGCGCGGAGGTCGACTGCCCCATCTCCAGAGATGATGCCCACTCAAAATCTCAATCAAGGCAAGGGTGGTTTAGAGTATTCAAAGGCTGGTAGGTCAATCCGGCAAGCATTGTGCATCGTTTCAATATGTATACATTTTGACCATTCTTCTTGAAAACAGGTGCACGGGATGGTGGACAACCCTCGTTGGCGGATTCTGTCGACGAGGCCGCGGAATGGCTCGACCAACTCTGTCATGTGTAATTGGTGAAGGATTGAGCTGTGCCGATGGGGTAATGAGGATGATTCACTTTTGTTGTGATATGAGGCTGGTGCAGATCAGGAACCAAGCCGCACCGTCGGAATTAGCTCCGAAGTCTCTATACAGACGACCAAACTGATTGGAAATCAACTTGGCTCATTGTTGTATATATAGGCTCATGTATCCCTCTGAAATAACAAGCCAATTGGTACCTCTGAGCTACAATACTATATATCTGTGAGTCTGCGGGACATTCAGCCGTTCGATTCATTTAAAAGAACTAGCAATACCAAGTGGCTTGATTGACTTTATTTGATCTGTTTACTGCTTCAGACAAATTCCTGTTACCCATTATTTCCTACCTTGACCACCGTAAGGTAGCGTGACCATGAAATCCGTATTACCGCCACACCCAGTCAGTCCTGAGCGGGCAAAGCACCTCGAGCGCAACCGCATCGCCGCCAACAAATGCCGCGAAAGAAAAAAGAGAGAGAAAAAGCAAATCGAGCGCCGACTCAACGAGAAAACCGTATAAAAAGAAGACCTCCTGACACAACTGAACTGTCCACGAGAAGAAGTCTGGGACTTGAAAAACATCATCTTCCAACACGCCGAATGCGAAGACCACCAATCAACACTCAACTACGAAGAATGACCCAAACCATCTCACATAACCAATTTTCTTCCAATTTGGTCGCTACGGAGATGAGCCCATCGCCGACAGGTTCAACGAAAACGTGGTCGAATGAGTCGGTCGCAGACGAGGGAAACTTGAATATCAATATGATCGACCCGGGCGCATATGATCAGAATGGTTTGACGATCTTGCCTAAAGGTATGAACGACGTGTTATACGATAATAATGGTCGGCAGATTCGATTTTCGACAACTTTATTGAGGACAGCCTGTACACGTAGGAAGCTGAGGGGGCGTTTTGTTATTTAGCGATGATGTGTACAGTATACAAATGGGCTCTTAGAGCTGAAACTCATGCCTTGAAGGAACGAATCTACGAATCGAACAATTTTTCTGCAAGGATACTGTTTCCAGATCTCATGTTCCCGTCTTCCCCCCAAAGTAAGAGTGACCAAAGGTCAAATGAGAATTTCGGGACTCCACGGAAGTCTTTCACATTACGATGAAACGTATATTGTTCCGGAATGCTAAGAAAAACCTCATAATGGGTACTTGAACGCGTGTCACAGGGAAAAGGAATAGTGGAGGATCACCTGTTGCGCGACGCGAGAAACATCCGTCTACTAAGCTCCAGATTTATAAGCCTTAAGTCAACAAGTGGCATTGTGTGGAACATGCAAGATTGTTAGCCCTGCGAATCCTGGGATCTCTGAAAAAGTATTCACCACGCTTGTGATGTCACCGCGATCGCCCGTACAACTATCCAAGTGTTGCTCTGTGATTCTCTTTTTATCTTCATTTTCTTTCCAATTATTTTCTTTTGTTAAAACCCTTTATTGTTTTTTGTATTATGGCATTTCTGTTATTTACTTATCCTGATGATGCCCGCGGCCCTTCCTACGTCTCCCTAGCTGGCTTCTATAAACAAATAATGGCAACGTCATCTCTTTTGTGAGGCTCCAAATTTTGCGCTCCTAGGAGTCGGCCGCACAACTTCCCAAAAGCCCACCAAATCCATAAGTATTTCGAGGCTCGCGAAAGCTATGTTGGTTGCGCCAATTTCTCAATCGCTCATATCTGTGAGGGTTTCACGTATACGTAGATGGGGATTGCGTTTCGTAGATGAATAATCAATATAAAGGAAAGCTATAGTCGACTCTAGATACAAGACGTAGCGCGAGGAAGCAAAAGAAAGGTAGCTTCCTCGCGTTCAGGGGAACCCATATACACCATGTGGGTCCCGCGCAGATCATTTCTCCATGCTTCATGTATATCTCTGACAATATCTACTCACATTCCCAGAAACTCTAAGAGTTTACACTAATATTGCTGCCTGAAGACATACCAATGATAAGTAAGTGGTGCCACTCCAAATGGATAAATAGTTAAATCTCCATCCGTTTAGAAACAATCAACTACCTCACTTTCGATTATTCATCCGTCTGTCCTAATTCGCAAACTACACCTCTGTACTATAATAATTTCTCAATCGGAGTTTCGTGTTTTGAGAAACGTCAACTACAGTAATCCTAATTTAGATTTTCACCTACAACGACTGAACCCAATAAGTATCAATACTCCCACTGCACAATTCGGGAAAACAGCACAGTGCAGCGTCCTTGCCTTTTCAAATATAATCTCGGGAAGACGGCAAATGAATGAGGAATCAAACCTATGGATTCGCTCATCGTGATTGTCCTGGACAATGAACACCAATGACCCTTGGCATAGCATAGACTCACACACACACACACACACTCACACACACACACACACTCCTGCCGGTACCAGTGAGTTATTCTAGAATCAATAACTACAGGGATACTGATGAAGACCATAGAAACGGTGATTCCAGTGTTTGGTTCGAGACCCCCAGATGCTGGGCCAAGGACCAGGATAAGCCTCGAGGATGCCGTATGTGACTCTCCTAGCCTCTATGTAACACGGGCAAAGACTTATGCTGACCTATATATTAGGTGGTTCAAGCAGTCGATGCAATTAAATTCCTACGAAAGGACTTTCTTGTGCCTGACAGGGAAAGGGGATAGCTATGAAAGCCCCCACTTTGCAATTCAAAAACGGTATTTCGATTTCTAAGAAAAAAAGAAAACATGATTAATTGCAAATTATGTTTTTGTTCATCCCAGTAGTTTTTGTTATTGTTCCAATCAGAAAATACCACTAAAAACCCTGACCTGAATCACCGGGGCACATAACATAGCTTCATCGAATACAGAAAAGTACAGAAAAGTACAGAAAAGCGAGGTTTCGCAAAACACAAAGGCAAAACCTGTTGATATCCGCTTGAGGGAGAAAATTGGTTTTTATTTGAAATGTTTTGTACAAACCAACCACCCATTTTGGAGATGGATATAATTTAAACGCCCCGGGTTACAGGACATTAGACCCTGGGAACATTTGGGATGACTCCAGGTGCTGCTTTACTCCCAAGAAATAGGAATAGCGCTTCAACCTTATATTTCTCCATCAAGATAAAAGTATGCGGATTGCTACTATGGAAGTAGCATTTAAAGAGATATCTGGCGGCGCTTACTATCGGCTGCGTTGTTCTTTGTGAGGACAGCCCGTGTGTGTGAATAGCACATAGAACATAACTTCATGGTGCCTAGGGATATTGACACGCTTCATATAACTGCCGCCATCCTTTACTTTGTGCAGTCTTCCCCTCAATCGAAACTTATATCACCTTGTTGCAATTAATTTAACTGATATTACAGAACAAATAGACTTTGAATACTGCCAGGCCGTAATTCGGATGCGTCTAATCCTTATCTCAATTAATATTAAGTGACTAGCCTTGGGGTCGGTTGGGCCACTACCTGCTTTATGACAAGCTCTTCCACCTGACCAGAAAAAAGGAGAGAGCACTCAGGAGGAAATATTACCTTCGATGGAACCGACGACAAGCCGTCACTAACTGTTAAATCCGGAAGTAGTGTTTGACCAGGGATTACGTTGGAAGGAAAAGGCCCAGCAAGCCACCAAACGCGCCACCAAGGCGACGTCGCCTTGGGTGGCTTACGTCACTTGCGCTCAGAGCAAATGGGCCAGCTTTACCAAACATGCGTCACGCCCATCGTGGATTATGCGTCGACGGTCTGGCATGACCCGCTTCAAGACAAACCTCACTTGCGCCATTATACGGTTCAAGGAACCGTGTTGAGTCGGATACTGTCGCCTTTCCGAGCAGTAGAAACAACAGTGCTGAAAGCGGAAGCGCTCATACTTCCCACGCATCTCCGCCTTCGCCACCGAGCGCAGCGCACCATCGCGAGACTACACTCTCTACCTCGGGACCATCCCATTTGGAGTGCTCTATCAGGAGTCTGGAACAGTACAAACAATGTGGGATCATACGCCAGTTTCCCCCTAGCAGAAGCGCTGAAGACCATGGACGTCGGCAGGCTCAATCAGCGGGAAACGACTGACCCACCAGGGACATATTGAAACGGCGCGCTGCCCCACGAACACTGGATACACAGTATCACCCGTGATCTTGGAAGCCTGATTTGAGTGCTTTCAAAATGCCGTCAAATAGCTATCTCTTGATGCTCGACTTCATCTGTTGATCGCTTTAAATCACTCAATTGTATACAGAACTGAATGACAGGTAAAGCTTTGAAACAAGTAATTACAGAATTATCACAATCATCACCCCATGATAGTCTGCCAAGCCAAGAAAAACGAGCGAGACCAGCAGCTCAGTAAACCATACGAAGCTTCTCATTAGGTAAATGAAACGAATCGGGTTCAATGCTTTTGCAGACCGTGGCAGTTCTTTTCCCCTCCACAACAGGGAGCAGAAACAACAAAGCAGGCAATTCTTACTAAAGGCGCTGGCGGGGTAATTGTTCATCAAATACCACATGTTTCCGCAATAAGCTATTGCTAGACGTTATGGCCCAATTTGCCAACAGTAAACTGAGTCCTCGATTTCTTTCGTGAAATTGCTCCAAGTAATACCTTCATCTCGCAATGTTTTGGCTCTCTGTAATTGGATTTCCTCCACAAACAATGATTGGAGAAGACAAAATTTCCGAAACCGGGACTTCAGCTCCAGTGGATAAAGTCGCAACCACCTGAACTCGGACCCTGAATGTTTTCTGAAATTTTCTTTGCATGTTGTTCTGTGTATTTGCTCGAGAAAAACCTAGTTGCTTCCAAACGAAGTGGTACTCCACCATGCCGTTGCTTTTGTTCCAAATTTGTGGATCACTCACCACGGTCAGATGGGGTGGCAGGCCTGGAAGTTGTATCTGATGGAGCGAAAGTATTGATTTGACCGGCTCGCCCACTTCATCCTCAATTGCAGACAAGTTGACTTTATTCGCAATTATCGGAATCCGATCGCCCTCACCAGTCCTAATGTGACATTTTCCCAACGGCAGCCTGACACTACCCGCAACATGAAAAACATCGCGACGGTGACAAATGACATCTTCATCCGTGTTCGGCGAAAACTTTTTCGGATCGCCTGCGTGGTGTGAAGGTCGAAGCAGATAAAAATTTCCGAAAAGGCAGGCTGAAATTTCAAACCAAGATTGCCGCATCGAAGAATCAAGCAGTATGCCGAGATGGATCGGATGAGTGAATTTTAGCAACGCCCTGTGACCGATTTTATATTTGTAGGCTGCATTTTTAGGCCGCAGGATTTGTACATGGTCTCTGTGTGTCGTTCGGACCTTTGCGACGGAACGAATTAATTCGGAAGAAGTTCTTGGTCTTGAACCTTGCTCGGGCCTACATCAAGCGGACGGATTGAACGTAGTTAGTGTCGACAACAAAGGTTAAGTGGGATATTCAAGGCCGGCGCCCATACTCACACGAAGATAGTTTGATCGTTAGGCTCACAGTAACAAATCTGGTGCATGATGATGGACAACAATAGCGGGCTTAGGTTTGTCGAGAATTAAAACGACTCAGGCTCAAATAAGGCATATTTAAATGATCAAGTCAACATTCCGTGAACAAGGGTGGCCGCTTCAGGAAGTTGCGACAAGTGCGGAAATCAGATAGATCAAAGTGGGGTAATAGTTAAACTCCGTCGAAATGCAGACGATGATGAACCCATTTGCCCGATGTAGCTCGCTCTGTATATATGTTGTATGCGGGGTGCTGTTAGGCCGGCCGCTGAAAAGATCACGCCGGTTTACTGGCTAGTCTTGTGGAACGCAGGGAGATGCAAACCAGCGCAACGAATGAGCGCAAACGTGACAAACACACGGAAAGCCAGGACGAACAGTCACGTGAGCATGCTCCCTCGCCCTTGCCAGATAATTGAGAAGTCCAACCGCCGGAAAATGTGAGAACTTGACCATATGCTTTGACTACTATGATACGGGTGGATGGATGGATGAATGATTTCATTTCCCTGACCCCTGGCTTTAGTTGAATGGACTAAGGTACAAGTGAGATCAATGGTATATAATAGAGAGATCCTGCTATTTGTAGTTGCAGCAGCTCATCTCCCTTCGGCCTAGGGGAGGGTCTGCCTAACAGGCAGCCACCCCACCTTGAACACATCAGATAAACCAAACAATGGGCCAAGTAATTACCACAAGATGACTTAAAAGGGTAGACGATTCTCTCAAGATTTCTCCGGTCAGTTAAAGTGCTGCTGTTTCTGGAATAGATGGATATTGGAAGCTGTCAACAAAAGAGGGTCGCACTGTTACTAGTGCGCCCGAGGAATATTCAGCACCCCCTCTGCCTGATGATCGTAAGGCTCTCAACGACCTTACTAAGCTCATCCCCTATTTATTCTGCACTTTCTATAGTATATAGAAAACACACTCTCAAGTACTCAATTGGCTATGCCCTTACTAGTCCGTACTGTAACGACCACGTTCCGACATAGAATTCTGACAGCATTCCTTACAATGGAAGCCATTAGCAAATTGGCAGATCACCCCAATATGTGGTTGTGGCAGCGAATATCAAGTCCCGCCAATAACCCAAATGTCTCCGCTCGCACAGATATTGCCAAGAAACGCTAACGCTCTGGCTTTAGCTGACGCGTCTTCATCCTTCATCACATGGCGGAGCGCTGGCCTAGGAAGACGTCGGCATCTGCGGGCTGAATATTTTCCGAGGCTATCTCAAAGCCGTGATGATTCTTCCTCGTACCTGCATCTGCCAAGGCGTCTCGGAATATACACATGATGAGACGGGATCACTGGGATTAATTGGCCATTGATGGCGTTCTGTTTAGCAATTCTCCGTAAGAGCTTGGCAAAAGATGCTGGTAGTTTCAGATCCCCAAGGTTCCCAGGGTTAGTTTGGATGATGAAATTGACCGGTGCTGGAAACGAAGAATAATTTTGAAGGCTTTCCAAACGCGAGCACCGCAACCTTCTGATACTGGCATCAAATCCAGACGACAAAAAGCTGGTGATATTTGCGGTAGCACTTGAATTATGATGCCTTGATTTGTAACTCCGGGAATTCCAAGATGCTCTGCACAGGCCTTAGCTTGTCGGGGGGCGTGTCTCCTTGCAGACGTCGATCATCGCCCTCCGCTGTCTTGGCGTTGGTAGCTGCATTTCCAGCCTACGCACGCCTTCGAATATCCACCAAAGAGCGCCTTGAGAGAAAAATTACGGATCAGGGCTTCGAGAAAACCGCAGCGAAAATGGTATAGTCAGGCTTCCAGGGGCCAGAGGGTGCGTGGCCCGCTTACTTCACCACCTTGGCGACGATGTTCGAGACCAATAGCTGATGGTAGTTTACGCAGCAGTAGAAACCAGGGTAGAGCACTCGTCGTCAGCAACCGCCGTTTCTGGAAAGAATGTCCATTCAACCTTGTAGGCATCTGTGAGAATCATATTGCGAGCTTTCAAATTCGCGCCTAGTACCACAGAGCCTTGTTCCAGTAGGTGCTCTTGACGTTGGCTAAGTCATCGGTCTGAGTGTACATGGTGGTGTTGAAGACCAGCTCAGTGGCATCGCTGCCATACTTGGGCCAGTGGAGCTTGTCGCTGGACCACTTGGTGTTGGGGTTGCCGGTCAGGACAAATGACAAGAGGTACTTCTGCATCTTGCGCTGTAGGTGGAAACATAAATTAGTGGTGTTTCTCCTCACAAGAAAAAGAAAAGGGGCACATACAGCAACGGTGGAGCTGACGGAGGAGCTACCGCTGATAGCGACACCAGCGCCGGAGTCGGCGCTGCTGGAGGAGCTGGAAGAGGAAAGGGAGTAGGTGCTGTACCCTGTTTTATGTAAAGATGATTAGTCTCAGTCATTCAGGAATTTCTCGGGAGCGAGAAAACAGGGATTCAGCAGGATGTCTTACAGTAGTAGCTCTGGTCAGTACCGTGGGTAGCCTGCTCGAGAGCAACCATGGCGTTCCAGGTGTTGTTGTCAAGGGCGCGGGTCAGGGCGTAGTCGTGGGCAGTGAGATCAAAGGACTGTCTCATATCGGCGAAGCGGTAGCCGGGGCTAGAGTAGTCAGATGCAGGGAAAGCCTCCATGATTTCATCGACAACATCGTCGGTAATGGCGGGGAAGAAGGCACGGAGCTCAGCCTCCACCTCGGCGACGGTGCTGACGCCGTCAGTCGGCGAGCCGTTATTCTCGTGCTGCTCGTGAGTGATGACCAGAGGACCGTCGAAGTTGAAGCGGCCCTGGTAGAGCTGCGACTCGTAGGTATCAGCAACGAAATCACCGTCCACACGGGGCTGGAACTGGTATCCGTAGATGTCGTGGACATCGGTCGCAGCATCAGTGAGGTTGGTGAAGGAGACAGCACGCATGCAAGACAAGTCACCACCAGTGCAGCCAACTGCAGTGGAGACGTTCTGGTAGAACATGTCGCCCTGGTGATGGCCGGCTCCGGGGACGTAGCCAGGAGAAGTAATGTAAGCCTTGTTGAAGAGCTGCTCGTTGTGACCACCGTAACGAGTCATCATGAACAAGGGCATACTGGCACCGGCAGAGAATCCGAAAGCAGTGACGTCGTCGGGGTTACCACCGAACTTGCTGATGTACTTCTTCACCCACTTGTACGCATGCTCAACATCGTACAGGGCCACATTCTCGGTGGCACCCTGGTGAGTGAGAGAAATCGAGTTGGCAATACCGGTAATTCCGAGACGGTAGTTGAACGAGACAAAGATGAACTCCTTGGACAGATCGAAGAGACCCTCGGGGGTGTTCTCCGACTTGGAGCCACCAGTGAAGCCACCACCGTAGGTCCACACCATGACGGGCAGCTTCTTGCCGCTAGCATTGGCTGGCGCCCACACGTCCATGTACAGACAGTCTTCCTTCGAGGAACAGTCGACATCGGCATTGGCATAGGTGGTGCCGTTGTTGATGCCCGATTCAGTCGAAGGCCATTGGGGCTTGGCGAAGCGAAGGTCACCGGTGGGAACGGCAGCAAAACGAATGTTCTGGTATTTGTAGTATCCAAGAGTCTCGTTTCCAGCAACCGCTTGAAGGGTGGTGTAGTCGAGGGTCACCGTTGGCTTGTCGGATGTGGACGACTTGCTGGAGCTGGGAAGCGCCGAGACAAGGGTAGCTGCCACGGGCAGCAAAAGAGTGGAGAATCGCATGTTTCCCAAGCGTAACTCAAGGAGAGGTTAAAGGAACGACAATAAAAAGTTTGAGTTGATCGCAAGGACATCCTGGATTCGGACTCGGTATCTCTGATAAATCAATGTCATTGATGGTAATGTGATTGGCATTGTCAAGACAGTGACGCGGAATCTTCACGCTACTTCAGCCACGGGGCATTGGTTAAACAAGGCCCCCGGGATCTAATCCCAGAATGAGGCAAGTTTAAGAGGGGATCAACGTTTGCCAAGTGCCAAGAGATCCAAATATACGACCAGAGTGACGCGGCATCGATGCGTTCGGAGGTGCGGCGGAATTCCGTGATTCCAATAGTTATATCCACTTGGGCACTCAGTGCATCCGAAAGGATGCTGGAGTTCGGGCTTTTACAAGAGGAAAGCGAACAAAGGAGACCATCCGCCCAGCCCACGTGTTGGAAGGTGCAGATCAGGGAGCATAGATAAGGAAATTCGTCAACATGCATGCTGTACTACTCTTCTGCTTTGGAAATCCGTTACTCGCCGATTCTGGTAATATGTCTAAGACCATTTAGGGTGACGAACATCCCCCATGTATCTGCGCGGCCTTATTTCACATAACCCAATGAAGGCGCTATGTTCAAGGGTAAAAGTGGAGACGCTGTCCGTTTTAGGGCTGACCGGTTCAACTCATAACCGGAAGGCGAGACTTGAGAAATACCCGGAAATAAACTAAACTAGGCTGCCACTTGCGCTAACCCAAATCAAACATCAGTGGCATCTGTCGGATTGACAGATACTGGTATGTGCTAGTATTGAGGTGTCCCATTGAGATGCATTGATGTTGTTCTATCTGGATCTTGCTGTTGAAGCGTTCACAGATCTCAGGAGTCGTTCCTAGCGTGTTACGACGCTGGTATGCCGAGCGTACCCCATTTACCATACAGAGACAGAGACAGAATGGGTACTTGATGAATATCCCTGTTCTTAGTGGTAAAATACCACCCCTCAGTTCGACATATGATCTTCAACGCGTTCATATCTGCTCGAGATGTTGAGAATATTGGGACGAATTCTTATTGTAAGAAGGTCTTTCAGATGCTGTTGACACTATTTTCATCAGTAGCATCATTAGCATAGCCGGTATTGAAGCACTTTTTGCATCTTTCCCACTCGCATCATTGAATGTCAAGAAAGCCAATGCCGAGTAATTCATTCACAATCACCGTTCTTTGCACACTCGTGGTGACCGGTGACCCCCGTTTACTCCGGAAACTAAGGCTCAAAAACTTCCTGTCGTCAATATATTTGCGACAGCGCCAGTTGTTCTACACGCTACCTGAACCGGAAAATATGTATTTGGAACATAAAAAGTTTTCGCGTCCGCTATTTCCAGCTCCGCCTTAACTGTAATTTCATGCTGATCCGCATCTCTCAATCGTCAAGCCGCGGACTCCAACTGCCACTCCTTTACATCATATGGACTCACACGTCCTGCCAAGCTAGCCCGAACCTGGTCAGAGCAAATGAGGGGGATAATTGCATTGATGCTGAAGCGCTGCAACGTGATACTGGGTAGAGCATAGGGTCATCCAAGTATACTACAGCCCCCCCCCCCCACCCGGTTTTTTAATGATCATACACGGATGCTGCTAAGGGACCAAGTATTAACAGCCACCACAACTCCCATGAAGCAGACCACCCGCTTGAGACGGCCTCAGTACTTTGTGTGCCACCACTGAGACTATGTCTGGTGAGCCGAATTGAGTCAGCTACACCTCAATCCTTGAGTTGTACAGAAAACCATGCCGCGGCTTCTGGATCCTGCTATATCCCCTCTGGTCCTGGTATCTCCTCTGCTCGGTTGCTTGACCCGCAAAAAGAGAACACCGAGGAAATCAATAATACTATAGTTTGTATGGACGACCCTTCACTGCTTGGCTGTCACGTCTATTGCAAAGAGCTCCGGCATGAACTGGATGTTGAGGACCCTCAATTGCACACAATCATTGGCTGCAGAAGGGGTTTCAAGCGTCAGGACCACCTCGAGCGCCATATAAATAGCCACCCAAAAGAAAGGCCCCATCTCTGTTGGGTGCCTGGGTGCCTCCGGGCCTTTTCACGGCATGACAACCTCAATCATACGACACACGAAGCCCGTTATGTTGCTACCCTCGACGAGACGAGCCCCTAATATGATCTAGAATCTCGAGGCCAGCTATCATTTGATGGTCTCCCACTTAGGTTTCCAGCACCTAGTAACCCCTATTCTGAATCTAAGCCTTAACAACCATAAGTTTGGACAAAATTCAAGGTCAGATTCTTCCCGATAACAAGCGAACGAAATTAATTAACTTCGATAGTCTCCCTTCGTCCCAACTCGTCTTCTTGCAGTAAAGCTCGTTATACGGTAGAGCATCCTGCTTCCATGACAATATCTAAGCTTCTTGATACTTGCTTTTCCCTATCGGAATGCTTTGTCGCCAAACTTGCCTAAGATCTACGACAAAGGAAACTCAACGACAGCTTCAAAAGTCAATTGATAGATGCTTGGTGGGAAAAATATCCCCCTGCAGTATTTCAATAAATAGGCGCTGGTGTTATGGGATGGTAGACGGAGAACCTCAACGTGAAGACTCGGTGAGGCGGCCGTACGACCGACGGTGAAATTTAGTTGATTCCTGTGACGAAGTACAAGCACTTCACACTATTTAGTACATTGCCAGTCTTTCCATTTCTGAGTAATTCATGTCTGGTTTGCTTTTCTATCTGCCGCATTGGAAACAACTATTGGCATCCGGCAGTATATCTAAACCTCCAGCTAGCCTTGCACCACCAGTTCAAACACTGTTGTCACCTCCCTACAGCAGTGCCGGCAGCCAGTTGAACGAGATGTCGGAATTTGGTCAGAATGGTTCGTACAACTTGATTTTACGGTCGTTCTGTGCTCACAGCAGGCTAGATAGCGACTTCGATCTCAACATCCACGGAATCCGCCGAGAGTCTTCTCCTATATCGGCGCCGGTTTTATCTCTTTCTGCAGATAACGAAGATGTTGGGCTGGATTTACCAAATGTAGCAGAGGCTGGGGCCCATAAGGCTCAAGGACCGCTCTCGGTCGAATGCTTCCTCCACTGCAATCACGAGGACCAGTCGGGCTTCAAGTGGACTGGTCCACATCCTCTCTCCACCTCTACTCTAGCTGATGATCTCTTCCTTTACATTTCAGCATTCTTTCCTTTCGATGAGGTGTACTGGGTAGAGCCCCTACTCACACGACTTGATCAATCAACCGGCAAGGCAGTGGGAGAGCATCTATTCTTCCTGCCAAGGGTTGAAACCACAATGGGAAACTTGCACTGGATGCGTGAGCAGATGCTAGATATCATATCCCCTGCTGCTTTTGAAGCCACAGCCCCCTGTCTTCAATTGTTTTTGTGGCCGAGCACGGAACCTCTGCCGTATTCCAGTCACTCGACTTTCTCCTCGCTAGCAACACTACCCATGATGCCATCTCTGGATCCGACATTTTGCGTAAAGTCATGTTAAATTATTGGTTAATGTAGCGTGGCTGTGCTCGAAGCGCTTGGTGATTTCTCTGAGGCTTTTCAGTGGCAACGCGTATTCAAAGTCTACTCTACGTTGAAATACACGAGATACGCGAAGTTGAAACTAGGTTTGAATAGGACATTTTTGAAATTCACGATTTCTGACGATTATCGATATATCCCTTGACTATCACGTACGACATGTCACTTATCCGCTGGCAACTCCTCACGCGCGTCTTTTGATATCCATCAACAGGACCAGATCACTTCTCGAGCATTGATTCCAGTCTTTGAGAACTCCGATCAGTGGTTTTCGGGTCTATTCCAAAGCCTGTTCAAAGGAATACAGACGAGATATCTTCCCATCGGAACGAAGCTGGAGCCCGTCTCGCTCGTTACTTAATTTGATGGTAGCTTCCTCCGAAGTTTTCTCAATTTGGTCCGGTGTCTCGCCTTCGAGGTGTTTCAGCGCACACGAGGCCCATAGACGTCAAAATAGTCCCACAGATCGAGCCGCTTGAAAGGCAAGTTTCGGGTCATCGCGATCGAGATCTGCCAGTGTCTCCAATATGGGTTGAAATTGCTCGATTGCCAAAACTTTCTTTGAGCTTGTTTCCTGCTGGTTCGAGAGAATGGAGTAATTAGCCAGAGTTTAGAGCGAGTCATCACACGTATCTTACCGTTGGGGATCCATAATCGGAAACAACCTTTGGATAGGCCTTATCACTTTGGATAGGCACGTCAATCGGCTGGCGGTCTGCCCTATCTTGGTCCGCTAGTTGTTCTGGGGCATCCATCGTTTCCACTTGAAAACCTTTACCGTCAAAAGATATACTTTCCATCTGGCACTGGCCTCTCTTATAGTCTGTTTAGAGTCAAACATTTAGTTCAACGCTGTTAACTAGAAAGTACGCATCTTTCAAAGCAACTAGATGACCCAACCCATCCTCAAGACATCGTTGAGCCTCTACTTTCAACGTATGAACTTGCGACCATCGATTAATTTCTTTGGTTGATTTGGCTATTCTTGTACTGAATATATTTGTACCTTCTGCTCAACATTCGACGTGAAATCTGGGGGACCAATAAAAAAGAAGCCCGAAGAAGAACTGCTATGTTGATACTATGGTGACCGTGGGGACAGTGAACAACGGTCGATGTCATTACCAGCGTCCTCATTTTGCTACTGTTGATCAACAATAGGCTCCGGTATTGCACAGTCGTTGAAGGGAACATACTGTGTATGTGTTTTCCGTTTTCCGACCATGCCTACCTTTTCCCGGCCTATTTGCGCTGCCTAGCGACCTCGTCTACGAAGAAACTGCCTCTTGTTTTACGCCAACTTGACCGCAGTCCATCTTTTGGTGCTTTGAGGTGTGGTCGTTGAGTCAACGTTGGGCCCTCCAGTCGGTCAACGTTTCTATATTAACGTCTCTTTTCGGTCACCCACCAGAATGCGATTTGAACGTATCATTTAAGCCAGTAGAATGAAATTCAGATATTTTAACAGGCCTTGTTTTACTAGCAATCCTCCCAACTGTCCTCGAACGTTTGAAACCAACCAGAAGCATGCAAGTGACAAGACAAGCGAAAGTCAAAAAATACCTCTTCTGCCCGCGGGCTTCCGCCCAACAAGACAACTGCATGACTGTTCAACGCGGCTTATATATCCAAAGCGGAATAAACTCATTCCAAATAGGTAAACCGTGGGCATCTTCTGTACTTACGAAGATAGAATACATCGTGGATGTACGAGTCAGTATCATTTTTTTGTATGTAAATCTTGTATTAATATCTATTTATGGTAATAAATAAACTAAGTTTAAAACAGAAAAAGTGATAATATGTCTCGTCTCGTACGACAGTCAAACCACGAGTGCGTCGTTTTGTGGTAATGGAGTTCGGTGTTTCCGTATATCAGGTTTAGGATCAAGGGTTTTCACGTGGTATCTCGCAAATTCGCGCTTTGCTTATTAATCGTACCCTTTGGTCCTATTTGACTTTATCGAATAAAATCTTGCGGGAGCTACAAAATTAATATTTAAGTCTAAAGTTAGTACAAGTATCTCAGTCAGCTAGCAAATTAAGAGACAGCCTGATCTTCTCGTATAGCGACACCTGTCCAGATATCGAATTTTGCAGTAGAAAGAAATACGAAATACCACTAGAATACTATCAAGACGACATTCTTTTGCCGCGAGTCTTCGGGGGCTTGGCTGGTATCAATATATCTGAAGACTTCATCGAGCAGGTTTTCGTAAATGACCGGTTCCCGAATCGTCTCGAGGACAGCTGGAGGAAGGTGAATGAGATGAATGGAGCACGTTAGTCTGTCTCAATTGCGTATATTGCCAAAGAAATTCTTGTCCACGGCCTTCATTGGCTGATCAGTCGGGGCCTCATATGTATAAAATCAACACATGGATAGTCTATCATATTATATCTGTACAGAACCCCTCTAAATGGGTGCGGTCCTATCGTATGTACTAAAGTAGCTGCTATTGAATCATTATCCTTTCACTACCAGAACTAACTCGCGCTTGTCCTATAAATAATTCCAATCATTTTTGCGACGAAGCCTTTGTCAACTTTGACACGCTGCTTTCAGCAATATCCACCTTGTTAATTGTCTGCACGACTATGCCCTCCGCTGGAGGTGCCGAAGCGAAGCCCGCCTTCTCCTAGTACCCAGTCCCCTTCCATCACTGTTTAAGCGCTCCGCAGGTAGCAAGTATGCATTTGAAGGTCATCAGGAGGCCTGGCAAAGTTCAGCGGTCTCTTCAAACTACTATCTCCCAGTCGCGTGACTGGCCGGGCCTAGCGCTCCGATGCCGATAAGTGGAACTTCGGCGCGTCTAATCTCCAAGAATGATAGTTTGTTCAAATGAGTTTCGGATGTCCTGGCTCACTATCCACGATGAGCGAAGCGCTTATAGCCCCTTATCGCATGTATATTCGTTGTATTGTTTTGAAGTTGTGTGGATCACAATCCAATAATGTAGATACTGGTGGAACCCTAATGCATGAGTAGGGAGTATCAGGATGGCAGGCCAGTGCCATCAAAAACTGGGACTCCATCAGCGGTCTACACATATCCCCGCATGACGAGTGCCTAGGTGAAACCCTACCATGAAGTCACCGAATCCATTTTTCTTGTCGACGTTTTCTTTTATGACATCTTTGAGCGCAATCTAGAGACCCCTCGCCCTGTACAGTACATAATCACCTCAACTGTCTCGTCACCCGGTCGTTGGCTCTGTTACCTCCAGCTTGCGTTGCGTTTCAAGGGTGTCCTCAATGTCGATTAGAACGGGTTCCAGACAGATCACGTCCCATTTCCACTTGCAGGATTGTTCGTCCGTTCCTTCAACCAGTCTTTCTCAAGGTTCAAAACCCTCTACGAGCTGCAGGTTGTTGACGCGGATCATTTGCCAGACGCGAAATCTCTTTTCTGCGAGTAGTAAACAAAAACCCCAGTCGCTAATTGTCGCGTAGTTCAAACATGTGAAAATGCCGCAAGCGAAAGGCAAAGTATCTTTTTACCAGCCCAGTGACCAAAGCAATGTCGATGCCGCAGCAATTGCGAAATAAAACTGAATTAAAATGCTGCCCTACGCATATACATGTGCCACATTCACAAAGTTGTCAAACATGGAATCAGGATATACCTCCAAATTGGGGGTCACCAGACCATCGGAGATATTGGAAAAAAGAGTCCAATCATTTTTATTGTTTGTATCAGCGGTGATCGCATCGGGTTGCTGATCACTAACAGCTGAATCATCCGACAACGTTCCACATGAAATTGCTGGCAATGAGTCTGCTTCATAGATCGGTAAAGCGCCCTTGCTGGGATCGTTCAAGATATTCCGCATCATCCTGGCGAGTTGTAGATCGATTTGTTAATTTTCGCACCCAGCGTGTTGAAACACCATGTTTTTGAGTTCCCAGGCCTCTTCTCTTAGACAGTTTAGCTGTGCTAGAAGTACTTCTTTCCTTTCAATTTCATCGCTTAATCGGCGCTCAATTTGTTGATGTTCTCTCTTCCTCCTTTGACGGCACTTGTTTGCAGCAATGCGGTTTCGTTCACGAATTATGGTCCGTTCTGGTTCACTAGCCGAGCTTCGTCGTCGCTGAGATACTGATCTCTTTGTGGTGCGGTTGTTCATGGCCCTGTCCGCTTTTATACCTGGTCAGGCATTCAATATATTGTAACAACAGTCTTCGGCTAGAAAATATCTTCGAACTCTCGATCACAGATAGTGACTGTGGCAAATTGTAATTGGATCAATCGGTCGAATAGTCCGTGGTCAATCCTAAAATCAAGCAGCATATAGTTGTGCGATCTTTACTTTATCAAGAGAAGGGTCTACGAAAATCGATGACGTCATCAAGCGCCAGGGGTGATAACGTAATTCCCGTACGAGCCGCCCACCCATCGAAAAACGCGTCAATAATGCAACTGAGATAATTTCAACCACCCACCATGCCACCCATGCGCAATCAGAATCGCCAAAAGTTAGCACAGCAGGAGGGTCCCCTATTATTAGCTATTAGAGCTATAGAAAAGGGCGAAATAAAGTCAATTTGTGAGGCTGCGCGCATCTTTAATGTCCCCCGCTGCACTCTCCGCGGACGCGTCAACGGCCAGACGTTTCGCCCTGATACGCGCGCAAATAACCATATATTGACCGTACAAGAGGAGGAATCCCTTGTCAAGTGGATATTTGACCTTGACTATCGCGGGCAGGCCCCTCAGCAATGTATGGTGCGAGAAATGGCCGATATACTGCTCGCCGAGCGCGTATCGAAGGCATCATCAAAGCGACCAGCGCAAGTCGGCAAAAATTGGGTAACCGGCTTCGTTCGACGCCAACCAAAGCTCCAAAGCCGCTTTTCACGCAAATATAACTACCAGCGAGCCCAAAACGAAGATCCAGAGGTTATTCGAGCGTGGTTTGACAAGGTCCACCAGACGATTTGCCGGTACGGCATCACCGACGCCGATATCTACAATTTTGATGAGACTGGCTTCGCGATAGGCGTTACAGCGACTAGTAAAGTCGTCACTCGGTCGGAATACTACGGCAAGCGAGCCGTTGCAGAGCCAGGGAACCGCGAGTGGGTGACGGCGATCGAATGTATTGGCTCCGGATTCGCGCTTGATCCATATATCATCTTTAAAGGCCGTGTTTTCATCCAAGGATGGTTCGAATACCTTCCGAAGGGCTGGCGGCTTGACAAAAGTGAAAATGGATGGACTACAAACGAGATTGGGCTACGTTGGCTATCGGAATCGTTCATTCCGCAGACAAAAAGCCGTCGTCAAGGTCGGTGGCTACTTTTGATACTAGACGGCCATAGTAGCCATTTGACACCCCGATTCGATAAATTATGCGCGGAAAATGATATCATTGCAATCTGTATGCCTGCACATCCGTCTCATATACTACAGCCGCTTGATATTGGCTGTTTTGCGCCGCTGAAGCGATCGTACGGTCGGATCGTTGATCGATGGATGCGCGCGGGTGTTGATTTTGTCGACAAGCTTGAATTCCTATCAAACTATCCCCAAGCCCGATCGGATGCATTCACCTTTGAAACCATCCAGAATAGCTTTAGGGCAGCTGGTTTACTACCATATAACCCTACCGAGGTGCTTGACAAAGTCAATATTCGCATCCGCACCCCTACCCCCCTAGTAGTAGGGGGAGCAGCGTTCTACAGCCACAAACGCCTATAAATCCTAGGCAATTACTCCGGCAGGCATCATCGATCAAATCTGGCTTAAAGCAGCGCTCGAATAGCCCTCCAAGCCCTATCAAGTCCGCTCTAGAGCAGGTATTTAAAGGGTGCAAGATAGCGATGCATAACGCGGCGTTTTTGGCACGCCAGAACGAGCAACTACGTGCCGCTAACCAGAAGCAACGCATTAAGCGTCAAGTATAGACTCGCCAGGTAGCCTATCAATATAGTTTAGATACATCTGAGGCAGCAGGGCTAGTGGCAGAGCTATCAGAAGCATCGGCATCTACATCGCAGGACGCCGCCGACCGACAAAAAACAAGTGCTCAGGCGTCAACCAGAGCACCTAAGCGATGCAGCGGATGTCGAAGTCTAGATCATATGTATAATAGATGTCCTGAGAGAGAGAAATTAATTTAATGGTGTTTTAGTGGAGATATTACATTTCTTAGTAGAGTGATGGAGATGGGTGGGCGGCTCGCTCGGGGTGGGCGGCTCGTACGGGAATTACGTTAGTCAGAGGGTGAAAGCAAGAAAGACTCAAGACAAACCGTTGTTCTACGGTGCATTTTGGTATCTATCAATGGCCAATGGGTCGAGGCTGACAGGGAAAGTTTCCGTCCCACAGGGTTTAAGCAGTTTGATTGTGTGGCAAAAGTTCCATTAGCCGATTATCGGGTGAAACGTATAGAGATGGATCCATCGCGCCAGTTCGCGGACGGCGGCCCCTCCATCAGCCCACTGGATACTCTCGTGCTATCCAAACCCGGTTGTGAACCGGTTCTAGACATATTCATCAGTGGGTCAGTTGGACTTGGCAAGGTCTAGTTAAACCCGTCAGGAATTCTTCTGCCGTCACAATGGTCCCACTTGAGCACCTTTTGCAATTGTTATTGGCCGGCTGTTTGATCCGACAAAAACCTGACTTATGTGGGATGGTGGGGGTGAAATCACATCCGTCCTTATTCCCTACAGATTTGGCAACAGGTTGCGTACAATTCGGCTCCAGGTGGCATAGGATTTCGCTCAAAAAGGCGCTCGTGTCCCCTTATTATCGTCAGTGTCTTTTTTTTAAAAATGTTTACCTTCCACGGGTGATAGCTAACCAGGTCAATTACTTGCTGGGCAAACACTTATTTTGCATTGTCGTTCCACCGGGTGGCCCGAAAATTGAGTTTATCTGGCCATGCCGGTGCGTAGATCGAGCAACTACAAACAATTCGTTTACTTCAAACCCTAGTCGGGCAACTTGTTCATTTCGTCAAATCTGAACTCCAGTCCCTGCGATTACTTCATAGCCTGTTTATTCCTATAGTTTTTCCAACCACTACGTTCGAATTGCGATCAAAGCTCAGTTCTAGGATAAATTAGGGCTTGAAACTACCCATAATTTACACATGCTATGCCATGCAAGATTCGAATGGTTCTATAATTGCTTTTTGTACAGCCCATAGGCAGGTTAATTGAGCCAATTGGTCGGCGCACGGGCCCCTTGGGAGTTCTAACTAAGTGTAGACCTGGCTACGACCCTCCGCATGGGTCCCTACCCCGGACCCTCGAACCTCCCCTCAAGAGGGGAGGTTCCAGCCTTCCGACCCTCAACCTACCCTGAGGGTCGTTGAGGTTCACTATGCGGACCCTCGGCGACCCTCAACGACCCGCATTTGCATAAATTTTCCACGCCTTACCTCTTTTGGTTGGATAAAATTGATGATTCATCTCTGTTTTTTACAGCGGTTCCGTTAATTTGTAGATATTTCACTGAATACACCATCAATATAATAAATTATAAACAAATATTCATGTAAAAGTAAACCGTAGGCATGGTCACCTACAAATTACAAGTAATATTCGATGATATCGATATGGTGAGTGGTCAGTGCCGGTTGTCGACAAAACAGCGTGTAAAGTTGTAGATATATATATTGTAGGTACTGTAACCCATGTGTACCTTCATTTGTAGAACCACTATTTTTTAAGAAAACTATAAAGACGTAGTTCAAATCCCCTCATTTTTACATCATTTGAACTGTTATATCTTCTTCTATTACTTTGTCTTTCAGAATTTAGAACAAATTATCTAGGTATGTCGTAACTCCGGTTCAACGGTTGCAATTATTAGACTTGGCCGTTCCGATTAAGACTATTTTCTTAACTTGAGGGTCCTCTTTGAGGGTCTCTTTGAGGGTCTCTTTGAGGGTCGCTGCGGGTAAGTGAGGGTCTATTGGAGGTTCGTTGAGGTTCATTTATTAGGTTATCCACTATGCTATCCAATCAGATCTAGCTATGTGGATACAAAAGACGATAGATCAATTCTGGCATATAGAACAGGGACGAACGGATGCCCCAAGAATATCGCGCATTTTTTCGTACAAAATAATTAGTAAGTTCCTCGTTATTTTCTCCTCAGTCATAGTACTGTCTTCTGGTTACTAAATCTATTATGTCTCAGCTCTCCGACGTCTACGCATCATCCAGCTTCGACGGGGTGCAATTAGACGCGCTACAATACCTTGTTCCTAACGATTCCCTATCCCAACGTGAAAGCCAGAGCCAACTACTATCCGAAAGCCAGATTGGATCAGTTCTAGACCTTCCAGACCTTCCAACCCATCGATCGCGCGTGGCACCTCAGGCCCTACACACTCTTACGCGAATCAAACCAGACCGTATTAACGAGTACATCATCTTCACAACTACAATGTCCGCAGAATTTATTCAGTGGTGGCTTGAAACCGACTTTGGTAAGAAGAAGCGGATCAACTGGGATATGAACCGTCGTGCAGAGTGCTGGAAAGGGTTTGAACAGGTTGCAAATGCCAAAGATGGGAAGCCAGGCGTTATATGCAAACGGTGCCGTACAATTCTTGAGCATCCAAGTACCAACCATACTGGAACCTCATCGATGCAGAAACATCTCGATGGGCTAAGGTGCCGACAGCGAATACCGAAGAGGGGTAATATCCAGCAACTACTTAGTGACGCGGTATGTTTAAACTAGCCTACATTTAATGTCAATACTAATACTGAATTCATTATCATTTAGGCCGAGAGAAGACCGGCGCCTACCTTTACCCAGCAAATATGGGAGCAGAAGATTCTGAACCTGATCACTGTATCGCATTTACCCTTCCTTTTCGTCGAGCATCAAGAATTCCATGACCTCCTTTCCTACGCACGGCTAGCACCCATACCACCAAGCGTTCCATCAAGAAAGGTGATTCGCGACCGCCTTCGGGGTTTCGTTATAGAACAACAACAGGAGACACTACAACAGCTTCCATCTAGTGCAAAAATGTCGATTGCGCTTGACTGTTGGACTTCTCCATTCCAGCAAGCATTCATGGCTATCACAGGATACTTCCTAGACCAGGAATGGGAGTATCGCGAGGTTCTCCTTGGGTTTAAGCCAATATCTGGATCTCATACCGGAGTGAACCTCGGTAGGGTTGTTCTCTAGATCCTAGAGAAGCACCATATCGCTGACCGTATACTGGCGGTAACAACTGATAATGCGTCTAATAATAAGACACTTATCGTAGCGGTAAATGATTCGGCTAAGACGCTACAGCAAGAGACAGATTCTACGATTGTCCAAGTGCCCTGCCTTGCGCATGTTATTCAATTAAGTCTAATTGATTTACTCGGTAAAATTAAGGCCTCCCCGAAGAATGACAACGCCGAGACGGAATGGTCTGAAGATCGTGTACGTTCACTTCGTGCGCGGCAGCAGAAACATGAGATCGCCGATACTCTAAATAAGGTAAGCTTAGAGCTTCTATTTACGAATCAGGATCTAATACCGCTAATAATCCTTATAGGTTCGCGGTCTCGCAGTTTATATCAACGGAAGCCCTCAACGCAAAGAAGCCTTCTTAAATCTTCAATCTAATAACGCTAGGATAAGACTTCTACCAATCCAGGATGTCCGTACACGATGGAATTCGACATTTCTGATGCTCCGGCGGGCGAAAAGACTTCATGACACATTCGACAAGTACTGCAAGGACTATACCCAAACCCATTTTTCATTGAGTATCGAGGGGTGGCGATAGATTGACTATCTACTTTGCATTCTCCAGCCCTTTTTTACGCTTACTACGCTAGTTTGTCGTACTAAAGACTCAAGTATCCACCTTGTCTTTAGGATTTATAACAAGCTTTTTGATCATCTTGAAAGATCAATACGTCAGCTACGTCGAAAGAAAGTTCACTGGAAACAGCTGATGCTTTCCTCCCTTGAGGCTGCGAAGGAGAAACTGAAGAAATACTACGGCGAGACAGATGATATCGAAGGTAACCTCTATGCAATTGGGACGATCCTAGCGCCGTCGAGTAAGATGGAGTTCTTTTCAACAAGTGATTGGGACCTAGATCCTAAGATAGGAAAGGACTATAGAAAGGAATACCGCGAGAGTCTTCAGTCTCTTTTCGAGAGATATAGCCAACGTGTACCATCAGATATGATACAGCCTACTAGCCAGTTATTAATAACTGAATCGGAGCTAGAGAGGGCCCTTGATAGCGATTCTTCACCACGATCAATTGCTCCGCAGTACGACGAGCTCACCAAATATCTCCAGAGTGGTAAGTAAGTAAGCCTATTTTATGAGTTATATAACTAACCTCACCTAATTAGATACTATTAAAGGATCCGTTCGGATCTTCTGGAAAGATCATCAGAGAGAATTCCCTGTTCTTACAAGCATTGCCCGTGATATCATGTCAATTCCAGCAACTGGTGCCGGAGTTGAGCGTCTGTTTAACTCTGCTCGGGATATATGCCACTAACGCCGGGGATCGTTGAACCCAGAGACTATTCGTGATATTATGTTATATATGTGTACAACAAGATTTGATATTAAGGAGGAGCAGCGGCTGGTTCTCCAAGAGTATCTCTCAGACCATGAGATAGCAGCTTCGGCAGAAGCACTTGATATCCAGACACATACCTTCGAGGCTATCAGTGATGACGAGGAGGAGGATGTTGAGTTGCGTCCTGATACACCGGCTGCTATATCAATAATGCAAACAACCCCGAACGCACCACCACTCTCAGCAGTCGCCGCTAGAAAGCGGCCTACGGTCACTTCTAGTGATGAGGAAGATTCTGATGCCGATGGATTTGCGAACCCGGAGGAGAACCTATCATTATCCTTCCCTGATACGCAGCATCGTGTATCAGGTAGGATACGGAAGAAGTCGAGACTACTGGATGGGTATATAGTTTGACTCTTGGCTTTTTAGAACCATGACTAGACACTATGCTATAGATGTAATATAAACCATTCAAAATTTGAACCCCTTTTCGAGGATGAACCTATGGTATGCACTAAGGAGTGGACATGTAGTATCCTTCTGTAAGGCCATACAGTGATGAATTTTTAGTTTACAATTACAATGAAATACAGCCTGTTTCTACATAATTTATGCAATTGACGTCTAGTCACGTCTTTTACCTGTTTGTCATGTTTGACGACCCTCAGGGTCCCCGCGGGTCCAGGTCTCGGACCCTGACCCTCCGCATGGGGAGGTGAGGGTCAGGGTCGTGGAGGGTACCCGCGGGTCCTAGCCAGGTCTAATCTGTTACCGTGGACCACCTTTATGTTACCAGTGTTATGAATCTTGAATAGGTCTTGCTAGCTACACAGCCTCTGCACACAGAACCAGATGACTTCAAGTATGGCAACATTAAATAAATGCCAAAAATCAAGGCAAGACATACAGAAGAACTGCATGCTAGCTAGTGACAGGATTCTCTTACGCCAGAGAAAATGCGAGGCTGATGGTACATGTTGCTTTAGCATTTGGTACCCCATGGAAACTCAAAATCCTGAGTCTCAGTCTGGTAATTTCCCCCAAGCAGCATTAGAAGCTCCGAATAACATTTCGCTCAGGGAGGATCATTGGTTACTGCTTCATAGCGATCATTGCCGTCTTTCTATGCATGATCATGACTTTGAAGTTGGAAGCTGCACGACGTGTTCGCCGCCAGTCCTCAGGCTCAAATTCAAATAACAGGAACTCTAGTACCCCGGCCTCCTATCGAAGAAGTCGAAGAAAGACACTCTCGAAGACAGCTTTGGATAAAATACCCATGTACAAAACTATGAACTTCCCTGGCAGCGGAATACGCATTGGTACTTCTGACATGGAAAGAGGCATCGCC